GTCAGGATGAGGTGAGCTCGCACCCTCTCAGACTCATTGGGTCCTAGGTACTGTTATGGGGGGGATACTTCCCCAAACCATATAGGTGGTTGTCAAAATTAGGGTCCCTTTTTGGGTCCTTATTATAATACGGCACCTTCTGTTTAGGGTACCCAAAAAGGGGCCATAATTTTGACAACTACCTATACTAGTAAGTCTTAATGTAGGAACACTACATTCTACTATATAGGTACTTAGGACCCTTTGGCAGACTCTCTCTTCAAAAACTCCCCCTAAGGCTCCAAGGACGCAGGCATCAGGCCGTTTTCTGTTAGGGTCTAGGGTTACAAGCCTCGTAGAGCCAAAGCATAATGGTAGGGGTTTAGCGGCTGGGGGTTTAGGGTTTAGTGAAGGAGTGAATCACCCGTGGGTTCACATATGAATACTGAACACTACTTCCCGAGGGACACCCACGACTCTGCCTGTTGGTCTATGTTGAGCCTTAGGCATCTGGTTCGTAAAGGAAATCGACCGGCATGACGACAACCACAAACCCTAATGAATCAGTTAAATACCAAAACGTCAAATCCCAATGCGCTACACCGTAAAGTTCTATGATATGAACCCTGAACCCTAAACTAGAATCATATCAAACCCTTACTGACGCTAAACGACAAAACCCAACACCCTTAAACCTCAAATTGGCAACAACCCCAAACCTCAAAGCATAAATCCAAAATCAATACGCCCTGTACACTAAACCGTAGGTCCTATTATTACATAAACTCTAAGCCCCAACACTCTTATGGAACCCTTGTAGACCCTGAACGACAAAACCCCATACCCTTACACATCAAAACCTTTCGAGCGTCAGACTTACGGCTTACATTCTAGGATGTAAGGAGTTTCAGGGTCAGAATTCGGGGTGTAGGTTTCAGGTTTATCTAGACCCCCCAACTACCCTTTATTGTAGCCCCCAACTACCTCTTAATGAGAAGTATTAAGGCCCCTTAAAGAGTACTTGGGGCGGTCCTGGTAGGGCTTGAAGGTTTAAGCTGTTGAGTGTTTGAGGACCAATAAATACCCTTCCTAATAATCACATACTCTCCCAAATAGTAACCTACATAACTACTTAGTTGCTGGGTTCATAAGCCCCAAAAGTGTGCACTTTCAGTTTTACAGCAGGTAATAATATCCAAAAAAAGTGTAACGTGCATCCACTCAGCTACTAAGACTAATATCCTAAACCCGAGTACCTGATTATGGGGTCCTTCGGACCCTTGGGGATAGCATGGGAGGAGGTCGGCTCTGAGGGTCTGAGGGTTTAAGCTGCTACTGAGGCTTAACCTAGAGGCTCATACCCTACCCTTTCTTAGGATACCTAGTTTTGTGGTTAGGATCTGTTACATAGAAAAAAAGGTACCTTCAAAAAGGGATAGGGTATGAGCCTCTAGGTAGGGTTTAGACCATTAGGGTTTATATAGGGTTTGGGAGTTCAGGGTTTAGGCCTTTAGGGGACTGTAGGGTTGATATAGGGTTTGGGAGTTTAGGGTTCAGGGTTTAGGGGCTACTGAGGCTTGAGGGTTTAGACTTTTCGGGTTTATATGGGAGTTTGCGAAAATTTAGGGGACCATATAAGGATCCCCTATTTTCGGAAGCTCCCATATAGGGTTTGTGAGTTTAGGGTTCAGGGTTTAGGGGCTACTGAGGTCAACGGAAGCTCTATGTACGCAAAGTCCGCACGACTAAAGGACCCATGTACCCGAATGGAATAATACTTTGGCCCTGAAGTACCTGTAGAGGGACACCTTTAGGACCAAAGTATACACCGTCTAAACTATTTGGGCACATGGACACTTAGGGTTAATCCGTTTCCCCATTTACTAAACGCCCCTAAGAATCAACACCTGTTGGGGCCAATCCTCCCGAAATCATCCCTGTGCTTCAAGACCTAATTTGCGTTAGGGGGGTCCGGAGCAAGAGCAAGACCAGGAGTAAGAGCCAGAGTACGAGCAACAGCAAGAGCAGGAGCAAGATCAGGAGTAAGAACAAGAGCAAACGCAAGAGCAGTAACAGCCAGAGCAGGAGTAAGAGCAGCAGCAAGAGTAAGATCACGCGCGAGAGCAAGAGACTCAGCAGGAGCCGGAGCCAAAGCCAGCGTGGGAGCAACACACAGAACAGGAGCAAGATCCCTCAAAAGCCACAGTAGAGATAGCCATAACCCCTACCTCCAAAAACACTTTCAGAGTTTTGTTGGCGGGCCATTTTAAACAATGGGGGAAAGGTTTAGGAAGCGTTTCTCAGTCTTCAGACTACAGGAGTTTGAAAGTTGTACATACAAACCTGTGCACAAGATTCGCATGTTCATGTGGCCATGCGTCTACCTATCTAAGCTGCCTTGATGCTTTATAGGCCTCCTTTCAGGGCTCCTTTAAGAGATCTTTAGAGGGTTCCTTGGTAGGTTCCTGGGATTTATACTCTCTTCTTCAACAACCGGGCCCCCCCAATAGTTCAAACTTTCTAAGATAGAGCTAATATATAAAGCCCAAAAGTTCGAAGTTCCCCCGTTCACTATCTAAGTATAGCATATGGTTAGTCACCTATTATTTAGCTAACTGGAGCTCTGGGTTGACACAAATGTAGTGGACACAGACACTCTACAATGCAAGCATCTGTGCACGAAAAAAATAGAAATTAGGGTTGAGGGTTGCGCATGAACCACAGAGGTGGGTGAACTCAGAATATAGCAAGAATACGCTGTGAGTGCACAGCTGCAACTATACCTACATGTCCTGGACATCTTGAGTGATTGATGACAGCCGCGGTTGTGCCACGCAGGGGTCGCTTCCAGGACTCCATCCTGTCCCACACGGACATACACGAGAGATACTCTGATCTGCTCGGCTGAAGATGGAAGATGGATACTTATCTCCAATTCCAGGGTCCGAGAAACGGCAAACATTTTAGAGTTTAGGGTCCAGGGTTTGCAGAAACAAAGCATGAACATCATCAATGACTGTCTGCCGTGGATCCCTTAAACAAATCCAGCGCAAAAACATGACTTGATCCGCCGGCACTGCTAGCGGCGAATGACGTCCACGGAACACATGGGGTTCCAACTCGAGAGGGACAGCTCTCTACATTCGGCTCACAGCGCCAGTAACTTGTCATTAGTTACTTCTTGGCAAGGAAGCCACTGCTGCTGATCGATCTGCAGGCATTGTCATTTTCCGCATGGATTAAATGCTAAGTACATACGGAGCACGAAGCCCGGAGCAACTTTCTGACAATGCCGCAACCACATACCATTTAGAGGCATGAGCACGCCAGCTGCAAAACGTGGCTAAAACAACAAGTCGAGACGGTCAAGCCTCTCACGCCGCTGATCGATCTGCGGGCATTGTCTGTTCTGTTGCCAGCGTCGCCATCGTGGTCAGGGCTTACTTGGAGGTTCATGGGTAGTTATAAGTGGGGTTATAATTAGGGTAACTATAGTTATAACCCATATTAGGGGACTTATAACTCCACTTCCCATGAACCTCCAAGTAGGGGTTTAGGGTTTAGGGTGTTTCGGGATTCGGCAACTGTCTGACAATGCCTCAACCACATGCCATTTAGAAGCATGAGAACACCAGCGGCCATATCCCTAAGGGTCCAAAGGATCCAACAATTAGGGACTCGGCTTCGTGATAGTAGGTATGTAGGTTGGTATTTCGGAAGGTGTACGACCATAAGTGCTTCGGTAGAAACCCTGCATTACCTTGAGACCCTAGACTATGGTAATTAGGGAATATTCCTCATTATGGGTAATGCAGGATTAACATCCCTAAACCCTAAAACCCAATAAATCCCTTAGAGGAATCCCTTAAAGGTACCTTTATAGATCCCCTTAAACGAGCCCTAGGATTTATATCATCCACCGTTGGACCCTTGGGGTTTGAAGCTCAACCCAAAACTGTCCAAAGGGGCCGCCTCGCTTCGCCAAGGAGGCGATACCGATCGCTCCTGATCGCTGAAGTGATGCTTTAAGGTTTAGGGTTTGGGTTTAGGGTTTAGACCCTAAACCCTAGACCCTAAACCCAAACCGTAAACCCTAAACTTTAGGGGACTGCCTAAACCACACCAAAATACGTAAAATACTGGCCCAACACCTATAAAACGTTCTAATTCTACATGCTTTTGGGGACCTGGTACCATCGTATTCGCAGTACATGATAGCAGGAGAAAGTAACAGAACACAAAGTTTTACGAACGGCTCAGCGACAAAATGTGGCGATCGCAGTGGATGGAATAATACCATTGCAGAATATTGCTTTGTCGGATTCTTGGTTGCAGGCTTTCGGTGTGTTCTAGGCACCTGCACCATATCTATGTGACCCCAGTGCCGAGGTTATTACAGTCGGAGACTGACAAGGGAGCCAGTGGCCTCTCTGTAGCAGCATCTAACCCTGGGCATCAAAATAGCCCGAAAGCCTTATATAGTATGGTCTTTGGGCCCAAAAGCCTTAATATATGGTATTAAGTCCTTAATTAGATGCCTAGGGTTATGGGTGGGTTTAGGCTTTTAGGATGTAGGTTCGTTTAGAGTTGAGTCCTTAGATGCCTAGGGTATTTTATTGCACAGGAGGACCCGATTTCAAGACCCGAAGGCTCCCTGTACCCAAGTAGGATCAACGCTGGCCTTGAAGTAGTGCCTATTATGATTCTTATGGTACCATATTGGGGATCTATAAGGGCTCCTTCAACGGATCTATAGGGGCTCCTGTAAGGGATCTATAAGGGCTTGGGGTTCAGGCTTACCTATAGTCTCCATTGTAGTTCCTTTTTGGGGTTACCTTTTAGGGTCCTCAATATAAAATTGTTTAAACCAAGAAAAGGAACTACAATGGAGACTATAGGTAGTCCCTATTTAAGTACATTGGGCCAACGTAATTACTGTTTGGGTACATGGACCCCTTGGGAAACATCCCCAGAATAAAACCGGCCAAGAGGCTGCGTCGCGAATACGCAAGCTGCACGAATCACGCGGACGAAGCTGAGTCAGAAGCCAGAAGCCGCATGGCCCGTATCCGCACGGCCTCGAACCTGATTTTCGTACACCCTAAGCCCACAAACCTGATATTCATGAACCATAAACCCCAGACTCTAAATCGTGCTCTGGGTTTCGAAGTGGTACCCTAACCCCCACCGTGGCAAAAACTAACATGGCACGAGTTTTCAGTTTTTTTGCCTTGGCCCATTCAAGCTCCATTTTGGTTCAAGAGAGTCCCAACGGGTCCTAAGTACCTATATGCACCTATGTAATCCTATATAGTAGAATGAAGGGCTTCTATATTAGGAGTTACTTGATTTGGGGAAGTATCCACTATAACAGTACCGATGGCCGATAAAGCCTACTCAAAGGGTCCAAGTATTGATATGGTACATACTTTTGAGGCCCAAGTACCTACCAAGTACCACTACTGTATTGGTACTTGGACCCTTTGGGGTACACTTCAGCCTTCGAGGTGTCAGTAACTTGCAGGCCAATGATACCGAAAGTGATCCTTACAGGTTACACGTCTATAGTCCGAGCATGCCCAGATACGGCGTCTTAGACAGCCCCGAAACCTTACACATGAAGCCCTGAACCACACACATCCTAAGCCCGAGATGGTAAACCCCTACACCCGCCCTAGACCATACAAAGGCTAAGATCAAACTGTGCCCAAGAGTTGAAATTCATAAAATAAGGGCTTCAACATCTTTAAAAGGCACCTTGCACCTTTTTCCTTTCACAGTTTCTCCAATTAAGCGTCATATTTTAGTTCTATAAATGTTCTGTAAAGGTTACTACATCAAGAGTTTCTACTAGTAGAGGGTGTAGTATGAAGGCTTGCACAAGTAGAACAGGGAGTTTTATGGGGGGGTCTGACGACTGCCTATAGATACATTGGCGGAAGAGTAAGGGACGCCATTACAAATTCTACCCAAGCTCAACCCTGTACCCTAAAGGCTTCCCCCAGAACCCCAAGCCCCAACAGCTGTACCTGCAATCCTGACCCCTTTGTTTGCTAAGCTTGATGTTCCGACCTGGGTCCCTTAGCACAGGATTAGGTTAGGGTTGCGATTTGGGAAATTGAATGAACCGACTCTGGACCAGGTTCCCATTAAGTCTACTTTATGGGTCAATATAGAGATCTTAATGGTTTGAAATGGATTCCTTCACAGTTTCCTCAAGGTTTCAAGGGGTGGTCCAGTACACCCTACATGACATGGGTAGTTGATGCAGAGTTGCACCAAAGCCAGGTAAACTAGGATCCGGAAGAAACTATCAACAGTGTTCCCGGGAGGTCCTTGATATGAGTGCAGTACACAGTGACACCGTAAAACCCCAACGGCCTGTTCTAACCATCTATAACTATTTCGGGCTCCTATACTACAGAACCCTCCTAGTACTTCCAACATCCCTCAATCAAGGAATATACAGACCTTAGATTTATGGTAGGTTCCCACACAGTTACACATGATCTAAGGTACATTCCTGAACTCCGGGATTGTGGCAGATCGGGGCACTTGGATCTGCAGGGGGAGTAGGAAGGTTTCGGAGCCCGAATATAGAGGCCTTCACGATTAGACTCGGGTTTTAGGGTTATCTACTAGAGGTTCAGGCCCCTTAAGAGCAGGCCTGTATTCAGGGATACTATAATGAGGGTCTCATAATACAACATGCCATGACGTGCCTACAGAACTAAATTCTCTGGGGTTGGGGCGGCGGGGGTGGGGGGTGCTATCGTCAAATATAGGTTCTTGTGGAATGATATTGGTAAATACCCAGGCTTCTGTAGCACAATCTGCAAAGCAAGACCCCCCGCCCAACAACAACACGCCCTAAGCTACTGTAGCCTAACCCCAAAAACAACGTTTGGGGATCTAGCCCTTGCACTGTTTAGGGCTTCGGGAGATATGAAGAGCCCCGGCGCAAAATCCACAATAATCAGGAACCACATTGAGCATTAAGAGCTCCAATAAGAAAAGGAGTTGCTTAATCACGAAGTTGGTTCATGGCTGCTCACAACTTGTTTGAAGTTCGTGTACGAGGACTGAGTAAGTAGGTTCGAGGATCTTCAAAGCACGTTATACGCGGGCACACAAGAGTCTTGGAGTTTTGGGGATTCGAAATCACGATGAATAGCAGTCTTGATATTACATACGTATACTTGTGCCTACCCATATACGCCCTGGCCCTAGTAAAGCTACAAACACCAGGCCCTGATGCGACGGACTAGGACTAGGACTGACGGGTTTAGGATGTAATCGTTACAGCCGCAGACCACCATGTATACTGCAATTGCGGAATTAGGTCCCTCATACAGTTTTGGCAAGGTCTGTTGGGACCTGATTCCATAATAACGATAAAAATAAATAAACAAATGAATACAACTGTATATATGCATACATACATATACAGATAAAATTCCCTGAGCCCAAAACCCTATTTATACTCAAATTTGTACCTTTATCTATATCTACGTAAAATGGATTCCTCTGGGAGCGGCCCGAAGGGTTGCCACGGGGCCTGGACCAATTGAATAAGGCCTTGGTGTAGTATATTATTAGTTAGAAGCTGCCCCCACCCTGTAATAGTGACTATAAGGGTTATATTGGGGCCCGACTATATTCCTATTATACCACTGTTACAGGGTGGGGGCCCCTTCTAATATAGTAGAGTAGAAAGATGCAGGCTCCAAGGAATACGAATACATAAAAAAAATATATACGAACACTTGCGGCCTTACAAAACCCTGAAAATCTAGGGACAGGACTTTGGCACCCGATAAACCCAAAAGGGCTTGGTTTAGTGTTTAGGCTGCTTAGGTGCTGCGGATTACGTACAGGTTTAGCTCCTAAAGCAGCAATACCGTCGATGATATAATTCCTGCATTACCTTATAATGACCCAGGGCTATGGGAATTGTGGTGTATTCCTTTTAATGGGCAATGCAGGATTTATATCCCTAAACCCTAAAACCCTATAGATCCCTTATAGGAGTCCCGTAATCCGTAAAGGTACCCTTATAGATCCCCTTAAAGGAACCCTTGGGTTTATATCATCGACCGTAGCTTTCGAGCCGAGCAACTCTTCATCCTGCAAGCAGCGCACGCGCACCCTTGGGGCGCAATTCTGTGAATCCTGCGTCTGGTACGCGTGGAGAGTCGGGGGAATTAGTATGTAGCTATTAAGCAGACTTATAACTACCCTAACAGGGGTCCTAATTAGGGTTATGACGATTGAAAAACTACTTACTAATTCCCCCGACCCTCCAAGTGGAACCCACTTGAAAAAAACATGTCGGGTTCAGTGCTTGTAGATGATTCTTCAGCAGACAGACCTCTCAATCAGGCTTAGGAGTACACGGATTCCCCAATAACACCCTAAACTCTAAACCCTCAAAAACAAGCAGGCTTCAGGGTTCGGCGGCAAGGATTTAAGTCCTAGTCTTGGGGCCTTTAGCGTGGGGTTGGAGTTCAAGGGTTTGGGGTTTAGGATTTCGGTTGAGGGTTTTTGGCTTAGGGTTGATCAATTGATTGCATCCTGAATCCCCAACCTGAACCTACCTAAACAGCTTTCTGTAGGGTCCCTGTAAATTCCATGTTTGGGCTTTACATGAAGAGCCTACGAAAAGTAGGTTTTGGTAGTTTTAAGGGAGCTCTGAGGGTCCTAGCACTGGCTATCTACACAATGCACGTCCATTCCACGATTTGGTAGCAAACACCGCGAAGAGTATCAAAATGGATCCTTGAGTAGCGTAACCTTACTAAACCTTCTTGCGCAAAATCCAAGACCCTAATCAACAGCGAAAGACATCGAAACCCCACAAGACCTACAACGATGCTGAGACTTAGGTACTGCCCCCCATACAGTAAGGTTACTATTAACGTCCTAATATATCTATACTATGAATATGATTCAGCCAGTACTAAGTGGGGGCCGTACCCAAGCTGAGACTCTGGACGCAAGCTCTTCCCAAGAAGTCCTCCTCTTCAGAAAACCGGCCGGGAAGTTGCACATCAATATCACCTGAGTGACCCTTGGGAGTTAGGATTGGGGGGACCCTCGGGGATATAGACCCGCTCAACAAGGTCCCTTGTAAGAGAGCCAGAAGTAGGGTTCGGAAGGGGTACCCTTTAGGGGGTCTCCCTCATCATGCTACCCAGCCCACAATCCGCAACGCCCTTATAAAGCCTGGAATCCTAAGCCCTAAACCCTCAACCCGGAAACCTTAAACCCTGATTAAGACCTACTTGGAGGGGCAGGGGACTTACTAAGTCGTTTATAAGTAGGGTTGTCATAGGGGTAACTCATGTTAGGGTACTTATAAGTCTACTTATAACCTACTTACTAAGTCCCCTGCCCCTCCAAGTACTTGTCTACGCACTTACCACCTGCACCCCCTTCCGAGTTTCACACTTGGAGGTTGAGGGTTGGGGTCATGGACATACCTGGGCGCACCGTTTCCAGATCTACAAGTACCGGATATGTGTTCCAGGCCCTACCTGTGACCCCAAACCCTACAAAATAGTAGGTTATGACCCCTTCATTAGAGGGTAGAACCCTTAAAACGGCAGGTTTTTGGATCCCCAGGTATAACCCTAACCCTTTAAATTCAACCCTAAACCCAACCCTAATCCTTCAACCACAAACCCTACTTTCTAGGTGTGGGAGCAACTAAACTCGCCTTAGATAGCCTGAAACCTACAGAGCCCTATGAAGCCCATAAACCGTAAACCCTAACCATTTGGGGTCCTCTAGAACCTGCTCGTTACAACGCTTAGGGGGTTTAGAGATGTGTCAACACCCAGATGTTGAAAATGTGTCCCAAGTTAAGCAGTTTAAGGTATATCCCTGTATTACGGGATATTGGAAGATCCGGGTAGGGTTTTGCACGGTGTAGTAAAGGACTTCCATGAGGTTTAAAATGTGGTTCTGCAACGTCTTCGTACCTACGTACGTAGTATGTGCTTTTTCCCTGAAGGTGTTTCTCAACACATCTCTAGGCCCAAGTTGTGATGTAGTATATAATAGTACATGGCTGTTGAACCCGCAGGCTTTAGCAAGGCACCGTGACCCTTCATTGCGAAAGTTTGCGGTTTCTGTGCCTCTCTGGACCATTGAGCCCGAACCCTTATCGACAACCCTTACCTGTATCACCAAACTCTACAAAACAGTAGGTTATGACCCTTTAGTTGTATAACCGTCAAAACAGTAGGTTTCCGAATCCCGATGTAAATCCTAAAATCCCTAACTCTAAACCTCTGAAGCCCTTAACCCCCACAACCCTTATCCCTCAACTACGGTCGATGATATAATTCCTGCATTACCTTAATAACCCTAGACTATGGAAATTGTGGTATATTCCTCATTATGGGTCATGCAGGATTTATATCATCAACCGTCGGACCCACTGCATTGTTGAAGCCACGAAGCTCCAGGTGTCCCCCTGAGAGTTCCCGAGCTGATCTCTCGAGAGATCCTTCAATTTAAAGGTGTGGGGCAAGTGGGCCCAAAGTAGCTTTTTCGGAGAATCTATAGGGGTTCCATAAATGGCTCAGGGTTTAGGGTTCCTTCATGGGTTCCTATAAGTACATGTATAGGAGAATTTGGGGATTCTATATCAGGAATTGCTATCATTGTTTGGGGAAGTATTCCCCCTAATAGCACCTAATGCTTCCCGTTTGAAAGTGTAGCGGCTCTCTTTCCCGGCTTCTGAGGATTTTGGGGTTCAAGGTGTGGGCTAAGAAATCAAGCAAGGTTTCTCCCGGGCCATCGGCCTCACTCACACTTGTAGAGGCCTGTCCTGCTTACTATTGTCATTATTACTATTCGCGCTATTGTTACTGTGATTGCTATTGGTTTAGACTTACTGAAGATTCCAACGACGTTGTTTCAAAGGGAAGCTGCCAACGGCTGTCATTTGCAAACTACTCTCAACTTCTAGAAATGGTCGAGACTGGTGAGTTCTGGGTTCAGGAATCAAACTGGCGTGTGGGTCGCGAGGGGACAGCTGATAGATTTGCTTTCCAATCTGAGCAGAAACTGCAACCTCTAACGATAACATGCCAACTATTTCATACCGGCTCATGCGACCAGAACCATATGTGTGGTGTTTTGTTATCTCTGGGCCTGAGGAAACCTGATAAAACTCTCTTTAAACACTTGCCCTTTTTCAATTACAAAACCTGATGCGTAAACCTCTAGCACTGTTGAATTTCAGTAGTTTCGACAATGTCCGCAGGCCCAACAGCCAACATTTCATCGACATTGATCGGGTTGGAAACGGTAAGCCTAAACCCAAAACCCTGCTTTCTCCATGCCCAGAGACCATCTTGTCAGAAAAGTTGACGGGCGTAATTTCCCATCATTAAATTTGCTAGTCCTGAAGAAGGAAAACATGAAGCTAAAGCAACAGAAGGCAGGATTTCGGCCCCCCTTCCCAATGTGAGCAATCCCAAAGGGTCCTAGGTACTGTTATGAGGGATACTTCCCCAAATTATAATGGTAACTCCTCATACAGACATCCTACATTCTACCATGTAGGTACTTTGGACCCTTTGGCAATGTCCTTGGTAGCCTGCATGCAGAGGGGCTGCTCGTGTTCTGCCTGCAGCACAGTCGAGAAGCTTGGGAAGTCAAAGGTGCACTCGGGCAGAAACTGTAAAAAGGGACCTCGCAATCCTGAATCATGGCTATGTAAGGATATTTGGTAGACGTTGCCGCGAAAACAGGGTAAATACAGGGGCCTGAATAACTGGAATGCAGTTTTCAAAGATCTGGCTATAAGCCTGCAACTGCTGAGTGCTGCCTTCCAGCGAAAGCCTCACGTGACGCTTGACTGTCCCCGTCTTCTTAAGATTTGAGTTGGGCTTAAGGTTTATAGGATTAGAATGAAGTTCAAGGCTTGGGGCTGTAGGGTTTAAGCTTCAGGTGGTGTTTTCTTGTTGTTGTTTTCCAGGGTCCAAGTAACTCTTTTCTGCATACTTGGGCCCTGAAGTGCCAAAAAAGGCACCTGGCCCCGTAGGGCCAAAGTGCCCAGCCCTGAAAAGCTGAATGCTGAATGAAAGAACCGCCCAACACCAAACCGTAAAACGCGCTTTACCTAAAGTCTCCATTGCAGTTCCTTTTTTGGGTTAACCAAAAACTGTATTATAGGATCCTAACTATAAAACTAGTTCACCAATAAAAGGAACTACAAGGGAGACTTTAGGTATAGTCTTACAAGTGTATTGGAACACATGCGGGAACTAGTAAAAACATATTAACATCATGCAAACGCCGTGCACCCTTCTACGGAAGTCTCATGAAAAAGTACATAACAAATACCCCAAACCCGAAATATGTCGAATCCTTATGATGGTGGCACTTGTAGCAGCTCATAGTAGCTGACATAATACAATATACACCAACAGCCGTATAGGCCTGGCCGGGCCAACGGAGCGGAGCTGGTGAACTGCTAAGCTCAGTTTGTACATGACATCCCTGAACCCCAAGTCTCCAAAACCCTAAAAACCACAAACCCTGAAGCCATTAAACCATCCTGTCTCCTTGTTGTTTGTCCACAACCCATATGTGAAGGCTTGAAAAACTATACTCAGATTAGTTTTTTCGTACCTACAACCCTGCTATTTGTGTGCTTGAACCGCCGGGAATCCTAAACCCTAAACTCTAAGCCCTAAACCCTAAACCCTAAGCCCTCAAACCTGAACCTCTGATGCTCCAAGTCTACACCCTTAAGCCCGAAACCGCACATTCTCGGCCCGGTAGATGCACGAAGCACTTGCCGGATGGCAACCCCTAGAGCTCCGGTGACCTATCTAGGTGGTTGTCAATATTAGGGTCCCTCTTTGGGTCCCTTTTTTTATTAATAAATCGGCACCCATTATTTAGGGTACCCAAAAAGGGACCCTAATTTTGACAACTACCCATGTAGTAGGTTACTTGGGGTATATAACACATGATTAGCAACCGACTATTTAGGGAACTGGAGCCCTAGGGAACCCTAGATGCCCTGCTATATACGAGAAACTACCTTGCTTGGAAAACCTAGAAGATGTGTATGCGTGTATGTACGCATGCCTGGAGATGGCCCATAGCCCATAGCCCCAAATACTTACCTGTCGGATCCTCAGAAGAGCCTTGTGGCCAGCCCTACTATCCCTAAAACAGCTCTGCACAAACAAAGCCCTTTTCAACTCGTATGAGAAAGCCCTAAACCCATCTAAACCCTATACCTATACCTTAAACCCTAAAACCCATGCTAAACTCTAAACGAGCCTACATCCTAAAGCCTAAACCCACCCATAACCCTAGGCATCTAATTAAGGACTTAATATCATATATTAAGGCTTTTGGGCCCAAAGACCATACTACATAAGGCTTTTGGGCTATGTTGATGCCCAGGGTTAAGGAAACCCTATCAGTTCAAGGCCCGCGGCCCACCTTCCGAACGGGAAGTTGCGAATGCGAGGCAACCACATCTGCCAGGGGCATCTAGGGTTTAGGGCGTATGTCCAGTATTTAGTGCATTTTTCAAGAGGGTCCATATATACTCCGCTCATGGAATGAGGGCCCCAAAACCATAGTAGGGATGGTCTTTTGGGACCTAACTCCATGATGGTAGTATATATGGACCCTCTGATAAGGCCTTTAGGGTCTAGGGCAAACCGTCTGGCTTGTTTTTTCATGGTGAGAGCTCAGATCCTGCGGTGTAGGGTTCCTTGCGGGGAACTTTCGGGCTCTAGACCTAACGGCTTAGGTTTAGGGTACTCGGATCTTCCGAATCCTGAAATTGCGCAATACACCTTAAATCATGAGAGAATCCCTCATTTGAGTACAGGAGCATTTCTCAACTAAGGCATATTGTAGCTTGTGGAAACAAGGTATGTAGGCATAAAAACGTACCAGCAGAACGCGTCTATAGAGGATTAAGACAAACTATTCAGATCCCCATGCTGCGCTTCTAGTTCAGGCTTGGTTGCAACCTCTTTAAATTTGGCAGCTATAGTGAAGCCTTAGCAGAAGTTTGGTGCATCTCAATTGGGTCGTTACAGGGGTTGCGGAAGGGCTTTGCAGGGGTCTGGGATTTCGCTAAGGCTTGCTGTCAGCTACGGCTCAGGATGTTGGTTTCCGGGATCTCGGGGTTGTAAGAGCAAGCCATGCCCAAAACCTACCGTAACCTCGAATAACCCAACTTTTAAGGACTTATACAAAGAAATCATAATAGGGAACCCCAAAAAGGTAGGTTATTCAGGGTTAGGGTAAACCCTAATTTGCTACATTGATCTACCTTGTTCGATCTTGGATGCTCGCTGCTCGTGCCTGGCCTCATCCTCCACTACCCTCCCTAGATTGTCCAAGTACCCATTCGGTCCCAGATGCTAGCCTCTGAAAGACTTTCTCACCTGAAGCCCTACTATCCCGAAGCCCTTCAATTGCGGCAACCTGTGTGGCAGCTCACATAGTAGTCCCTTTCAATAACGCGAATAGGATCCCTTATAGTCCACTAAACCGGAAAAGTGCACCTTCCCAAGCTGATGTCGGTTCCGGCCGTATGCTCAGAAAGGGTCGGTGAGGGCTCCCAGTGTTGCTCGTTTTGGAGCAGAGGCCCGCGAATCCCTGGCCAGGAAGGGGTTTCAATACTTAGCGGCTGAGTTCATAAGCCCCGCAAAAGTGTACACTTTCAGCTTTAGAGTGGGTAGTATTATCCGAAAAAGTGTAAAGTGTACCCACTGAGCTACTAAGAATATAGTCGCCTGATTCATTAGACCCGGGCTTTGAGACATGTTGAACTACACTTCTTTCCGGGGCCCGTAAGGACTAGTAATGCTAGTCATTCCAGCCCCTTGTTCAAGGCGAGATTGGGGATGGCAAAATTTCGGGCATAGGGTTCGATGGCTTAGAGCTTGCAGGTTAGGATTGTACCTTAGCTACCAAAGCCCACCGCTTGTGCATTTTTTCCTTATCACAAACCCTAGTCTAGAATTCAGAGGGACCCTACAAAAACGGTAGGTTTTGGTTCTGGTAGGTTGAAGTAATTCTTGGGGGCCTTATACGTATAAGAATAGGCCCCAAAACCGTATCTTAATTATTAATTCCCCTACATTAGGGCTTCAGGCTTGGGAAGTCGGGACTGGGGCTAATTCAAGCTTACCTGATGCTCTCCGATGGCCGAAGCTCGGGGTTTACGATGTACGGCTTTAAAAGAGCCCCTACCCGTAGGCTCATACCCTACGCCCTTTGGGGGGTCCTAGTTTTATGGCTGGGATCTGTTACATAAAAAAGTAGGTACCTCAAAAGTAAAACAAGAGTAGGGTATGAGCCTCTAGGCAAGATAGCCCCATTTTCCGAAACTCAGCTTGCATGGAGATCATGCTCGAACCTGGGGCTTGCTCCCCCAAACTTGAACCCCACAGTTTGCGGCTTTGGCGCTTAGGTTTGCTTGGAAGTGATGTTACAACCGAGACGCTCATTTCCTCTGGCCCAAATCGGAGCTCCCACCGAAACCCTACTTGGAGGTTCATGGGTAGTTGTAAGCGGAGTTATAAGTCCCCTAATATGGGTTGTGGTTAAAACTACCCGACTTATAACTTCACTTATAACTACCCATGAACCTCCAAGTAGTCCCAAAGTCTTTAGACCCGACCTGTGGATCCAACAAGCTGCTGCTTCAATTCTGGGACTCTATTCAAACTGGAGCATGCCTGAGACAACTTCCCAATGCACCATACATAAACATATACACCAGCAGCCTCAAGCCCTAAACCCTCAGGCCAGAATATAACATACCATTACCAATATAGGGGCCAGAATCGTTCGAATAGGGTTCTGGGGTAAAGTATGCTGCGTATACCTACAGTCCCCATTGTGGCTCCTTTTTGTCAAAGCAATTTCATAGCTAGGATCCTATAGGGAAACCCAAAGCAAGAACAAGAATGGAGACTTATAGGTACTTCAGTCAGGGGCCCAATTAAAAGGCCAAGAGGGTCCATATATGCTCCTATTATGGAATTAGGGCCCCAACACCATAGTAGGGATGGGCAACATCCCGACCTCGGCCTCAAAACCCTAAACCATACAGCCCCAAGCCCCTCATAAGGGTAAGGGCCAGGGTTCCTGTGTTTACTGGGTTCCGCTAAGGGTTCTGTAAGGGATGTGCTTTGGCCTCATTTTAATCACTAAGGGTACGGAACCTTGAATATCATATCGGTACGTACGTTACCCTAAAGAGCTAAAACTCTCAAAGGATCCCTTTAAAGGAACCCCAAAAGATTCCTTTGAAGGAACCCCTATGGATCCCTTAACGGGGCCTTAGGGATGCAGGCCCGCCTTTTGAATTCTTGCCCGGATGGAACTCATCTTCATGGCTCTCTCTCGGAAGACACGCGCACCCAAACTTCACTGAAGCTGAGCAGCTGCGGAAACGTTTGGGCGAGTAGGGTTAAGGGTTTGAAGTGTATGGATCTCAACTCCAATACACTCACAACCCTAAACCCCTGAGATTTCAGGGTTGAGAGTTAGAGTTCCGGGTGATGTTGACGGGGTTGCCCTTTCAAGGATAACAGACAGGGCGCCAGGCCAACCTCCATCAATAGGAATCCTGTCATGAGGGTACATCTTAGGAGGGGCTGAATACGTAGAGCACTGAAACGGCTAAGCTGCGAATTTGGGTGGGGTTCAAAACACCCACAACGGAAAAGGTTACCCACCAAACCACGAACCAGAAACCCTCGGCCGTAAACCCAAAATCATAAAACCTGAGCCCAAAGCCGCAAGCACAAAAACCCGAAACCCTAAGGCATTATTAACCGCCCTTTCCACTTTGACCAGACGGGACCCTCAATACCAGTTTATTCCTGAAAGATTTTGGGGTCTCTGTGGGGCTGTTCTTAGGGTCTTAAGACATCTAGGTTCCTCAGTAACATCAGGGTACCCTTGTTCCTAACCTAATACTTCGATTTAACAAGGAGACCCCAAACTAAAAAGGGCCAAAGGGTACTACTCACGAACCTACCGAACCCTAAACCCCCATAGATCCCTTATAGAACCCTAACCCTGAACCCTAAACCCTAAGCCCCCATAGATCCCTTATAGAAAGGGAATCAAACCTCTACATTAAACTCCCAGGATGACGAGTGGCAGCAAAGGCAAATGCCAGGACTTCTCGAGCGTAAAGTGATCCCCAGGCTTCCTTTTTGGGCTTTTAGGGTTTAGAGGTTTAGGGTTTAGGGGTTTAGGGTTTAGGGGTTTTTAGGTTCTGGGTGTTTAGGGTTGAAGGTTTTAGAAGAGCCCTTAAGGGAACCCTTAACGTATCCCTGTGGGATCTCTAAAGGAACCCTGAAGGGGAGCCAGGTAGTAGGACGCCAAGCCCTCAGAGCTCTAAACTCGAATACTGAAGTCCTCCACCCGACCATCACCAAACCCTACCTGCCGCGGTGTTGGGTATAGGGTTTAGGTGTTGAGGGGCATGTATCAAGGAAAAAGCATGTAATGTAAAGAACCTGGAACCTGTAGGCGGCTGTTCAGGGTCTGATAGGAACTACAATTTTTTAAACCCCAAACTAAGTACTCTCAGTCTTAGGGGGTACCTCTTTAGGGCCGCGTATACAGGAAAAAAATCTAAGGAACTTGAAACCTGCAGGCTCGGATTGCGGAGGGTCCTACATGGGTGTGGGCCTAGTGACCTGGGGTGGCCCCTAAACCGTAAACCCTCCCTAAACTTGTAAACCCGACACCCCTAAACCCCTAAAACCCTAAACCCCTAAACCCTAAACCCCTAAACCCCTTAAACCCCTAAAGCCCTAAACCCTTAAACCCCTTAAACCCCTGAACAAGCCCTAAACTCCGAACCCTGGGATGGCTCTCGGGTCGAAGAGAACGCGATAACGAAACCACGAAAGCCATCTTCGGAGTTGATCTACAAAAGGGTCCCAAGTGCCAACATAGTAGGCTTTCTATATGAGGACCACTAGGAATGACGATCATGATTTGGGAAAGCACCCCCATGACTGTGCCGGACCCTTTTGGGTGTATAAAGGTCTAACATGGGTGGCTTGATGATGGGAATGGGCTTCTTTCAAGGGCTGCTTTTAGGGATCCAGAAGTCTTAACTACTATAAGGGTTCTATGTGATAGGTGCCTTGATGATTAGACAAGGGTCTGCGGGTATACAGCATAGTATGCTCAAGCGAAGGACCTCTAGGCAGTACTGAGTCTAACCCTACATTACTTGTCCAGCTTCCTATGGGAACTAAACATGGATTCTTGGAGTTTACAAGGATTTTGCTATTGGCCCGGCTTTACGCGAGGACTACCACTGTGTGTTTCTCGGAATGTTCACCAGAGGGGTTTTGCTCATCGAGTCGGTGAAACAGGACTTCCAGTAGTGAAGCTCTGATGGCCACAGCAACCAAACACTAGGAAGTAACGATTTCTATGATTCCCTTAGATAAATCTTTAATAGAGGTATTGTATGGTTTCGATTAAGAAACCCTGGATCCATGTCAGCGCCTTCTTATGAACCTGACTGTTTTGGGGTCCTACGGTTGATGATATAAATCCTGCATTACCCATAATAAGGAATATCCCATAATTCCCACAGTTTAGGGTCTTTAAGGTAATGCAGGATTTATATCATCATACGGCCTTGGGTTTCTTAACCTTGGGATCCTCGAACCTGCAGCTAGGCTTGAAAGCTTGGCAAGACCACCCATACCCAAAGGGTCCTATGTACTGTTATTGGGAATACTTCCCCGAATCATAATAGTAGCTCCTGATATAGAAAACCCTACATTCTACTATATCGGTACTTTGGACCCTTTGGGATAGTCTCCATTGTAGTTTCTTTTCTTGGCTACCTTATAGGATCCTAACTATACGATTGGTTTAACACCGAAAAGGAAGTACAACTGATAGTGTTAATATAGGTACTGTTGACTCCTCTTGGGCAACTCTCGATCCGATCCATAATACCTGTAAGACGACGTGAAACCAAAAAAGGTTCAAGGTTCATATACCACAGCATTACGCTCAATGTCCCATACTTTTAAGGGTCATTGGTCCTTACGGCTTAGGGAATAGGTCTAAGGCCTCGTCAATGTTCGCAGAGCTTCGCGAAAAGACTGGCACTATGAAGCTGTATAGGCTTGATAGAGGGGCAACCAGAGCTTGATAAGGGCCTCACAACGTCTTGTCGGGTGTTGCAGGGTGAACGTGTAGACCCATGGCAGCAACTTCATCTATGGGACCCGTGCACAGACTCTAGAATCCCTGCGAGGACACATGCGATGTACTTCCTCAACCGCCTTTCCCTTGATTCTAAACCCCAGCTCAAGGAAGTAAGAGTGTTCTGAGCAAAAACCAAACCCTAAACTCCAACCCCTGACCCCTAAACCCATAAACCCTCAAAAAACCTCTGAATCCTAAGCCCTACACCCAAACCCCTAAACGCTACAACCCTAAACCCCCACTACACCCCCAAACCCCTCTTTAAATCCCAAGAAACCTTGACTCAGGTCCGAGTTGCAGTTGTCGACAGTCCAGTCCACTGTCGTCCAGTGCTTGACACAAGGAGGTGTTGAAATGATACACCTGGGCCACTTTCGGGCGCAGGGTTGGAAAATGCTTATGTATGTATACTATATATATATATATATATTATGTACCTGACTTGTATATACACATACATGTGTACATGTATATAGAGAGATAGACACATATGTAGGTAGGTATGTAGGCAGGTAGGTAGATAGGTGTAGATATAGAAGATACAGGTACATGCACACAAGTATACATACAGACATACGTACATACATACGTACATACATACGTACATACATACATACCCACGTACTTACCTATCTGCGTGCCTACCTGCGTACGTACATACATACAGATATACATACATAGACACCTGTACATACATACATACATACATACATACAAACGTACATACATACATATATTGTAAACATGCATACATACATACATACATACATACATCGCAATCAAAACTAAAGTCCCTTGCTGGGTAACCTCGATATTAGGTGCCGTATTAAGGTGTGCGCGGGGCTTGGAGGTGGGGTTGTGGGGAAAAGGGCGTTCAAGCGAGGTTTGTAGGGCTCAGGGGGGCCGACATCAGGTTCAAGGTTTGGGTTGTAATAAACCTACGGTGGGAAATGTCTAATGGACCAGGAACCCATCTTTGGGTACTTGGGTGAAGGATATTATCATTGCAGGATACATTCTTGAACGTATGCGATAGTTGAGCATGTGTATGCTTCGGGTAGCAAGTTTCTCGATAACTCGGAAGCCCATGAGTCAGCACTGCCGGTGGGTATGCAAAATCGATAGTCCTTCCCACTTACACGCCTAAACCCTGGAGCCTTAAACCCCAAACCAGTGCTTCCAGGCACTGGCATGCAGTCGTTGATGCGTCGGCAGAACAAGACCTCAGGGTGCTGCATGGTTTTGGCCCGGAAACTCAAACTTAAACCACCCCATAAGTCGGAGCAAGGAGGTTCAGCGTGGATAAAGATGTGTGCATGGCCCTTAATAGAAGAGCTTACCCCAAGCCGCTGTTGTCTTGTGTTAAGCCCAAAAACCCCGAACCCTAAAATTCTATACCCCAAACACGAGACCCCGAACCCTATGCCCCGAACCCGAAACTCCAGATCCCAAACTCTGAATCCTAAATCCCACAGCATACGCCCGGAACCATAAAGCCTACCTTAACCCCGAATAACCTACCTTTTTACGGGATTTCTCAAAAAAACGCTTAAACATGTAGGTCACTCCGGGTTTAGTAAACATCTCTAAACCCTAAACCCGGCCTCTGAGCATAGATAAGGTCCAGGGGTAATGCTCCCTGTTTAAGCCACTTTTCTCCTCGTGTGTAACATGAAGACGGTTCCTGTAGGCGGGGTTCCCAGAGGGTACTAACAAAGGGGACCTTATGGGTGTGGGGTTTCGGGTATAAGGATCTACGTACTCATAGCCTCATACACCATATACTTTGGCCTTTTCGGTACTTTAGGGCCTAGATGGGTACACGGACCCTTATTAGGGTGATGTAGGACCTCAAAAACCGACTATGAGGCCCCTTCAAAGGCGGCCAGCAGTGGTGATGGCCGCTCTACTTGGAGGGGCAGGGGACTTAGCAAGGGTTCTTACAGGGCTCCTTAAAGGGATCTATAGGGGTTCCGTAAAGGGATCTATGGGGTTTAGCGTTTAGGGTCTACTTGGAGGGGCAGGGAACTTAGTAAGTCGCTATAAGTAGGGTTATAATTGGGGTATTTCCATGCAGGCTACTTACTTATAATATAACTCTACGTATAACCTACTTAGGGTTTTAGTTGGGGTAACTCCATGTAGGGTACTTATAACTCTACTTATATATAACCAACTTACTAAGTCCCTGCCCCTCCAAGTTGGAGGGCCCATGAGGCCTCGCACAAGATGGCCGAGGCCATGGTGATAACTGAGCCAGCTGAGCACGTCGCGGGGGCATCTCTTCGGGGAAAAGCGCCGACATTGTCACCGCCCCGGGGACTACGGTGGCTATCGTAACCATATACAGTCGGTCCGTAAGGGTCGCAGATCTTTTGGGGTAACTGGGGTTTTAGGACCCTCCGCCGTCAAAGATGCGTTCAAAGTCACAGGAGCATCTTGCGCGCCCGCAGCCGAGTTCCCCACTTCTGGGCAATTTGCGATTCGTGTGGTCCTTCAATTGTCAGTGTCGTGTGCTCGGCATCCCAGCTTCCTCGCACTTCCCCTTTCGGCCTGCGGAGAATTCGGAGATGTACCCACTTTGCCGTCTTCGAGCTCCTCCTATAGTCTCCATTGCAGCTCCTCTTTGGGTTAAACCAATTTTACAGACAGGATTGTATATAAGGTAACCCAAAAAAGGCCACTACAATGGAGGCTACAGGTTCCCTGTTTGGCAGCATCGCGCGGGCTTTTTTCTTTCTTGAGCCCTGAAGTAGCCGAAAAGGAGGCTCTCCAAGCTCTTGCTCAGACCGGACATGTCGTTTAGGTTAGAAGCTGCCCCCACCCTGTAACAGTGGTATATATGATAGGAATACAATAGGGCCCTATTATATTCCTTACAGTCACTATTACAGGGTGGGGGCAGCTTCTAAGGTTTAGGGCTTACTCAAAACCGCCCAAACGCCTGAAACAGTATGGTCTTTGGGCCCAAAAGCCTTAAAAGATGAGTCCTTAGAGCCTAAGGGTTAGGGTTCAGGATGGTTTGGTCTAGGGGTAAGGTTCAGGCTTTAGGGTTAAGGTCAACGTTCAGTTTGTTTTTTGTTTTTCGCTCCTTTTCTCCTGCAACTGAAGGTTCAGGGTTTAGGGTTCAGGCTTTCGGGTTAAGGTTCAGGGTTTCAGGGTTTAGGGTTCAGGGTTTTGGGTTTAGGGCTTCCAGTTTCGCTTCTTGTCGTCGGACACATGTCGTTGCGAGCCTCTCAAGGGGGATGGCCGTCGCCAAAAACACCAATTGGGGGTGGTAGACTGTTGTGGGGCTTGTGTTGTCTTAGTGGGGTTTAGGGTGTTGGTGGGTTCTTGCCGGCTTATGGAAGTGCAAAGGTCTGGGAATTTTCAGGGTTTAGGTTTAGGGAGGGGGGGTCGGGTAAGGGGGGCGACCCTGCGACTCCTACCTAAATAATGGGCTACCATGCTGCAAGCGGCAGATTCGGGGCCTAAAGACATCACCCGACTATGCAAGCATCTTGCATGCATGAAGACTGAAGCCCAAACTGGAGCTCCTCAACATCAGGGAGAACATAAACCACTGAACCCTAAACCCCTTAACAGGGCTTACACCAACAACTAAATCCTAAACCCCTTCACAGGGCCAGAAAACAACCACTAAGCCCTAAACCCTAAACCCGTTAACAGGGCTAACATAAACGACTAAACAGTAAGCCCAAGGGGATCCTTGCGACAACTAAACCCCAAAGCTAGGAGCCCTTCGTTTCCAGAAAGCACCCCTAAACCCGAAAGTCTAAGAAAACTACATGTATAGGGTTCCTTGTCATGATTCCCAGGTATAAACCCTTCAACAAGTGGGATATTTGAGGGTAAGCTTGTCATAAAAAACCTTAAAGCATCCTCAAAGACTATATTGCATCCCAGGTGGCCCGTGCATCCAGGGTTACGGACGCAGGGTCCTGCGCTACAGCGGCGTAGGATATGCAGCCAGGGCCTGCCTCAACCACCTTCTAGCGTTTTGCCTTTTCGATGCTTTATGCACATACATATATGTACATACCTACCTACCTACCTACCTGTATCCATACATACATACATGCGGGGCTTGAGGCTGCAGGGGGTCAACAGTTGATATAGCCTACTGCTGAGCCGCAAGAGCTCTCAGAAGTAGAATGCTCTTTTGGGGTATGCTATAGCCGAAGTACAATCTGTGTAAGCCCCCCGCCCTCCCCGAGGCAGGGAGCCAAGGATCCGAAAGCCAAACCCGAAAACCATATATACATATATACATATATATATATATATATACATATATTGTTCGTTCTTATATATTTATAAACCCCAATAATCCCAGCCGAAACCGTTAAGGAACCTGTATAAACTGAGAGGAAAACCATGCAGAAGCCCTTTTCAACCCGAAACGGGATCCTAGTTAAGGGAACGCAAGATTCGAAACCATACGTTGAAATGCACCAGCCCAAAGCCCTAACCTCAAGAGTCCATGTACTCACAGAGTATATACTTGGGCCTTCATGTAATCCCTTTTGTAATCCTTTTGAGTACTTTAGGGCCCAAGTATATACAACGTGGGTACATGGACAATTCGGGTAGTGTAAGAGGTTCCTGAGTAAAACAAAGCTCCCTTGAGGGCTCCTTGTAGGGATATGTTCGGGCTAGTTCTCAATTTCTTTAAGGGTTCCATAAGATAGCCTTAATAAATAAGCAAAGTGGGGTTTAGGGGGTGCGTTATGGCAATAAAACAAGTGAAACTGTGAGGAATGAGATTAGCAGATTTACAGTTAATCAGGCCCCAACCCCGACATCAAGGCTCGCGGGCCTCTGCAAGTAGGTTCTACATTCTACGTAAGGCTAGAAGGAAGCTAGACCCCACTCAAGGTCCTTATACCTCTACATGCAATCTAGCAAAGACACTAAAAAATAAGTCTTCCTATCAACCACTTAGTACGTCCCCTGAACCTTTTCATGCCGACACCCCTGAAGCCCTTGATGCCGAAGAAGAAGCCTTGAGAACACTCAAACCTCCAAACCCCGGCGCAAGCCTCAGGGTTTTAGGGATTTCGGGGTTGAAGGGATTAGGGGTTTGGGGGTTCAGGGTTTAGGGGTTTACGGCTTCGGGGCGTGTGAGGTTGGCAGGGTTCCACGATGATGGCAAGCATCACAACACGAGTACGAGATGCCACTTTAATGGAGCCCTTATGGCCTTTAATAGTGGGTATTTAGGGCACGTTAGAGGGTAGTTGGGGGGTCTAAGTAGAGGGCATTCATGGCGTTGAACACGGTATATAGAAGGTGTTGGTGCAGCGAAACCTTCCCGTTTTGAAGGCCCCTGGACAGAACAGAAAACAACAACATGCAAGGCTTCTCGTGATTTCAAGCAGAAGCAGCAGTATGCAAAGGCTTCTTGTGGCTTAAAGTGCGTGGTGCACGTCACTTGCAAGTCTGTCACTAAGACTCCAAGTATACAAAAACTAACTACCTAGGGGTCTTAGATCGATACCTGGCACCTACTTTGCGCTATTTGGAGTCTCAAGGAATATTGCATGTCGCCGCGTCTCCTGAATTTCAGCAGTTGGCGGCACCTTGCCCATGACCTGCGAAGACTCCCAGCTGCAAGTGACCCTTCAGGGGATTGGTATGGGAGTTTGCCTTATTGCATATTCAGTAGATAGACTTACAAATAATTACAAACATACGTGCACATATAACGATATACATATTTAGATACACACCGCCATACTATATTACATCATATACTTAATATATACATATATTGCACATCTATATGCTTTCCGCCGACAGCTCCTTTGTCGAGCATTTCCACTAACAGCGACTTGAAAGACCAGAAAAGGTCAGCCAGGAAACCCAGTAACAAGCAAACAGACACACATACAAACAAGCAAACCAACTAACAGAGTAACCAAGAGGCTTGTAATTATAGCACTGAGCCTTGGGTTTCCCAAGATGTGCGATGTCTACCTACTGGAAGAGCGGCTTTACGCTTTCTGATGTTTTTAAACGACCGCAAGACGTAGACCTGCCAGGTATTCATTGCAGTTACAAAAGGCGCTTGATAAGGGGAAAGACGAGATGAAGAAACCCTCAACCCTAACCTCTAAAACTGTCACGGACACTTCAACCCTGAAAGGCAAAGGCACAAACAAAGAACAGAAACACTGCTTCAACATCACAGTGACTACAGCAAGCATAAGCGTACGGGACATGACCCTTCATGTTTCATAAATACAGGGTCGTAAATAACTATCGGTACCATTCTGGGATTCCTCATTGCAAGGTGCCCCAACAACCTAGTCTAACTGTTCAAGAGCCCCCCATATCAAGCCTTCGACTGACAAAGGAGTTAGGCCAGCGAGGATCTTATGCATGCCACCTTGCTGCCGCCCTAATCCCCAAACCCAAACCCTAACGGTCCAAGTATCCAAAAAGTACGGTTCTTGGTGCCCGAAAATCTTTCAGTGGATAGTATCCGGGAACTGAAAAAAACTCACTATGTGGGCAACGGGAGCCTGCCGGAAAACTCAAAACCCTAACACTGCAACCTAGACCTTTATCCCAAACCCTAACCTCTTTGACCCATACATTTTAAACGCTCAGAATGAAAACATGATCGATCCATGCCCACTTGTCCAGAATCCTGGGTAACTAGGGTTAACCTGTGGGAGTACATCAGTATTGTGATAATTAGGGGTTGTAGCACCCCAAAAAGTTCAAATTTCCTACAACTAAAGCCACCAAACCTTGCGCCCTGAACCTCTCAACCCTAAACCTCCAAACCCCTAAACCCTTAACTCCTAAGGACCTGCACCGTCAACTTTTCGTTTGTGTGCGGCTGCTTCGGGGAAAGCCTCAGACCCCCAGGCGAGTTTAGAGCTTCAGGTTTGGGGGTTTAGGGTTTACATAGGGTGTATAGTAGGATTTAGGCTTTAGGTTTCAAAGGCTTTGGGTTTAGAGCTTTCGGGTTGAGGCTGTTTAGGGCACTTTACGGTTCAGAATCTGGGGTTTAGAAGTTTCACGGTTGAGGCTTCTAGGGTTTGGGATGCTATTTCGGATGGGGTTCATATACAGGAATATGGGAGTTTCCGAAAATTAGGGAGGTACCTTATTCTGGGGGCCTTATAATAAGGATCCTACTATTTAGGGTACTATATTAGGGTCCCCTGTTTTCGGAAACTCCCATATGGATAGCGATTTAGTTTCGCAGATTAGGGATAGAAAAGGAGCAGGGATGCATTCGTGCGGGCGTCAGATCTGCCTGAACCATCTTGGGGCTACCCCTAAGGGTCCATGTACTATATAGTATATACTGAAGCCTGAAAGGTCTCCCATCTTGGTACTTTAAGGCCTATAAGTATGTACGGTATAGGTACATGGAGCCTTAGGGCTACGCAACAGGCAGTCCCCCAAACCCTAAACCCTAAACTGAGGGGAGTGCTCCATTCAGGGCTTCGGGTTTTGGAACTGGGGATCAAGTCCCGAAGCCTACACTTCAAGATTTACTACCCAGATCCCTTCCAATATCCCCAAACCCTAAACCCTACTGTTGATGGACAAAATCCTGCACGACCTTAAGGACCCTAAACTATGGGAATTATGGTATATTCCCCATATTGGGTCATGCAGGATTTTGTCCATCAACAGTAGTAGGACCCCGGATATGATTTTAGGTGTATTCCTTATCTCAAGGATCTTGGAAGACTTGGGTACCTAGAGGCTCATACCCCACCGCCGTTTTAAAGGTACCTAATATTCTATATAACAGATCCTAACCATAAAACCAGGTATCCTACAAGAAAGGGCTAGGGTATGAGCCTACAGGTATGTTCGGCACACTTGAACCCTGAACCCCTATACCCTACACCCCTATAACTTAAAGGGGACCCCCGTGTCTTGGAGGATCCTGGAAGACCTGGGTATGTTCGGCAGGGTTGGGGATCTGATGTTTCGGCGCCTGTGTAGCTTTGAAGGTTGGATGCATGCATGTAGACTCCCAAACGGTCCAAGTATCATTATGGTATATACTTAGAGCCCCAAAGATACCCTATAAGTATATACCAATGATACTTGACCCTTTGGGACTTCGAGGCGTGCTGCGTAAGGTGACGACGGGGACGTATAATGTACTACGATTATGCAAGTATAAGAATTCTACGTACCTAAAACCGACCTACACATGAACATGCGTGCCAATGCTAACGCACACCCGCAAGGTTATGAGTTTAAGGCAGACTAAGCCCAAAGTAAGCCTCAAATAACTCTACTGTATACAAAACTTGACACCGGCCAAGTAGAAGGCTCGGGAGTTGTCCCAATCGCAGTACCCTCACCCAATGCCGAAAACCTCAAGTGCTAGGCCCTCGTTGCAGCCAGGTTGCGAGACAAGGTCTACCTTGGTAATCTAGGGGCCTTGATAAATGATATTATAGCCATAACTCTACTAGTGATCGAAACATTTTCTACGCTTTCAAGTTTAGGGCTCAGGGTGCATAGGATTCAGTCTTCTGCTGTGGGTTGACGGCTGCGGATTCGGAAAGCTCTTGAGCACAATGTTCCGAACATACGTATTTCATGTCTTTCTGCGCAGGTTTGCTGCTACTACATTTTGAAGATCTGAACTGACCCTGAACCCTATACATCCTAAACCCCACTGTAGTTTTGGGGATTTGAGGCAACTCCATGCCCCAAACCGGCGAAATATCCTCAACACCGGGGTGGAGCAGATCCCTCACATATGGAGACCTTAATGGTACGGGATCGATGACGGGTTGCTCTTGCGGTTCTGTAACGGGCGTCTATTATGCATCGATTAGTAGAAACTGGGTAAAGTAGGCTAGAATAACAGTTTAGGCAGTTATTCAGGCTTGTCGTGTTAAGGCTACAGGTGTTCCAAATCCCTAGCACTTTCTGGCCTGGCTGGACACTATTGAATATCTGAAGCCTGGTAAGCTGCCTTTTCTTAGCATTCCTTGTCATGACTTCCGTATATAACCCCAAGGATCCATGCACCCAAATAGTATATACTTGGGCCCCAAAGTACCTATATAGAGACTACATTAAGGCCGAAGTATATACCCTATTTGGGTACATGAACCTTAGGGTTATAGGTCCTTCATACAAGAAAAAGTATGGCTTCTGGGTTCAGGTAAGGCATAAGCAGGCATAAACTTACACCAAGCCCGAAATACCGAGACCAGAACGTCAAAACCACCGCCAAGGGACACGGTCTTTCCAGGGGACTCTTAGACTTGGGCTTTAGGGCGTAGAGGTTTACGCTGTGTGGGTTTTAGGGTTTAGAGTTTGAAGCTTCAGGGCAGAGATTCGGATGCTGGGGTTTAGTTTTTGATGCTTTCAAGTGGCAGTCCGGGGTTCACGAACTTGACCTCTCCTAACCCCTGCTGGAACTCCACGGGTTTCCCGCATGAGACTCTGCATGGGGATCAGACACCTACTGTCTTGAGGGTTATACCCTCTAATCAGGTGGTCATAAACTACTAATTTGTAGGGATCTGGGATACAAGCAAACCACGAAAGCCTACACACTAAATCCTGAACCCTACACCGCGACCCGTCCGAGAGGCTGCAATGTCTTCACTGGGCCCGCACAGGGCGGGAGCCTGACGGGTTTAGTGCTTCTGCTTTCACAGAGGTGTAGGGGCGTTGGCACTGGGGGCTTGGGAGTTTAGGGGTTCAGGATTTAGCATTCATAGCGAGAAGAGAAGCTTGCATATTTGGCTCGGGGTATTGGTGCTTCTCAAGGGTCTGTTGCATCCTACCCTACTCCCTACACCCTACACCGCTCATTGAACCTCTAAACCTTTAAACTCTTGCTGAGTAAAGACCCGAATGAATAAAAGTTTGTGTTTATCGGGCTTGGGTGCTGGGATTGCAGTTCCAACAAAAAAACGCGGGCCTGAATAAACAAATGTTGGACTGCAGTGTGCGGTGTTTTCGGATAGCCTAATCATGTTCAGAACCCTCTGATTTGTCTTGGAGGGTTACAAACCCTAAACCCTAGGACCCTAAACCCCAAAGCTCTGAACCCCGAAATTCCCTCAAAACCCTAAAACCACCTAACGAAAAAATCGATTTGAGAAACAACAAAAAAAGTCTCCGAGCTCGTCCGGCCTTCTCCGCCCGCAAGACGTGCGCGAGAAGAGCCTGCAGCCAGAGCCATTTCACTTAGAGGCCCAGGGACTTTGTAAGTCGGTTATAAGTAGGGTTAGAATTGGGGAAACTCCATTGAGGGGACCTATAACTCTTACTAAGTCCCCCGGGTCTCTAAGCAGGGCAATGTGTTAAAGGGTTTAGGATGGTTTCGGAACAAGCAAGGTCCCTCATGGTCCTAGGACTTGTAGAACAACCCCATGCCGCAAACCCACATAGTATATACTTTGGCCCAGAAATTGTCCCCGTATAGGTACTTTAGGGCCCCAGTATCTACTATAACCCTTAGTATCTATATAGGTACATGGACCCTTTCGAAAGGCAAGTTCGAAAATTCCGTCCTCAAGATAAGAAGAGCCCTGTAGCCGTTGGACCGGTCAATGCAGCACCCTGAATTCAATGCTTGAGGTTTTGGGATACCGGGATTCGGGGTATATAAGGTTTGGGGTTGAGGGTTTAGAGTTTTTGGGTTTGGGGTTTGGGGTTTAGGGTGTGAGGTTTGGGGCTTTTGGGTTCAGGGCTTTACGGGGCTATGGAATTGGAGTTTAGGTTTGCCCTACAAATCCCGTAGTAAACTACATCCTTCTTGGGTGTCCTGGCAAACGGATTCCTCCGAACCAGCCGGTTTTGGGCTAACCAGCTCAATAGCACCAAGGCAACCAACCAAGTGGAACGACAACTAATAAGTCGCATAGGGTGCAAAAAAGACCGAGACCCTGAACTTTACTATATTTGGCCCATTTTATGGTTCGGATCCCAGCATAAGAAACTCAGGCAACTGAAAAACTGTACTACATTTAATGGTCCGGGTAGACTCAACCCGAAATCTCTCTAGCCACGCTCTGAGCTCAGCACTGGAAGAATCCATCCTATGCTCGGCATGAGGCTGGAAAAATCGTCAAACAAAAGCTGGAAGGCCCCGTGTCGGGGGCTGTTAACCCTTTAGGGTTTAGGGCTTAAGGATGTGTAGGGTTGAGTTTGGCTGCCTGGTTCCTCAAAGCTATAGTGGAGGGTTTTTTGACGGGGCTGGAAGACTTCACAAGGGGTGGGCCACAAGTCTAACTCAAAAGCAAATGTCGGGTAACCCTGCACTAAGTATTAGGTTCCTTCATGGCGTCTGAGCCTCTAGCCTGTTGTTTGCGGGTTGTTGTTCCATTTAGGTTCAGGCAGTTCCTGAAACCAGAATGATCCCAACATGTTCAACACCCAATCGCACAGATATTACAGGCTCCTGTTCTTGAAGCCCTAGTGGGGCGCGCAGCCCTTGAGCAACGGCGACGAAGCAGTTTGCAGTGGATCCACGTGGGGCGAAGAAACCTGATAAGACGTAACACGCTCCTACATCAACAGCGCTACACCCCTAAAGAATCATCCCATACACCATGAGCACTGCGCACCAACAAACACTCCTAAAAAAGGAACCGATAAACCATGAACACAACACACCCACGAAAACACTACTAAACAAACAAACTAAACATAGTACTGGCTGCTAATGGTCAGGTTCATAGTCAGGCAGCCCAGCGTAAGTACTGCTTCTGGACGAAAGAACCAAAGAACCCAAAGTATGCCCTTGAGTGTAGTTGGCGTCTTAAGCTAATGCCAACCCACGTATGCCAAATTAATATAGAGGCCTTAAAATTTAGAATGGGGTTTTGGTGCCATATATGTTATACGTATAATCATAAGGAAACCCCATAAGAGTATAGGTAATTGTTTAGGCCCCTATGGTACTTTTGGAGTATCCTTCTCTTGCAGGATTTACGGCCATCATGCTCATCGACTTCGTGACACGTTGTTAAGGAGCCCCTAAACCCCACACACCAAACCCGAAACCCCAAACGCTAAACCCCTAAACTACTATTTGCTTACGAACCCCCCAAAAAATATATATTCCTTATAGGGATAATATATGGATTATTTATTTTTATTTTCTGGCCTGGATGGTTCTTAAGCAAAGAGTAGTAAATTGTAAGCCCAAAACTCCCGCTCCAGCCCTGGAGTCTGTTGATGCTTTGTGGGCAGCGCTTTTCGGGTTTAGGGTTTTGGGGTTTACCTTTTAAAGTGTAGGCTATTGGGTTTATGGTTTCGGGTTTAAGGTTTTAGAGTTTCAGCTTGAGGCCGTCTTCCGATCGAAAACGGGGCAGATCCAAAAGCATCAACCGGCAGCGGACTGGAGGAGCTATACTGGTGCTTGTTATTCTACAACGCGAAAGGGTCCTAAGTACCTATATAATCGACGAACCACTATTATGAGTTGGGAAAGTATCCCCCATAACGGTACGAACTGCCTGGGATCTGAACTACAACCCGAAACGGTCCTAAGTACATGTATAGTCGAAACCAGAGGCCTTAACATCGACACACACACACACACACACACACACAGCACCCTGCACCGATGAGAAACCCGCGCTTATACAAACCCTGAAAACATCTTGGTATTACAAGTCTCTCTCGCTCTCTGTCTCTCTCTCCCTCTAGGTAGGTACACAGATAGATATGTGTATATATATATATATAATATACACACGCACATACAATATTCTCCTTAGAAAGCATGAACCCTTGAGAAACCTCTGCAGCAGCACAGCCAGTCTCTGGAGAGGTTTCACGGCCAGTCGAAGCGACTCGGCCGTACCCTGAACGGCTGTGTAAGGGTTTACCTTAAGGGTCCATGTACCCACGTAGCATATACTTCGGCTTTCAAGTAGTCCCTATATAGGTACTTTGGGGCCACGTTATATACTAGTTGGGTACATGGACCCTTAGGTTTAGGGTTTTACAGGGTTTGGGCATCGGATTTAGGATTTGTGGCTTTGGGGGTCTGGGCTGGGGCTTGAAGGGTTCAATTGCTGCAGGGTGGGCTTCCTCCAAAGGATCTTTCATAGGCTCTAAATGGTTGAAGCTCTATATGGCATAGCTAGGGCTCCCTTTTGAGGGGTCTTAAAGGGCTCCATATTGGCTTTAGGCCTGGAGAGTTTACGGGTAGGCCGCCGGGTTTCCTTTGAGGGATCTGTAAGGGCTCTGTCGGGGGTTAGACTTCGGTTTAAGTACCAGGTTCCTTTAAAAGTTCGTTTAAGGGTTCCGCGGAGGGATCCTTAAAAGTATCTATAAGGGTTCTTTCAAAAAGGTTTAGTCCACCGCAGTAAGACTTGGCATGCAGGTCTCCAGGGTACTGGTTCATCCTCCTTATCATCAGCATCATGCAGGGGCCTTATACGGCCAGGTTTTGGTTGTGGACTGGGAGAGTGGGGGGGGCTTCACCCGAAAATAGTAATCTAGGGCAGCAGCGCCTAGGTACCCTCTATTCATCCATTCCCAGAGGCCATACCACACTTCCTCTGGATCTTCTGTCAGAAGGGCGACTAAACGAAGTCCGACAAGTTTAAGCCTCAAGCCCCCCAAATCCTCCGTCAGGCCTGAAAACCGTAAACCCGAAACAACACATAGCCGAAACGTCTGAATGAAGCCCTGTGCACATGCCTATTATTCACCCCCTATGAGAACCACATACGCTAACTGAACCGAGTCCCTAACAAAGGGGCCTTCACAGGGTTTGGGGGCCCATTATACAATATTGACGAACTATCTTAAAAAAGAAGCCACCAAAATAGTGTTGGTAAATACTAAGGCCCCGACAGGTGTCAACTTCTCCGCTGTCCTTGGCGAGCTGAGGGCTAACAAGAGGGAGTTACGGTTGATGATATGCATCCCGCATTACCCACGATGAGAAATATACCATAATTCACATGGTCTAGTGCCATTACGGGCAGGAGTTATATCATCAACCATCTTATTACCTGGACCCTAAAAAAGTATGCAGACTATTGGCCGTTTGGAGGTGCTGGTAAATGTTGCTGTGCTTCGGGGGTCTAGTCATGTCTACTAAGTCTACTATACTACCGCTGCTAGTATGTGATACGATCTCGACCAATTCTGACAACCCTGGAGCCCTGCATTCCAAGCCTTACTGCAGGCCCGAAATGCATGAACATCGAAACAGCCCTGAGTGCAAGATCCTTGCTTGGGCAATCGAGATGTGCTTGCAGAAGCAGCCTGTAAGATTTCAAAACAAGCAAGGGTGCCACGACGAGCACCAGAAAAAGCAAGCCCCAGATTCAACACACAAAACCTGGAACATAGCATGGGCATAGGGCCTTAATCATTAGAACAGGGTTTTGGGGTATGTTGCACCATAGTTATAGAAAACAAGAATCTCCAAACTCGTATGGGTAGCATAAGGCACCGATATGAAGCAAGTGTGCGCGGAAATCAGCAGAAGCACTGACTCCCAAAAGATTGAAGGCGAGAGAGAGTGAGAGACAGACAGACAGAGAGAGAGAAAGAGAGAGAGAAAGAGAGAGAGAGAGAAAGAGAGAGAGAGAGAGAGAGAGAGAGAGAGAGTGCCTCAACCCCAAACACCGAAGCCATACTCTCCATCCGTCAAGTGTCTGCGCTGACTCCAGGGCAGAGGAAGCGCCACGCAGAAGGGAGTCGACGGCCGTGGTAAGATGTCTCCAGGGTGCCTTGGCTCTTAATTAAGGAATACACATGGGAGTTTCCGAAAATAGGGGTACCTTATTTGGGGGTCCTTATACTAAGAATCCTACTACTAAGGGTATATACTATATTAGGTATCCCCTATTTTCGGAAACCCCCATATGTATACTTGGTTGGGCCCAAAGCACCTTTATCGAGATTACTTTAGGGACAAAGTATATACTGTCTGGTTACATGGACCCTTAGGAATTTAAACTAATTTCCTAAGCACCCTAGAACTATTTAAGGTATATGCCGCAATTAAGGCATCGTCGAAGCTCCCCTCTTAGCTTCAACGACCAAAATACTTGTAGTGTCCCTAGAAATTGAACACCTACAAAATCCAGGTTGTGGCAGTTTAGGGTATAGCATCCACACATGTACCTGCACACACATACATCCACCCATCCATACGTACATACATAGTATGGGAGTATTCATGAATGGGTGAACCGGAGTAAGAACCTTGAATAGTTTCAAAAGGGACAAGGAGGGACCCTTGATGGGGACCCCTACCCTATAATGGGCTATAGCATGCTATATTAAGGGTATATACCTAGGGGTCCTTATTAAGGGTCCCTCCTTTTACCCTTGGAACCTTACTTGGAGGGGCAGGGGACTTAGTAAGCAGGTTATAAGTAGAGTTATAAGTACCCTAAATGGAGTTATGTACCCCAATTATAACCCTACTTATAAACGACTTACTACGTCCCCTGCCCCTCCCAAGTGGACCCTATACCCTAAACCCCGTAGATCCCTTTAAGGAACCCCTATAGATCCCTTTAAGGAGCCCTTTTTAAGAACCCTTACTACGTCCCCTGCCCCTCCATTGAAAATGGATCCCTCTTGCCCTGGAGCCCCTAAACATCAAGACCCCACCTCCCAAACTCATAGGGATCCTTAGGGGTGTAGGGGGGACGGGTGTAGGGGACTATGATTCCTGAAATAGGCCTTATTAGTCCTTATTATGGGCCTTAAGGCCCCCTACCCCCCCTCGCCCTACACCCCTAAGGATCCCTATGACAAACCCAAAGTCCCCTTTCAGGGTTTGGGGTTGAGGGGTTTGGGGTTTAGGGGTTCAAGGTTTAGGGTGTGGGGTTCGGGGCTTGTTGTTTGTGGGATTTTAGGCTTGCCATAGGGTACATGCACCTGCATACATGCATAAATAGTACAACCCTGCCCAAGAACCGGAACAAACCTTGGGTCTGTATTTGAGTGTTCATAGCATTGGCAACGATCCGCGTAAACGAAATACCTAGTCTGTTTCGGGCTGTAGCTGGATACTCTATGACACTGATATATTAGCTGATAGTTTCACGAATCCCCAGCTGTAAGTACTCATGGATTTCCCTGTAGCAGTCGTTGAATACACCTGTCCAACAAATCGCCGTTGTCTCCAAACATGAAATGTTCCCCTCTCAGCTCGGACCGCTTTGAAAAGGATCTTTATCCCGAACCCCCGCTGAATCAAAGCATATTCCGTAGCTTAAAACCCGAGCCCTAAACCCCAACCCCGCAAGCACATCCCGCGGCTCCGCCTCTTCCACCGTAGCATCCCGCGATGCGCCCGAAGCCTGGCAGGAAGCCAGTGCAGCTAATCGAGGGATCTCTTGAATTGGAATTCGGAACTCCTGTACGATGCCAGGGCTTCCCTGCAAAGGTGTATAAGTGCCAGCGAGCTGAAACATAACATGGCTCCATAATCAACCATCAAAAAGTACAAGACTCTGAGGAGAGTCATGTGCCCTATGACTGCTACACTCTAAACTTCTAAATCCCAAAGCCGTGCCTTAACCCCCAAAACTTACCTTAATCAGGAACCGTATCAGTGGAGGCCATTTCCCATGATCTCTAACCCAAAACCCTAAACCCTAACCCCATAATAATGACAGCTGAAGATGGGGCCGTCGTTGGGAGAGCTCCGGTTGGATTTGCTGTCGCAGCCTCAAGATCTGCCCTAAGGCTTCGAGCTGGGGTTTAGGGGTTTACGGGTTTGGGATTTTAGTGGAAGTTGTAACACCCTATAAAGCTCTAAACCCCAAACCAAACGCCTAAACCATATGGTTTTGGCTGGTGCTCAGAGTCTGTAGTATATAATATAGGTTCTAGCAGGCTTATACAGAACCTCTAAACTTGTAACTGCTTTGTAGCCACATCCCTAAACACTGATCCACTGATCCCCCAAATTACCAAGCTTGTGAAGCTAGGATACCCAGTAACCTAAGAATAAAAAGGCATCTCTTTTTGGTATTGGGTAACTTTATAAGGAACCTAGGACTACAAAAAGGGAATAAGGGTACTACTGGGCATCCTAGGAAGTGGCCGTGCAAGGAAATCATGCTAAGAGCTCCTCTAACACGCAGGCTTTTTCACGGGTTCTAAGTAGGGTTTCGGATGCCAGAGAGCCTCTAAATGAAACCCGAAACCAACAAAATGCAACATCCTAAACCCGAAGCCCGCAAAGAGGGCCAAGAGATAGCATAAAGCAACCTTTCGTTAAACCTACTTGTCGGGTATCATTAACCTTTTTGGCTATATAGGGATTATATAGGGACTACACTACCCAAAAAAGGTTAAAGGTTACCTACTCTACTACTAGGTAAAGGAACCCAGTGGAACCCGAAACCCTGGCCACTGGCCTTGGCGGTGCAACTGCGCCCCAGCTCCACTGCCGCGGTCAGCAGCGGGTCCTCTCTGAAGTCGTTGCGTTCTTTGCAGGAGGCTTTATAATACCTCTACACTGTTTTTGGTTAACCAATTCTATGGTTAGGATCTTAACATCTAACATATAATATAGATGCTTGTGGTTAACCAGTGTTATGGTTGGGATCTTAACTAGATTTTGGTTAACCAAAACATGGAACTACAATGGAGATCCTATAGACCCCGCAACTACCCTCTAATGTACCCCAAATACCCACTATTAAGGGCCATAAGGGCTCTATTAAAGGGCCTTTGGGGGGTTCCTGGACTATAGGTACGCTTTAGGGGAAAGGGCCTGCAATGCGGCCAACAGATTCCATGTTTCGGCCAGGCGCAGCAAGGACATCAAGCATACAACTGAGTCGATACGCCGAATGTCCATGTACATAAACAAGATATACCTTGTCTTTAACCGGGTACGTAGACATGTCCACTAAGCATTATTTCTAGAATAAACACAAAACCCACCCCCCAAGTATAGGCTGCCACGCCCCAACACCAAAACCCCTGAACCCCGACACCCTAAGTTAATCAACAAAACAAAACCCACAACCAAAAACCCCTGACCCAGAGTCGCATACTCTCTAAATCACCACTCCAAGACCCCGAACATCAGACCGGTCATGTTCCATGCCCATACAGCCAGTGTATTTCCAGCAATGGCCAGAGAAATCCACGGATATCGAATGCTTCTAAAACAACTCATATTGCGGCTTGGGCTTGTACCCTCGCAACGGTAGCATGCTTATGTTTGTCAGCCAAGCAGTCATAACGGCTTAGAAAGCTTAGGGTCATTTTTGTCGTGTCATCTTAAAGTCCGGAGCGAAACCTCTCCTCCTTGCTGGCGCCACCGTAGGCGGGCAGCCAGTTCAGCGCGCGCCATTCGAAATCCCAATCCTGAGAAATCCAAGTGCCAATATGGAAGTTGCAGAAGCCCTAAACCCTAAAACCCTAAACCCTAAACCCTAAACTCTTAATGAACCATGGGGGTCCATGCTACAAGATCCTGCACTGGGTTGCTACGATACGCATGGATATGCAGCGTTACGATAGACCCCCAAAGACCGTAACCCTTAGTCTCTAAGGACCCATCAAAAGGGATCTAGAGGGGTTCCTATAAGGGGATCTATAACCCGTTTAGGCTCTAAGGACTCATATTTCAAGGCTTTTTGGCCCAAAGACCATACTATACAAGGCTTTTGGGCCATTTTGAGCCTTACCGTAAGGCTCCTGGACCCTTGTAGTGAGATCCCGGACCCTAGCCCCCAAAGCCGAAACCCTCCGCCAGAAAGCCCAAGATCCTCTTAGGAGCCTTAGGGTAGGGAAACGCATTGCATGGAGAACGGTGCTTCTAAGAGTCAGCATGGACTTGGAGCTTCTGATGCATGTGGATGGTTGTCAAAATTATGGTTTAGGGTTTAGGGTTTAGGGTTTCGGGTAATAATTATGGTCCCTTTTTGGGTCCCTACTTGGAGGTTCATGGGTCGTTATAAGTGGGGTCCCTACTTATAGCTCCACTTATAACTACCCAAAAAAGGTTGAAGGTTGCCTGCTCTACTACTAGGGCTTATAAATTTGGCACTACTACGTCTTCCTCTGCTTGCTTAGACTATTACAGTAGGGATGGGTTTGGTAGGATCCCTGCTCTACTAGGACCACCAATGGCCCCTTAACGGAGCTCTTATGCTCCATAGTAGTGGGTACCATGTACCCAAATAGTATATACATTGGCCTTAAAGTACTCTCTATTTAGGTACGTTGGGGCCGAAGTATAAACTATTTGGGTACATAGACCCTTAGGGTTAGGGCATCTTATCGGGTGGTTGGGGGGTCGCGGTACGTAATGAAACCGGCGATGACTCTCTGACATGCGCAAGCGTTGCTGACCCTTAAGCTCGAAGGACTCATATTTTGAGGCTTTTGGGCCCAAAAACCATACTATATAAGGCTGTTGGGCTATTTTGAGCCTTAGGGTACCACTTCCGGGGATCCGCTGCCAGTCTCATGTGGCGTTGAGCTTTGACGCGGCTTCTTCTTTGAGGTAGGCGACTGGAAGGGGGGCAACTCTGCTGGCTGTGCTGGCTGAGTGTCCCTCTGAAGCTTCTGGGGGGACTTCGTCGATGGCGTCTTCTGGCCTGCGGTTTCCTCGAGACCGTGACTTTGACGTTGAGCTCGTGTTCGATGGTGTTCATGATGCCGACGCTGGCCAGGCCACAAACCAAGCACGCGAAATAGTCCGGAGCGTCCTTGACAGTGCTGTCCAAGGGAATATCTGGAGCCACCGCCAGATACAAGTCCGACTCCATGCAGTGCAGCTTCATCTCCTTCTTCTTGACCTAACCTTAAACACTGAACCTGAAATCGGGGTCCGGGTCTGTGGCATCTACATTGAAGCGCTGCCGGGTTGAGGTCAAAGGGTTTATGTGCTTGGCGAAAGGAGCGGATAGCTCTGCCCAAAAGGTCCCAGGCAATGCTACTGAGAATACTTCCACAGATCAGAATAGCAATTCCTAGCACACACAGACCCCACAGTCTACTAGACGAGATGACTATAAACCTACGGGTCCACGTACCCATATAGTATATGCTTATACAGGCACTAAAGTAACTAAGTAGGGACTACATCATTAAGGCCAGAATCTATGACACTTCTTGCATGGACCCTTAGGGTAATATGGCTTTGGGGGGACTTACAGAAGCTTGTGCGTCATCACAAGTTAAAGACAATAATCTACTATACAGGCGGGAATTGCAGGAATCAGGGAAACACCCCAAATAGTGGGATCCGCAGTCTTTGGGCCCCGAAACAGGGTACTGGCTAAACAAGGTTTAGGGTTCAGTACCTTCCCCTAAACAAGGCATTAACTGATTGTTCAAAATGCTAACCCTAGGGCTCAAAATAGCCCAACAGCCTTAATGTGCCGGTCGGTTTAGGAATATGGGCTCTTTTAGTGCGTTTTTTCCGGGGCTAATTCCGACCGGTCGCCCCAAATTGGGGGTGGTCTAATTAATGCGTTTTTTTTTGGCTGGGGTGATTTTTTGGTGGCGGGGCTGTGCTATTTGCTGATGGTCAATCTTAAGGCAGCCACGATCTAAACCCCCACCCAAACCCCCACCCAACCCTAAAACCCTGGCCCTGAAGCCCCAAAATCTCTTGCAGAATTGTTTCGCTTATTGGGGCGTCAGGAATGGGAGTCTGTACTACTACTGTACTACTATTGTACGTGCTACTGTATGCCTTGCTTATTGGTGGGGGCTGCTAGGGTGAACCGCCGAATCGGGGATTGGACCCTAGCTCAAAAGAGGCCTCTCCAGTACTAAAGTTTGTATAAAAAATTCAGTTTTGGGTCCAATCTGGACCGACCCCCCTTTGGAAGGGTTTAGGGCTTAGGGTTTAGGGTTTGTTATAGGGTTTAGGAGTTTAGGATTCGTTAGGGTTTAGGGTTTGTTAAGGTTTAGGGTTCAGGGTTTAGGGTTTCAGGCGCTGGCTTTATGCTTTGCTTATTGGGGGAATGTGCTCACTGGCTTTATGCTTTGCTTATTGGTACTATTTCTGTACTATTACTGTACTACTACTGTACTACTGTGGTACTACTACTGTACTACTAGTGTACTACTGTACTACTATTGTACTACTACTGTACTACTACTGTACTACTATTGTACTACTACTGTACTATTATCGTACTACTACTGTACTACTATTGTACTACCACTGTACTACTGTTGTATTACTATTGTACTACTGCACTATTATTGTACTACTACTGTACTATTATTGTACTACCGTACTATAATCGTACTACTACTGTACTACTACTGTACTACTATTGTGCTACTATTGTACTACTGTACTATTATTGTACTACTACTGTACTACTATTGTACTACCACTGTACTACTGTTGTATTACTATTGTACTACTGCACTATTATTATACTACTACTGTATTACTACTGTACTATTCTAGTATACCTTGATTATTGGGGGGGGATTGGACCCTAGCTCAAAAGAGGCCTCTCCAGTACTAAAGTTTGCATAAAAAATTAAGTTTTGGGTCGAATCTGGACCGACCCCCCTTTGGAAGGGTTTAGGGCTGAGGGTTTAATTAGGGTTTGTTATAGGGTCTAGGAGTTTAGGATTGGTTAGGGTTTAGGGTTCAGGGTTTAGGGTTTCAGGCGCTGGCCCAGACCCCCCCGACCCCCGACGGCGCAGTCGCGCAGAACCGCAGACCCTGCACCCAAACCAGCCCCCAAACCCCGGCACCTGCCAATTCCCTGCCACTCAGACCCCTGACCCCTGTCCGGGGCTACCGGTTCCGCACTAAACCGACCGCAACTTTTTGGTCGGGGGGGGGGGGGGGGGGGGGTACCCTAGTACTAAACCGACCGCCACATTACATAGTATGGTCTTGGGGCCCAACAGCCTTAAAATATGGGGTCCTTAGAGCCTAAGGGTCAGAAACCAGAAACCGCTGAGCTTTCGGCCACGTCGTCCCCGAGCACCTACGTGAAACCAGGGCAAAGGAGTTCCCAAAGGGTCCAAAGTACCTTTATAGTAGAATGTAGGGTTTCTATATTAGGAGTTGCTATTATGATTCGGGGAAGTATTCCCCATAACAGTACATAGGACCCTTTGAGGTTGCGAGAATGAGACTTTAGAAGCTTAACCTACTTGTCGGGTATCATGGGGTTAACCTTGTTGGTTATATAGAGATTATATAGGGACTGTACTACCCAAAAAGGTTGAAGGTTACCTACTCTACTACGAGCATAAAAGCTGTTTAGGGCTACAGGGTCAGGGTTTAGGATTAGGGTCTAGGGAGTCTCGGGTTTAGGGTTTAGGCTGTATCACGAAAACGGACAACTCACGAAGATGAACCTGATGCAAGACCTACGTGTCGGGTATCATGGGGAACTAAAGGTTGAACCTTTTTGGTTAATCAGGAATTATATAGACTGTACTACCCGAAAAGGTTAAAGGTTACCTACTTTATTACTAGCTTAAAAGTTGTTTAGGGCTATAGGGTTAGGGTTTAGGATTAGGGTTTAGGGTTTAGGGGTTTGGGGTTGAGGGTTCCTTTTAAGAGCTTATGGTTGAAGGTTCACCTTAGCCCCGAATGATTGCACATGTTGGCACTCCTCATTGTTGGCTCTGCCAAGCTCCAGCCCCGGGCTCGGACCCATCCACATGTGGTGGAAGGGTTTCGTTCCGAGCCCAGCTCGCCCGTGAAGTCGAACAGGCTTACCTGAAGACTCAAGTAGAACTTCATTCGAGCAATGACAACCGCGGTCAGTCCGAAGATGTCGAAGAAGCTATTGATCGCATCAAGTACTCCATTCCAGGTCAACTCCGATGCTACAGTCAGCATCGGGAAGTTCGTAGCGAACTTGACTTCCTGGCCAAATAACCAACATTTCCAAGACTTCAATAACAAGGAAATCATAACAAGGATCCCTAAACAGGCTGGTTATTCAGGGTTGAGGTAAACCTTGCAACCTTCAATTCTACACTCCCAAAAACCTAAGCTTGAAACCCTACACCTTAAGTCTTTCCGGGAAGGGGGCTCTTTCGCATGCCAGGGGCCCAGAGGCGATTCTGAACCTACGAACCCACCCGTGCGCGCGCTGCTAGCGGATCCTGAGACATAGTAAGCAGTTTACCAACGAAGTACATACAAAACCTTGGAATTGGAAACTATACCCATAGTCTCCATTGCAGTTCGTTTTGAGTTTTTTCCGAACATGGTGAGAACTGAGAAACCCTAATACGGGTCCATGTACCCGAATAGTATATACATAGGCCGAAAGTACGTATATAGGGACTACTTTGAGGTCAAGGTATATACTATTTGGATACATGGACCCTTAGGGAAGTCTATAATACAGCAACAAAGTGACGAAGAACTGCACCGGATACTGTGGCGAGATCCGAAACCCGAAATGGTCCTACGGCTGCTGCTTTAAATCCTGCATTACCCATAACAAGGACTGTACCATAACTCCCGTAGTCTAGGGTCATTAAGGCAAAGCAGGATTTATATCATCAACCGTAAGTACTCATGAATAGAAAGAGGCTCAGGGTTTAGACATATACATTCTGAAAACATGCAAAGTCGGTAAGCCGTACCCTTTCATGAAGCACCTCCAGTCGCTTGCATCCGGAGGCGAGGAACCCATCCAGAGATGGAGCCTTTCAGGTGGAGGCGTTTGGGACTTACCTGGACCCTAAGAAACCTGCATGTCTAGGGCCCCAAGGCTTAGATGTCTTGGATTCCAGACTAAGGAAACCCGGGATATAAGTTCTAGACTGCCCCCCCCTAAACCCCTAACCCGCAACTCTATCAGTTTAGGCTATAAGCTCCTACACCCTTAACCCCCTCAGTGTAGGCTACCCCCCTACCTCCCTGCAACGAAGCCCTCAGGAGAACCCTGAAGGCCAAATCCTGAAGGGAACCCTGGGTCCCAAACCCTAACCCGAAGGGTCCAACGGTTGAGTACTAGAGGGATACCATAATAAGGGTTCCTTTAAATGGCTCCATAAGGGTTTAGGGTGGGTGGCTTAGGGTTTCTTTAAAGGGATAATGAGTATTAGAGGGATACTACGGTTGATGATATAAATCCTGCATGACCCAGTATAAGGAATATAAAATAATTACCATAGTCTAGGGTCTTCAAGGTAACGCAGGATTTCTATCATCAACTGAGGTACCTAATTATCAGATACTCCCCAACCTCGCAATCTACATAACTACTATCCTAGTTCCTTTTGGGGGTTCATATTTAGAATCCTATAAATCCCAAAAAGGAACTAAAGCCGAGTACCTGATTATTGGGCCCTTTGGACCCTTAGGGCAAACCTCAAACCGCAAAGCGCCTCGGACCAGCGATCGTCGCTGTGCAGTTCCAGCCACCAAGCCATCACCGAGGCCTCTGGCGATCATGCTTCTAATGGTCCCTAAGGGCCCCTTAGTTGCTGAGTTCATAAGCCCCAAGAAGTGTACACTTTCAGTTTTATAGTGGGTAATATTATGCCAAAAGGTGTAATGTGTATCCACTCCGCTGCTACGGTCCATGTGCTGAGTGTACGTTTTAGGGGTTCCTTTAAGGGTGTTACAAGGGTATCTTAGGGATTTAGGGTATCATAAGGCCCCATGCACCCATACATCATATTGTGGCCTTCAGAATAGTCCCCGATTGCAACTTCGGGGCCCAAGTATATACTACACAGGTACAGAGATTTACATCAGATCTGCGATTATAAAACAAGTTTAGGGGACACGAGAAGACACAGATCAAAACGGGAGAATCAGCACAACACCTGAAACCATGAGTGCCGCATTTAGGGTTTAGGGGTTTAAGATTAGGAGTGCCGTAATGACATAGTGCTCCAACCCAGACGACCTGAGCAGAGCATGTTACAGAAAAGCCTGGTAACGTCGACGAACTCAACATCCTGCGTGATTTCCCAGAGGGTCCTAGGTACTGGTATGAGATATACCCGCAAGCCCTAAACCCTAAATCCAAAATCCTAAACCAAAAACCCTAAACCCTTAAACCCTGAACCCTGGTTGCACCGACCGTATATAGAATACTTGTATACAGTATACACAATGTCATGTAAACCTTTTTACAGCCTCCTAGCCCCTTGCAGACCCCGGCAGCCGGTATGTATGTATGTATGTATGTATGTATGTACATATGTACCTATGTATGACCGAATGAATGAATGCATGCACGTGCGTGTATGTTAAGTTGCCTGTGTACATCATTAGCTATAGTTGTAATGATGCAGTCGTTTGCTGTATCTAGAATAATATATTTTTATGTATGTACACAAGTGTTCTATATGATACACACCAAACCGAACAGCACTAAACCCCAAACTCCCAACGCTCTTAAACCCTAAACCCACCCCAAATGGGGCCCCTTTATTATATCCTTGTACTAGCCCTCATGGTAGCCGTGGTAGCCCTCATAAACCCCTTGAAAGGTACCCTCAGGAACCATTTTAGGCTCCAGCACTAAACCCCAAACTCCCAACGTTTATCTTAGGGCTCCTGGACCCTTGTAGTGAGATCTCGGACCCTAGCCCTCAAAGCCGACACCCAGAGAGCCCAAGACCCTCTTAGGAGCCTTAGGGTAAACCCCAAACCGACCCCAAATGGGGAACTACTAAGGGTCCAAGTACCTAATAATCATATACTCTCATAAATATTGAGCTACATAACTACTATCCTAAACCCAAGTACCTGATTATTGGGTCCTTTGGACCCTTATAGTACCCTTATAGTATCCCTTATAGTAGCCCTTATAGACCTTTTTAAAGGAACCCTAGTTATTGGGTCCTTTGGACCCAAAGGGAACTACTGAGCTCCAGGACGTATCCAGCAAAGGCGCCCCGAAGAAAGCGCTCGCCCAGGCTGAGAGCCTCAGGTGGGAGGCGCTTATTTTGGGCTCCTTCTAAGGGTTTAGGGCTTATATGGTCCAGGATTTAGTGTTTGGGATTTTTTAGGATTTTGGGCTCCTTCTAAGGGTTTGTAGGCTCTAAAGACTCATATTTTAAGGCTTTTGGGCCCGGAGACCATACTAGATATGGATTTTGCGTTGTGTTGAGCTTCAGGGAAGCTTTAAGATTTAGCTTTTGGTTTTTATGTACGGGTGAATTGAAAGGTGTAGGGCTTGGTTTCGGGATCCACCACGGCTCTTTCTCATAGCATTGGCAAGAATCAGTGCAAACGAAACACGCAGTTTATTTCGGGCTCTAGCCGGAGCCCAGCTGCAAGCACTCACGGACATTCCGGTTGAAGGGGTTCAAAACATCTGTCCCCAAAACAAGTGACATTGTGTCTCCAATATGGCCATAAGCTACATTCCTCTGGTGGTTCGGACCGGTGGTGGCCTTTGTTCCACAATGTCACATGGGTGGTTGGGTCTCCTTTTGGGTCTTTATTATAATACGGCACCTAATATTTAGTATAATACGGCACCTAATATTTAGGGTACCCAAAAAGGGACCAAAATTTTGCCAACCACCCACATAAGTCGCCCTTCACAACTTAACTTGGGATGCGGCCCTGGCAAGTGGAGCGACCTGGCGCAAGGTGGATGATTATCCGGCTGCATCGTGAAATAGCACCGACCACCCGCAAGAAAAGGTGCTTGCATACGGTTATGAGAAAAATCCTGCAGTACCCATAATAGGGAATATACAAAAATTCCCACAGTTTAAGGCCCTGAAGGTAATGCAGGTCTTATATCATCAACCGTAGGAGCTATGGCCAAATGGTGTGGGGCTTGGGGCATCCATGGCTCAAGGTTTTGAAGCTTGGTTGTGGTAAACGGTGGATATGTGGGTACCTAACGCACGGTCCTGTAAGAGCTCCTTGTAGATAAGGCTCGTTTGAGGAATAAGCGTTCTAGGGTATCGTTTTACACGAAGGCCAGGAGTTATCCAGACAGTGGTGTGTTTGTTTGTTGATTGGTACTCCAAGGTTGGTCTACGGTTTCAGGAAGAGTAAACCCCAAACCCCAAATGGGAGTTTCCTAAAATGGGGGAACCCAATATAGCGCCCAAAATAGCAGGATCCTTATTATACGGACCCCCATACAAGGTACCCCTCATTTTCGGAAACTCCCAAATTGCCGTGAGGTCTAAACCTTAAACCTGACGACCCTACACCCTAAGCCCTAAGGAACAGCAACCAACTATGTGTGGGCTCATAGGTCATAGATTCCCACTCTTTGTATCCGCACAGCCTTGTACCTTTCCCCGAGCCTTACCTTGAGATTTGGGGTTTAGGGTTTAGGGGCTTATGCGTTCAAGGTTCGTAAGTATATAACGTGTACAGAAAGTCTTGTTCAGGGTTGAAGGGGTTGGCGGCTTAGGGTTATAACGGGGCTCAAGCACACTTCGCGAGCTCTCGGAAATGGAGCCCTGACATTCCGGCTTGAGCGATGGAGCCTTACAGTTTACACATCAGAAACCCTCAACCCTACACCCCCGTAAAAGCTCCAGCCCTGAAGCCTAAACCCTTGCAAAATCCTTCTAAGTCACTCACGTAAAAGGGCCCCTTAATGGAACGCTTAGCGGCGCCCTTAAAACTGTGCTGGTCGCATGTAAAACGGGTCAGCCACGCCCTCGCGATGCGAAGAGCGCATGCGACATCCCCTGAGCAATAAGAGGTTCCTATATCGGTACTTTATGCACTTTAAGGCCAAAGTATCATGGAGGCTTAGGGTAAGAGCTGCTTGATTAAGGATTAGCAGAAGGGTCTACAAATGAATCAAACAGGTTCTGCAAGGCCTTGACAAGAGTCTGTATATACGGGTGCTACAACATTCAACACATACTGGTAATAACACGACTACATTGTAGTGTGTGATAGAAACGATGCTCTGCTTCAAGAACAACAACCAGCGGCTGATAAGAATCCTGCTGTGAACAGCTTCACACAAAGCTCAGGGGTACAGGGACGACAAGACGTGAGATGAAGGTGCCACAGCGGCCTCAATCATTCCACCCGCGGGTTCTGTTAAGGGCTCTTTAACAAAAGGGGTTACTGTGCGGGCTACTATAGGGGTCCAAACCTAGGGCAAGAACAAATAAAATAATGGATTGTTGTTTGTGGTCCTATTTTTTTCGGTGGGGCAGGGGGTACATATTACAGGAACCCTACAGGGTTCAGGCTTCTACACTGGGTGGGATTTAAGTTCCCTTGTATAAACACCCTTATGTGGGAATTCCCCACCTACGTTCATCTCAACTTCGGAACAGTTACCGCAAGATTATTAACGTCTTAGCGACGTTACAACGAACCCTGCAGCCTAGCCCCCTTTGAGGTTCGAGTGACAGCCACCCTGCAAACGTCCATTTAGAGTGTCGTAAAGGGGGCCTGGTGCAAACAGTCACCTGCACCCTTGGGGTTGGGCTTAAGGGTTTGGGGTGTAATTAGAATTCGTGGCAGGGATAAAACATACTAGACTTTTGAATAGGGAACCATAAGGAATAGCATTGAATCGGTAAGGGTCCATGTACCTATATATATATATATATATATATATATATGTATACTTTGGCCTTAATGTAGTAATTTAGTTACTTTCGGGCCAAGGCATGTACTATATCGGTACGTGGACCCTTCGGATTACAGAGACGACTCACAACTCCGGCCCTAACACCCGACCATAGAGCCGCCTGTGTGAAGCGCCTCGACCAAGAATCTTTTCCATGCCTGTACCAGGGCCCCCCACTGGCCCTTTAATGTATCCCTTATGGCCCTTAAATGTTGGTATTTGGGGTATATTAGAGGGTAGTTGGGGGGTCCAGGTAGGTCACGTTGAAGGTTTATGGTTTAAGGTTTCGGGTTGAGGTTTTTCTTAGGCAGGTACAAACAACTAAATGTAAATGCAAGCATGTGTATATGTACATAGACATTTACAGATGTGACTGGATTCAATCTTGTGCGATATGATGCATGCATAAATGCTCACGCAAAGACAGAGAGGAAGAGAGAGCGAGTCTTTGGGACATTGACTGAAGATCTGGCTCCGCACTAACCATCTGCAGATTAGGATCTACCACTACGTCGTTGGTATACACTAGCCTTATGTTCAGCTACGCCTGTGAGGCAGAGGCACACTTGTCATTGCTACTAAGACCTGACCAGAGTATAAGTTACTAAGTTACTCAAATGAGGCCTCTAATTCGGACCAGCGTTCAGGGCCCTAAACCCGACAACCCTAAAGTGGCAGCCACATGCGTCGCCTGGAGATTGTCTCGACAAGTTGGCTGTGAATGCGCTGAAGAACACGCATGGTCAGGTCCGAAGTCTTGTCTTCAAGAGGATCTATTCCTGGCCACGCTTCCCAGAGAACGCACGACAGCTTCTCGAGTTGACAGGAGATGGCAACATTGACAGTCTCGAGATTGGGAAGGAGCACATACCTGCAGAAGACATGGCAGCAGACGTTCCAGTTGGGTGCATGGGTTCCCATGGAGCCAGCCCTGGACGAGGCCTGCTTTGGCCTTTCCGTTGAGCTGATGCTACCGGAGGTCAAGAACGCAGATGGCCCAGAAGAACAAGAAGCCCTGACTGCCACGAGGCTTCGAACAGCCCTGTGAAGGCAAGGGCACCGTTAGAAAGATCAATGTAGCTTCGGGTTCTGGGTCGAGGGCTGGGTAATTTTGACCTTGCAGTGGCTGCAGCTAGGGCTAGGAAGTTTTCTGCGCCTCCGGAGCTTTGGGGTTCAGGGTCTTAAGAATTTGGGTTGAGGCAATCCCTAATCCCAGCCCTACACTGGCTCCCGTAGTAAAACCCTAAAGCCCTAAGACCCTTTGGGGTTTAGTTGAGGGCAGAGGTTTAGTGCTTAGGATTTCGGGGTTGAGGTTTAGGGGTTTAGGGGTTTAGGGGTTTAGGGTTTTAGGGCTTTAGGGCTTTAGGGCTTTAGGGTCTTAGGGCTTTAGGGCTTTAGTGCTTTAGGGCTTTAGGGCTTTAGGGCTTTAGGGTCTTAGGGCTTTAGGGTTTTAGGTTGTAGTGCTCTATGGCCTTAGGGTTTAGGGCTTCATTCCACCTGAATGCTGCATTTCGATGCGTTAAAGGGCGCCTAGGAAATTCCAGTGAATAGCAGCCCTGAGGGTCTATGTACCTAAATCGTACATACATTGGCCTTAAAGTACTCCCTATATGTGTACATTAGGCCCAAAGTATATATTATTTGGGTACATGGACCCTCAGGGCAGTATAAGTCCGGATTAAAAATACGAGGCTGAACTCAATACAAATGAAGCTAAGAAGTCCTCAACCTGAAAAGCTACTCCTCATTCCTGAGCCGCAACTCCCTATACCCTTAAACTCTTGAACCCTATGCCGCTGTCCTCTAAAGCCGTGAACCCTGCAACTCACTAAACTTAAACCCCTAAGTCCACACCACCCTAAACCCCAAAACTCTGCTAGAACACTTTGCAAGAACCCTTAACCCTTAAACCACCAAACCAAACAACCCTTCACCCTAAGTCCCGAAACTCCGCACCCAAAACCCCTAAATCCGAAAACCCGCCAGCCAGGCACGAGCAAAAGCCTACAAGAGCCCTCCAGAGAACCCTTTGCAAGAAACCCTTTAGTCCCCAAATAACATAGAACCCTTATAGCAGCTAACCCTTATAGATCATAAGAAGGGCTGACATAAAGGAACCTATTCCGATCATTAAGGCGCCCATACTTGACCTACAGTACTTGGAGGGGCAGGGGACTTAGTGAGTAGGTTATAAGTAGAGTTATAATTACCCTAAATGGAGTTACCCCAACTATAACCCTACTTATAAACGACTTACTACGTCCCCTGCCCCTCCCAAGTAGACCCTAAACCCTAAACCCCATAGATCCCTCTAAGGAACCCCTATAGATCCCTCTACGGAGCCCTTTTTAAGAACCTTTACTACGTCCCCTGCCCCTCGAAGTGCCCCTAAGGGTCCAAGTGCCTAATTATCATATACTCTCCAAAATAGTAACCTACATAACTACTATCCTAAACCCAAGTACCCAATTATTGGGTCCGTTGGACCCTTACTACGTCCCCTGCCCCTCCAAGTAGACCCTAAACCCTAAACCCCATAGTCCTTTAAGGAGCCCTTTCTAAGACCTACAGTACCAGGATCAGCCTGCACAGCCGCGCGAAGGGCTGGGATGTTCAGCCAGCTGCGGTGGTCAAAGGCTAGCCTCGGACTCTTCGGATGTTTAAGGGCCCAAAGGGTCCTACGGTTGATGATACAAATCCTGCATTACCTTATAATGACCCTAGACTATGGGAATTATGGTATATTCCCTATTATGGGTAATGCAGGGTTTATATCATCAACTAGGTACTGTTATGGGGGATACTTCCCCAAATCATAATAGTAATTCCTGATATAGAACCCTACATTCTACTATAAAGGTACTTTGGACCCTTCGGGGGGTTGGGGTTCCTTTGGAAGCCAGAAAGTTGAAACATCATTCTCCTCATGCGCTTAAGGTGAAGTATAAGGGATTCTAGCACGAATCCTCCTAATCCCGTGTTCCAACTTTCTGGGATTCGCTGTGAGGGTTTCCTTGTGCAGGGTTCCTTTACCGGTCTCCTCTAATTTGGGGTCTCGTAGGGCTTTTGAGGTTTCATGCTGTCAATGGAGTTTATGTTTTTGTGTGTTGTGTTTTTCGGTTTTTGTGTTAAACGGATCCTTCCTTATCGAGCCTACTTAGACGGCATAACATTGGTTCTACGGCCCCGTCGCTCTTTTCGACGAGCCTGCTTCCGTTACATTATCATGCGAAACTCAATCCAGGACGATGTCGTCTGCATTATCGGGCGGAGCAGCGGCGCTGCTCCTGCAAAGCAAACATCGTCTCATCGCGGTCCTGGACAGATGGGTGCGGCACCGCGAGCTAAAGTTGAGGGAGCCAAGATTGAATCCAGATGCTGCGGCCTCTCGTCTCACCTTCTGCCGCACTTTCGTGGGCATTGACGGCATCAGCATATCTAATTCTACGAATATTCCGCGAGTATGTGTGCTAGTCGCTCTGGCGACAAACCTCTATGAAGATGCAGTGACACGTGCAACTCACCAGGAAAGTCACCTTTCGTCCTAAACCCCCAGTCCGTATCGTTAGCCTAAACCACATACACCTTTCCTACAATTCCTTACTACATTAACATACATGCGCATATATGTGTAAAGGTATAACCAACCACTAAACTTCGACTGAATCCTGAACGATAGATCACTTAAGAAAACCTGGAAGGAGCCTACAAAACCTGTCAGACCTTCAAAGCCCTCTAGCATTGAAATCAGATGGACAATGCCATGGGCTCAGCGACATGCAAGTCATATGCGTTTTCTTGATGCTTCTCGTATTATGTTGAGGTTTAGGGTCTCGGGTTTTCCTTATTTGTCGAGGGTACGTGTGTACGTACGTACCTTGGGATTCCTTGTGCCTGTCGAAGGAGCTGCTGTCGGCATTGCAAATCATCCCAAAAGGACTCGCCCTTCCCAGGCACTCTAACTGGACATGATACGAACCGCATATCTGAATGGCTCTGTCCTCCTAGCAAGGCACCTTCAGCCCCAGTATTGACCGCAGCTCATACAAAGAATCTGGAGTTAGAGAGTTTTCACCATGGAAAGGGCACGAAGCAAACGTGACACATAGTCAATCAAGCTGGGGACATCGGAAAACTTCTCAATGTGGAGCTCGGCGCACTTCTTGGCCGTTGCTTCCTTACGCTCCAAAACCATTCCTTGCTTCACGAGGACTCCGTCATTCTTGATTCTCCTGCCACCCAAAGCCATGGTGTAGGCGAGAATGATGATTGACGTTCTCTGAAGCACTGTTCGGACTTTCTCGCGATTGGTGCTCGCGTCAAGGCTCTTATCCATGTTCCTCACAAACCATGACAAAGCCTTCACCATCCGCCAGTCAAAGGCATTAATAACCTTCATGTTGGCTGACTTGATGGTCACATTGTTTTGGGGTAGATCCAATTACGGCTGAGGGTTTCGTAGGCCCGTATCAGGGGCTGGAAAAAAGGCTCTATCAGGATTTAGGGCTTCCGCCCTTTGTGGTTTGTGGTCGCTCAGGGCCAAAAATGGTGCATAGACTTCACTGCCATTGCCCAAAGGGTCCTAAGCAACCATATGCGGAATGGGAACACAAACCGCCATGATAAGTCGTAATATCGAAGCTCTACTCATAAGTCCTTGGAACATATCGGAAAGATTTCTGGCTCCAGTGCTCCGGCTGCCCCTCAAAGGTCCTTCTTATCATTGCCTGGGTGTGCCCATTCGGTCCGCTTCTGTAGGGATAAGGCTTTGTGGCTTACGGACTGGTGGGACATATCCCATCATAGCACCTCAAATACTCGAGGCTTCCTATGCTTTAACTGATGTCAGAGCACGTCGGAACTAACTTCCGAAACGTGGATAAAGAGTCGAATCCGCGTAGAAAACTCCAACATGAAATCAAGACACCACTGGAAAGTATCCTGCCCGAAAACTTCGTCCATAATAAACCTTATGAACCCTAAACCCTAATTCTAGGTGTACATATATATATATATATATTAGCATATATATATATATATATGCATACGTACAGTGTGTAGATATACAGTATAATATATCCAGTGCACATGACCTACGTACACCTGTATTTACATATGTATATATATACATATATACACGTACAAATAAATATATATATATATATATATATATTTATATGTATATGTATATACAATGTGTGTGTGTGTGTGTTTATATGCAGATGCACATGCACACATTTCTCGAGTGCCCAACGTGACGTCGCAGTCTTCTTCACCTTCCTCGTCGTCGCCTTCGCCAGCTGTGGGTTGAGTTCCAGAATTGAATTTCAGCCCGCCAGCCGTTCAGCTCCTCCAGCCATGGGGGGCCCTTAGGGGGGTAGGGGGAGGGGGTACTGGGAGGTTCATGGGTAGTTACAAGTGGAGTTATATGTAGGGTAACTATAGCTATAAGTTATAACCCATATTAGGGGACTTATATAACTCCACTTATAACTACCCATGAACCTCCAAGTAGGGCCCTTAATGCCCGTAACAACGACCTAATACCCTCCCTCCCCCTTACTCGCCTAGGGGCACCTATGATGTACCCCTGAAACTCGCCAACCAAAGAAAGCAGATACTCACAAACCTGGTCAAACATACCGTCGCCATTCAGAAACTTAGCTTCACCCTGCACGACCTTAAAAACGACTAGAAACCAGACCCTGCAGGTCTGCAAGGCCCAAAAGCAGGCCAACAACGTTCTGACGTAGTCTTTTTTCCGCAGTAGTAGCCCCGAAAAAAGGCGGGTAAGCTTCTTCCTACTATTTGTTTTCATCAGGAAACCGCCCAAAAAAGGGCAACAGGGTATTACGGGGCAGCCTTAGTAGTTTGGAGCGCGCAAACATGCAAAACACACATCATCAGAGCACGTACATCAAGTCATTTCTGGCAGGCTTGAACCTTGCAACTCTGCCTAGATGCTGACGTTCCGATTTTTGAGCGGCAGGAAAGAACAAATCCAGTAGTACTAGCTTCTTCTGAGCGGCTTCTTGGCATTAAGCTACAGCAAACTATCCAAAGAACTTTCGTGCACCTATTGTGGTACGTAGGTCGCACTTGCAACCCCCATTACTGAACTCCGCGTGTCGAGCTCCGACGCGCCTGACGCAGCGCCTCTATCAGCTTCCTTCCAGAGTGCAGGGGTGATGTTTCTCAAGGGCTTCTGTGGGGTCTCGAGGCTTTTCAGGCTGTTGTGGGGCTTGATCAAGGTTCCTTAAGAGTGGCTCGAGAAATCTACTGTTCAGAGTTGGGTTCGTAAGCTTAAACCTACACCCTGAGCCCTAAACCCAAAGCCTTAACCCTAAACCGAAGACCTTAAGCCTGCACTCCAATCTTAGGAGTGTTTAAGCATACGAAACCCAGTCTAAGCATTCAAGGCAACACCTCATTCGCCTTGCGGCACTACGATTGGACAAAGGTTGAGGCGTTCAGCCCCCGTGGACGTGACCATTCTCTTATAGGCCTGCTGTATACTCTAAAGTCCTTCAATTATTCTACAAAAGTGGGGCTTGTGAATTCTTTATACGGTTCTGTAAGGTTTTTTGAGGTTCTCCAGCTGTTTAGAGCTTAGGTTTAGGACTTACCCGCGGGCTGTCTTGAGCCTACCGAGAGGGGTTGAGGTTTATTGTTGCTCTCTGTCGCTTGGGCTCTGCAAAGGTTAATTGCAGTTTGTTATGGCTTACGGAAACCTGATGTATTTCCCTAAACCCTAAACCCCGAAACCCTAAACCCCCATACCCTAAGCCCTGCGTTTCGGTTGGCTCTGGCCTCTTGGGGCTAGGCCCTTGGTTTGTCCCGGCAAGCTTAGGCTCAGCTCACATTGACCTTCGCTGGAATATATTCCCGATCGAGCCGTATTTGTTGGTTTCTAAACCAGCCTCAAGCCCCGATTTCAGAACTCGGCGCTGCGCAAACATGTGTCTATCATTGGAATTAGGTTTCTATTGGCATTATTTCAACGAGATACGCTAAAAATAATCGGGCTCAGCAGCTGAACGCCCCTTATCGCTTAATGCTCTCTCTATTCTTGTTTGACCAAGGGCTCACCCCTTTTGCGGTCGGTTGGCGGGATTGCGATAGGGCTGTAAAAATGAGTTCCATGGGGTATTGCTACTAATAACTTACGTTCTCTTCTTATAACCCCTACCCATGAGCCACTTTTGGATGATGTCTGGTAGGCGACGATCTGTATTTCATAACCATATTATGGGTTGATTTGATTCATCTATATTACCGGGCTGTATATAAGCCACAGCAACTGCCCAAATTACCAGTGGAAGCGAAATGCTGACAGTCGGCTTTTGGGCTGCATTCTACCACAGGTAAGTATATGAAGGAGAATCCTAGCAACTGGTCTATATAAAGGACGTGGCTACTGAACCCTTAACCCTAAAATAAACTTCTACATCCCAAAGGGTCCAAAGTACCTTTATGGCAGAATGTAGGGTTCCCATATTAGGGATTACAATTATGATTTCGGAAAGTATCCCCCATTACAGTACTTTGGACCCTTTGGGCATTAGTCAACCTTATATCCTCCGTGACACGGGCCCAATGCCCCTCATACTGACATCGGCTTCCCTTATATAGGGGGCCGGGCTTCGAGATTGTTTCTCGAACCCCAAATCTTGAATCGCAAATCCCAGATTCTATCCCTGTAGGTTTCACACCCTTATGCCCCTTTAGAAGCCGTTTCGAGCCAAAATCTGGTGCCTGCTGCGCAGTGGCCACAGCTACCGCCGCCGCTGCGGCGGCGAAAGCCGCCGCCAGGCGCCTGGAGCAATAGTACAGTCGTTTGGGGCTCATTCAGGGTTCGCTAAGGCTGTGGGGATCGGTTTGTTGTTAGGGCTTTCAGTAGTCCAGTTGTTCTAGAGTTTAGACAGGTCGATAATCGTTATAAAGATAAACCTTCTGAATTGACTGAAAGGCAGAAAAAAATCCAAAGTTCAGACTTCAGGATTGTCTGCTGCTTACGCGTTGGGGGTCTAGAACTCTAGGATTCGTTGGTGCTACAGATTTACGACAATAACCTCGAGCCTTCTCTGAAACTTGAACAGGTGAAGCAGGCAGCATATCTAGACTCTAGAACCTGTTTAGGACACTTCTAATAGAACCAGAACTAGTACTATACAAGTCGAAGGTAGAGATTCGGGATCAGAGTGTTTGCTGGGGGGGGGTGGGCGGCGGGTAAGGGCTGCAGGCTGAAAGGGTGTGGTAAGGAGTGTTTCGTGGACTTGTGGGTGGGCCTCAATGAGGTGCTGTCTATATACCTTGGCCTAAGAAGGTACTAATTACTATGCACGAGATATTCGAGTACAGGGCATGTAGGTACTTTAAGGCCAAAGTATATTATGCGAATATGGGAATATGGGTACATGGACTCGAGGGAAAGCAAGTGAAAGGCGCACATGTGGCAGTTTGGTGGGCGTCAATCGCAGACCCAACTGCTCTAGGGCTTCTGCATCGTGGCTGCCAATAAGAGCCCCCTGATGAATGTGCGATAGAGCCTGGGGATGGCTCATGAACCAGCACTTCAGGTCTTCCAGAGTTCGTTCCTTTCGATCCTCGGCCGCCTTCAAAGTGGCCTGTTGCTCCGCGATAAGAAGTTCCTCCCGCTTCATCTCTTGCTTCGCAAGCTTTGTCTTTAGCTGCTGCACCTTGTTGGCCACGTTGGTACCCTGAACCCTAAACCCCCTAAACCCTAAACCCTAAGCTCCAAAACACCCCAAACCCTAAACCCCAAACCCTTGCCCATCGGATCAGTACCCTTGCGTGAGCTGGAACCCCATTGGGTCCATGTGCTTATGCAGTATGTACTTTGGCCGTCCTGTTATCCTTGTACAGCTACTTTAGATCCAAAGTGCTTATTTTAAGAATACATGGACCCTTACAAGTAGGTAAACAAAACACGACTGGAAACACTCAACCAGAGCATGGTCTCAGTCTTCTACCCATCTTTGAGCCTTAGTCGTTACAGCCACATGCAATGTCGCGAAAAAAAGACTTAATCAACATCAATCAACAACGCTTGAAGTCCTCAAACTCCAATGTAGCAGCTGTATCATCCTTCTCTGGGCTGTTAATGTCGTAAGGAACGGGCAGAGACAACCCTAAACCCTGAACCCTAACTGAAGCTCCGGATCGCACGAACCCTGCCCTAAACCCTGCAAAAGCCCTAAAACTCCCTAAAGATCTCAGGAGTGCGCCCTCTACGCCATCGCCGACAAAAACCTCAAACGGCAAGCCCTCGTCCCGAACCTCTGAATCTTAAGGCCGTGTACATCCCAGCCCCTTTAGCGCTACCCGTTACCCAGACACACCATCGTAGGTCCTTTTCGGGAATACCTTATAGGATTCTATATATGAACCTCAAAAGGACCTACTATGGGGCATCTGGGTATAAATTCTAAACCTCTTAAGCTCGTAACCCCCCATCATGCGTATATGTCTGCCTGCACCTACGTATTCTATACAAATTTACTAGAGCACCTATCTCGGGAGAAGGCCGAAGTATATCCATATCCGCACATGGACCCTTAGCGAATCAACGGCGAAACCTCAAACCCCAATCGGAAGCCCACAAAGTGTACGTACAAGAAAGCACATGGGACCCTAACGTTGAAACCTCAAACCCAAAAATGGAAGCCCTAAACCCTAAATCCCAAACCGTAAACCCTAAGCCCTAAACCGTAGAAGCCAGAAAGTTGGAAGATCATTATCGTAACCCCTTTAAGGTAAACTTTTGGGGATCCTACCATGAAACCATATTCCAACTTTCTGGAGTTCCCTTTAAACCATAAGTGATGTCGGGATGCATCGGATTTGGTCCCATGACAATCCGTGGCGTGCCGAGCCAGTCCTCGCAAAAGGAATTTGTTGGGATTTAACTCTAGGGTTTAGGGCTTTGGGTTTAGGGGTTTTGGGGTCAGGGTTTGGGGTTTAGAGCTTTTGTGTTTATCTGTCTCTCTCTCTCTCTCTCTCGCTCTCTTTCCCCTTTTTAAATCTCCCTCTCTCTCTCTCTCTCTCTCTCTCTCTCTCTCTCTCTCTCTCTCTCTCTCTCTCTCGCTCTCTCTCTCGCTTCTTTCTCTCCCTCTCTCTCTCTCTCTCTCTCTCTCTCTCTCTCTCTCTCTCTCTCTCTCTCTCTCTCTCTCTCTCTCTCTCTCACTCTCACTCTCGCTCCCTCCTTGTCTATCCATCGGTCGACCGATCCATCTATCTATCTAATCTAATATTGTCCAGTCTAACCTAACCTAATCCTGGTCACAATCCGAATCCTAATCTAAGTATCTATGCACACAGACACACAGAGTTTGTACAACGATATACAAATACATACATATATGTAAGCACACACAAATAAACAGAGCCTTACAGTAGCCGTTGTGAGTTCGCAGTCGAAAAACACGGAACCCTCAACCTCAAACTCTAAAGCCTAAACCTTGAACCCGAAACGGAAAACCTAAACCCTAAAACCTAAAGCCTAAACCCTCAAACCTAGGCCCTCAAGCCTAAACCCTACCGCTGCACAAAAATTAACTTCTTGGGGCCTTGGTGTCAGGTTCAGATCAGTGGACTGAGCGGAGTCGGGGATTGATTCGCCTGCTCCTTACCTACCCTAAGGCCCTAAGCAAAGAGGGTCTTGGGCTTTCTGGGGGAGGGTTTCGGCTTTGGGGGCTAGGGTCCGGGAAAGGGTCCAGGAGCCTTAAGGTAGAGTCTCATACGGTTGATGATACAAATCCTGGGGTTCCTTGAAAAGGGATCTATAGGGGTACCTTGAAGGGGTTCCCAAAAGGGATCTATGGGGTTTTAGGGTTTAGGGTTGATGACACAAATTCTGCATCACCTTAATGACCCTAGACTATGGGAATTATGCTATATTCCTTATTATGGGAATGCAGGATTTATAACATCAACCCTACAACTTTTGGGGGGTACCTAACTTAATGACTAGGATCTGCTATCTGCTATATAAAACAATAGGTACCCTAAACAAGGGGTGGGGTATGAGCCTACAGGTAAGTACGATGGGTCGAAGGTTCCTTGAAGGGTTCGTTAAAGCGTTGCGGAAGAGGGGTTCACAGGGTTTGGGGTTTAGGGTTTAGCGTTTGGGGTTTAAGGGCGAAATGTACCCTAAAAGCGTTTAAAGTTCAAAGCCCATGGTAGGGAGGGCCCATACTTTCAAGGGTCCTTTGGTAACCAAGATTAGAAAGCATTGGGCTAAGGCGGCATCAAGGCTCTGGAATAGGGAAGGTCCAATGAGAAAAGCCCCGTAAGACCCGGAACCCGAACCCCTACTTGGAGGATCATGGGACTTAGTAAGCAAAGGTTATAAGTACCTGGGTTATAAGTAGTTCTAAGTATAGTTACCCGAAGTATAGCCCTAGTTACTAAGTCCCATGATCTTTTCAGTAGACCTTCAGGGCTTAAGCTTCCGGGAAGTTTACGGCATAAGAGGTGCGGCGTGGGCTTCAGGAAGCATCTACTTGTCCCCGGTGGGCCCGCTTCATGCATGAAGGTCTAGAACCCAAAGGGTCCTATGTACTTATGGGGAATACTTCCCCAAATCATAATAGCAACTCCTAATGTAGAATCCCTACCTTCTACTATGTCGGTACTTTGGACCCTTTGGGGAAGACGTGCACCTGCAAGAGAGAAGGCGGGGGATGGTCCTACGGTTGATGATATAAATCCTGCATTACCTTAAGGACCCTAAACTATGGGAATTATGGTATATTCCTTATAATGGGTATTGCAGGATTTATACCATCAACAGTAGAATCCTATGCTGCGCTGAAGGTTAAGGAGTTTAGGGCCTTAAGGGTCCAGGGGTTTAGGGTCTAGGGTCTTACAGTAGAAGCCAGAAAGTCGGAATATAATTATCGTAACCCCTTTAAGGTAATTTATAGGGCATCCTACCCTTAATCCATATTCCAACTTTCTGGAGTTCTCTTTAGCCCTCAAGATTTTGGGGGCAAATTCGATCCAGATGGCGCTTTTGGAACGGCTGCACCGGACCCCTACTGAAACGCACGAGCCTGTACTTTGCAGGCTCGCAAGGAACTGGATCTTTTCAGCCGGCCCAAGCAAGGGTAGAGAGCTTTGTGTTGGTTGATTCACGAGCCCTTTCTTCAGGGTACTACAATCTACGGCTGTAGAGTCTAGGGCCTTGCGATTGTGAAGACCCTGCACCGACGCTGGTGAGAAACGATTCGAATTTGGAAGCCTGCTCATGCAACGGCAAAGAACAGCTGGCGGCGGGAATCCGAGCTTCCGGGATTTCAATTGCAACCGTTCTCACAACTTCCTGACATAGACCACGGACCACAACACACTTACTGGCTTTTGGAAACACTCACGAGACCGTGGCCAAAATCCTTATGGCCTGACGGTGTGCGTGTGTTTGTGCTAACCCGGCCTGACACGAACCAGCCTGTGTGTAGGGTTAAAGGTTCTCTTGGTGGCTACAGATATCCTAGCGAATTTGGCAAAACTCTAAACGCGAAACCGCAAACCCTAAACAGAAACACCATGTCTTACTATAACGAAGAAGCCAGAGGTTGGAACGCCGTGGCCTGCATGCCCTACAAGTCAGGTACAACGGTTCCCACCATAAATCATCCGTCATCGACGTGTACTTTCCGGGTTTTGAGGGTTTAGAGATTTCGAACCTTTCTACAGTGGAACAACGAAATCCCGTGCGCATATAGTATCTGCTTGGACCTTGAAGGTTCCTATATAAGTACATTGAGGCCTAAAAAATCCCGCCCGTCTTGGGCCACCTATACGTCTAGTTCCAAGAAATGCCCAATCGGTTGCAAACCCATCAAGCGCTACAACTTTAGCTGCATGCTGGAATGCTATACTTACGATGTCCTATACAGCTCCATGCAGCCGCATAGCATAGACTGCGGCCTGAACGACGATCCTGAATTTAAGCTTGGGCCAATGTACACACCTGCACATAAGTACATGGACCGTCTCAGCACTGTCAACTTCTCAGTCACCCGGCTACAAGCCCCAGAACAAAGAGCCACACTCCCACCGCCGCGTGTGGAAAGAGAGCTGCACTCATTGCAATCGTGGCATCCCCGGAGAAGCGGAAAAGCATCTTGTTGTCTCTTTCCAGATCCTAAGTATAGCATGCGTTGCGGGTTGGTTGAAGATTCGGGGTACGTACTGCTAGGCCAGAGGCGTTTATTCAGTGTTTACGGGCGATGCCCGAAGATGTGGAAATTCGCTCCAATGCGTCCCGCGCTTTCGAAGACTCAACCCACACCCTACGGTTGATGATATAAATCCTGCATTACCCATGATCAGGAATATACCATAATTCCCATTTAGGGTCATTATAAGGTAATGCAGGATTTATATCATCAACCCTAGTTTGGCGGCCTGGCTTTGGGCGCCAAGTTTCTGAGCCCCCAACACGAACCAAAAGCAAGAAACACAAACGAGGTTCAAAAAACACCGAAACCTGTAAACCATGAACCCGATACCATCCTAGACCCTTTTTAAAGTCTAAACCCAAACCCCTGAACCCCAAACCCCACACTTTCAACCATTTCCCCTTAGGCTCTAAGGACACACATGTTCAGGCTTTTGGGCCCAAGAGCAATACTGTGTGAGGCTTTTGCTCTATTTTGAGCCATAGGGTTAACTTTAATGTAGCTTACTGTAACTTCATATGGTCGTTGTCAAAATTAGGGTCCGTTTTTGGGTCCCTATTACAGGACGGCACCCATTATTTAGGGTACCCAAAAAGGGACCCTAAATTTGACAACTACCCATATGAACCCCACCCGAAATAGTATCCCAAACCCTAAAAGCCTCAACATGTAGCTTGCTGTAATACTTCATATCCTTTAGGGTCCGAAAACAAGAGCCAAGGCGCGGAGCCCCAAAGGAATCGGCCATCTGAGCCCGTACAGGACGAATCCCCCCCACAAAGCACGGCCTTCCTCGAGCAGCGGCTTAGGGATTAGGGTTTAGGAATTAGGGTTTAGGGTTTAGGGTTTATAGAGTTTACCCAGAGGCCCCATAGTAGTTCGTTTTCGGGATTACCTTATAGGATTCTGTATATGAACCTTAAAAAAGAACTACTCTGGGCCTCTGGGTAAGAGTTTAGGGAGTTTCGGGTGTACCAGGACCCCCAATGACCCTGGAAAGGAGCTCTTATGGTCATGAATAGTGGGTATTTGGGGCATGTCGGAGGGTTGTTGGGGGTCTCAGTAGGGTTCAGGGTATAAGACTCAGGGTTCTAGGTTCCTCTAAAAAGGCTTAGGGCTTGTAGGATTTAGGGTCCCCTCTACAAAAGTGCTTTTTCTGGTATTCTTGGGTTCTAAGTTCTATGACCCTAAACCCCGTAACCCTAAACCCCATAGTATAGATCCCTTATAGAGCCCTTCAAGGAGCCCTTTTAAGGGTAGTACTCCCACAATGAGGGTTTGTGGGCTCATTCAGCTTTCTGGTGGAAGGCTGAAGGAGTCCCTCGTTTCATGGCTTTTGGACTTTCGGCGTAGGTCTGAGGCTGAAGTTTCGGTCATTCGGTTTAGGTTTTAGGGTTTAGGGTGTAGGGTTTAGGGTTTAAGGTTTAGGGTTCTTGCACATGGTTGCAGTCTTTGCGCTAGATTTCCGGACTCAGGCACTGCAGACACGATTCCGACCTCTCGCAACAGAAGCGGTCCGAAATCCAACTGAAAACCCTTAACTCCAAAGCTCAAGACCCTCAATCACCAAACCCGAACCTCATTACAGAACCCATTGAGAGCTGCAGCAAACCTTACATGAGCAGGTTGACCCCCCTTGTTCGAGTTCAGAGTTGGGGGGGCTTGGGCAAATTGAACCTTGAATGGTCCAAGGGTCGGGTCCAAACACTCATCGGCAGTTGTCACAACGGAGCTGGGGCTGGCTGTTTCGCGCGTCAGTGGCGACGTGATGGTTCCACACCTCGGAGATATCCCTGGGGGTCCACATGCCCGTCGTGACGGTAAGGCTCTACAAACGACTTATTGAGGTCTCAGCGGTTTGTACAGTTTAACTCCGGGCTTAATAGTGCTTGAACATGTATGTGTATATATATATATATATATATATGTATAAGCATATACATCTACACACATTCACTGTCACATTCACATTCATCCTCACATTCACATACATACATATATACATACATACATACATACATAATGCACATACGTATGTATAAATATATATATATATATATATATATATATATGTATATATATATATACATATATGCACACATACGCCCTGGGGAAACGTAGCAGACGTGTCTCCCACCTGACCTTAACAACTTCATCCCCAAGTCAAACACTTGCCTAAACAAAGCGAAAACGCAGCTAAGGGTTTAGGGTATAGAGATTACAGCTTAAGGCTGCATGGGGTTTAGGTTTAGGCCCTCTTGCAAGCCAAGCGCTGCCCGTTTGAGTACGTCGGTGTGCGGCCCCAGCCAGCCTCCACTGCAGCTTTCAAAAGTTACTTATGGTTCGAGGCTTCCAAAAAAACACAGAACCTAAACCAACAACGGAACCCCAAACCGTAACCCCTGAATCCAAAGCCATAAACCGCCCCAACCCCTCAGATACAGCCTACATAGAAGGATCCTTCGTGCTGCGACAACCCTTCAATGTCGGAAGCCCCAGTCCATAATTACTGGCGCAGAAGCCAAAATTCCAAATCTCTATTCCAAGTATTAAAGGCCCTCTAGCAAAGCCTGCCTAAATCCTCACGTGGTACCTAGGGAACTCTTAAAGAACCCTTGGTCCAGACACCGCCTCCGAAGCCGTGTATTCAGTAGCCGATGGCCACGCGGAGTCGTCGAAGTCGCTGGCAAACCAGTTGGCAGGCAACCCGTTGTCCTTCCGGCTTAGAGTTCACGGGTTTAGGGTTTAGAGGGGCAAGGGGTGTAGGGGTTTTGGGTTGAGAGGTCTCGGGTTTAAGGGTTGAGGGGCTTAGTGGTTCAGGGCATTCCGGTTTGGGTTCATGGTTGCAATCAGGGATTTAAGGTTCTGGGTCATCCCGTGGTCCTTCTTTGTGATTCCTTTTTAAGGCTTCCTTTAAAGCTCTCATGCATCCCGTTGTCCGAGGGCTTTAGCTTCGGCCAAAAAACAGCAGAGAGGTTGGGGTGTAGAAGTCCTGGGTCGAGGATGTACAGTCCTTCTTGTGATTCCTGTTAAAGTTCCTTGTGGGGTTCCTGAAAGGCTATATAACGGCGTTCTAGGTTGCAGGGTTTTTAACGTCCGGCTGTTCTTCTCAGATTCTTGTGACTTGCCTTGAAAGGGATTCCCGGCAGCAGTAGTCCATTTTCGTCTCTTTGGGTTCCGTATACGCGAAGACTCTGATTCTACTCGCTTTAGGAACCTTGCAAGTATAGGGGCCCTTACGAGAGCCTGAATGAAGTCTTAAATTGAAGGCCCCAATCATGCTTAAGGCAACGATCCTGCAATAGAAAACCCCACGACACCCCGTAGAAACCTGAGCCTCTTAGACCTGTTGAATCCATTGAATGCACCCCTGAAGGGCAGCGAAAGGTCGCCAAACCCTACAAACCCTATACCACAAACCCTAAATCGTAGTTCATAAATTAAACCCTAACTACACCCTCAACCGCATAAACCCTGAAACCCGGAAATGAAACCCTAAACCGTAGATCCTGCACTTGGCATGGGGAAAGGTTGCTCGAAGAGCAGCCATTGGCGATGGATGCATCGGTCGGTCCAAACGTGACCTTGCGGTGACAAGCGAACAGAGGCTCCTGTTGGGTTCGCCTTAACGTACTAAAACCTGGTTTTTCTGGGGTCCATTCGATATTCGGGCAAATAACCAAGACGTTGCACAAGCTACGCAAGCAGCAGGTCATGGCTGTTGAAGCGAACTCCTTTGATTAGTTATAGGGGTTCTACATAGGATGTCTGGGTCTATCAAAGGTTCACGACCTGGTGATCTCACGTCGAACGCTTAATGGACCACGGAGGGTTTTACATGGTTCTCGCCAGCGTCCTACACAACTGCAAAGGAACCCTTAAAGAAACTTTTAACCGAACCCTTAAAGGAACGCTTAAGGAACCCTGAAACGCTGTAGGGTTTACAGTGGCCGGGCTTATAGCGCTTGGCTCCAAGGACTATACGGTTTAGGGCTAGAGCTTAGAGTCCGATTTTCAGGAAAGGAAACTGGCATCAAGCTTCAGCAAATGTTGGCTGATGAAGCCGGGCACCATCGACAAGCTTAGTAATTGTGAGTGATTTTGATGGGTAGGTCAAGCGGACTACAAGGTTCCGGAGAAGATCTAAAGCGAATCGCGAAGTTGACAAAGTTGGAAATGGGAAGTGCCGGTGCAGCTGCAAGTTCTTGCAACACAAACACACACACACACACACCAACCAATCTTCGGCTACTTGGTCAAATACAAAATGCGAAGCTTGCTAAAGATAGAACCTACCTTCCTGTGGCGCAAGTAAGTGGCTTCTCCAAAAAGGCAGGCTCCAGCCAAACATCAAAACACTAGACTGGCCTACACTCTCTTGCAAACAGGACTTGTAGCCGTTTAGTGCTCGAACGGCTTAGGTTTAGGATTTACGGCTTCAGGGTTGAGGGTTTAGGGTATTCTGTTTGAGCCCTTACATTGAAGAGCATCAAGCGCAACCTGTGTCGAAAAAGGAGCGGTGGATATGAGAGCCATGGTATGCTCATGACCTTTAACCTCTGGCCCGAAATAGAACCCTAAACATCGGAACCCACAACTGTACATCCCAAAACTAATCGCTGCCGAATATTCAAATCAAAAACACATTCCCAAAAACCAACTTGATATCCCACCTGCCTGTTGAAACCAACTTTGAGCTAGGTGTGTTCAGCAGCAAGGGCAGGAGCAGGAGGAGAGGCAGGAGTAGGAGCAAAAGCAAGAGAGCAGGAGCACGAGCAAAATGCCCTGACGGCAGCGACAAAAGGAACCCCAATGATGATCATACATTTCGAGCTTCTTTTGGGGACGTGTGGGGGGGGGGGGGGGGTCCCACCCCCGTTTAATATTAGATTTGAGGGGACGGGTTGGAGACATCACTTTGAAAGTCTGAGACAGGCCACCACATAAGATTTCCAATCGCTGGTGGTCCTGTCAAGAGCGGCTTGGGCTCCCGTTACGGTATTGATGCTGATCACTGGTTGACTCTCTCCTTCAATAACCGGGCCCAAAAAAGTTTAAACATTCTAAGATAGACCAATTATATAAGGCCAAAAAGTTTAAAGTTCCCCCATTGGCTATCTAAGTTGAAGGGTGGAAAGTTCAGGGCTCTGAGAGCTTGATGGGGTTGATAGGGTAGCTGCTACTGCTGCTACAGTGCACAAGCTTTGCAACGCCCCGCTGAACAAAGAGTCGCAAGCACACAAGACCCTGCAAATCTTCAGGCTGCGAGGAAGCAGAAACCATGAAAACCGGAGCCACTTGCCATCCAAGAACTCCCTAATTTCTGAAACCCAAACTCACGACCTCCTAAACCCTGTGAGCCCTGAGCAAGTGAGAAACCTTTCGCCTTGCACCATCGGAGAACCGTGCAAGCAAAGCTAAACCCTAAATCTTAAACCTCCAACCCTACCTCAAGACCTCTTAATCATGTAACTTCTGCAAAGGTAGGCTACTTTCCTTTGAGCTTGAGGCGAACCCCGTGAACCCAAAGCCAGAGCCTTACACCATCGGAGAACTCCGCGAGCAAAGCGCCATCACCAAGCTGTGCGCGATCTGTCTGTGTGTACTCCTGAGTGAAGCAAGTCGACGGTAGGGATGGTCTCTTGGGACCCAATTCCATGATGGTAGTATATATGGACTCTTCGGATGTTGAAGGGCCCAAAGGGTCCAAATTACTGTTATGGGGGATACTTCCCCAAATCATAATAGTAATTCCTAATATAGGAACCCTACATTCTACCATAAAGGTACTTTGGACCCTTTGGGGAAGCAAGTCGACGGTCTACCTGTAGCCCCAAACCGAGAAACTAGTAGGTCATGACCCCTACACCCTAGCCCGAACCCCCTTCAGCAAAGGGTAAATATATACTCCTGACGGTAGGAGATGACCCCTGCACCCCAGACCCGAAACGCGTTGATAATAGGGCGTCGACTTCTTAAAACCGTAGGCTTATCGATCCCCATGTCAGGCCTATCGAGTTGGGTTTCTTGTTCGGGATCGTGCCGCACGAGCTTCGTAGCCACTGGAGCTGGCGTAGTCTTGGCAGAGGATCGCGTAGGTTTTCGACACGTTCGCAGTTTCGTCGTATTGGAAGCTGACCTTCACAAGGTTTGGGGTTTACCCTAAGGGTCCTAACACTTTAGGGGACCTTAACATGCGACGCCAAGAGAAGCTCTCCCTAGGGCATTCCGGACCCTCCGAAGGAGATACCTGGACCCTTAGGGTTAAGAACAGGCTCCACGGATCCGGGCTTATGGCTTGGTATTTGGATTTGGGTTTGGGGTTTAGGGTGTAGCGTTATAGAGTTTAGGGTTTGGGGGTTTTGGGCAAAGGGTTTAAGATAAGGATCCAAGGATCGGGGCCTAGAGTTTGGGGTTTTTGATTTGGGTGTGGGGTGCGCGGTTTAGGCTTTAGGGATTGGGGGTTTTACGCTTTATGGCTGAGGGATCACCGAAACTCCAAGAAACCTACATCTCCAGTCCAGGGCCCTTTTTTCTGAATTCTTTCTGTAACGGCCTTAAGTTGGGGTTGCGAGATAGCCGAAGTGACCAAACCCTAAACCCTAAACCTGCGGTTTCGAGATAGTGGAAGCTCACCTTCACGGCATTGTGAGGCGTGAAGTCCAAGGGATCCTTCGCAATCAGCTGCCCGTTGAAGTAGAACTCAAAGTAGTTGTCGCAGTAAATGTGGCCAGTGATGTCCTGGGTCCAGGGGGATGGCTGTCAAAATTATGGTCCCTTTTGGGGTCCCTGGTATACTACGGCACCTATTATTTAGGGTACCCAAAAGGATCCCTAATTTTGGGGCCATACTAGGGTCATACTAGGTCTAGTAGTTCCAGTCTGGTGTGTGTGTATATATATATAGGGCAAGAGGGATAATGTTTGCAAAATCTCGACCGCTGATTATGGTCAGCTTGGGGAACCTTAGGAGACCTCTTGCTTCGTTCATGCATCCTGCTTCTCGTTTACATTCTCGATGGTGTAGGGTTTTGGATTTAGGGACCACTAAGACCTGATTTGCATGTTGAAGGCCCCTTATTGTGAGCACTAATATACACCCTTTACACAAGTAGGCTTCTTGGCTGCAGGACGGGGGTGTGTTAAAGTTAGGGTTTGGGTTTAGGGTTTCGGATTGAGGATTCTTTCGGGTGTTAGGTTTACTGGTTTGGAGTTGGGCAGCACCAAAGAGGATGTAAAAGGCTCAGTCTCTCCTATTGATTAGGTACCCCTGCCACAGGAAGAGCAGGCAAACTAATACTATCTTTGTCTATGTCTAGCAGCGGTAATATTCGCAATAGCTATTGGCGAGGTTTAGGGTTTACGCTTTATGCAAGGAGAGACGGAGTGTGACAGGGAGACGGAGATCTATGTGCGTATTTGTACATATGTATATATATATATATATATATATATATATATATGTATGTATGTATGTATGTATGTATGTATGTATGTATGTACACCTACATACATACCTACATACCTACAAACCGACATACTTACAAACCTACACACCTACATACATACGTGCAGACAGACAGAGCCTCAGACAGACAGACATGAATGCATAAATGGTCACATCCATATATCCATACATGCAGACATACCTACGTACATCCATACGGACATACTACCTACATATGTACCTACCTAGCTACATATCTACCTCTATCTACATGCCTACCTACATACCTACATACAGCGGGACTCTAAGGACTAGTCACGTCGTGACCAGACCAGAAGTTATGAGTAGAGTACAGTATAGCCCGGGCACGCTCTCACCAATAGTCCTAGTCAGTCGGACCTGCTAACATTAGTTCGGGAGTCGGTCATTGCAACAACCGTCCCAAACAGCCACAGCAAAAGCAGCACGCGTCCACCAAGACCTGACATCGCACCGGAAACCCGGAGATTTGGATTTAGGATTCACTGGGCTTGCCAAGCTGTCGAGCCGCAAACGGCTAAGTCTGAGGAACCAAAGAACATTAAACTCAAACCCAACATGGACACTCTAGTTCCTGTTTTTGGTTAACCAGTGTTATGGTCAGGATCCGATAATATAGTTTTTGGTTAACCAAAAAATGAACTACAATGGAGACTATAGGTAAGCACCAAATTTACAAGCTTGACCACTAAACTAAACTTAAACCCCAAGCCCCAGGCTCTCAACTCTTATAGCACCCTGAAGGAACGCTTGCCCGAAGCCGTCAACAACAGCACTGAATCCCAAATCCCCAGCACTGAAACCAAAATCCTCAGAGGAATTTCTCATTTCTGCGATTCTGAACTTTGTAGAAAAGCAACAGCCGCCAGCGAACTTTGTCAGTGTAATGTTCCCATAAAGGATTGCTCACAAAAGGCTTCTGCCATCAATCCTACACCCGAAACCGTAAATCCCGAAAGCTCTGACCACAAACCCCGCAATCACTCCTGTCAACACCGTAAAGCTCATAACCACCAAATCTACGAATATCAGGGCTTTGATGTCTTACCCACCCTCAGGCCATGAAACACTGATGTAGGAACCTGAATAAGAAACCCTGGCGATGGAACCCGAAATTCCTAGGATCCATATAATAAAGAGCCCTAATCAAGACCCAGGAATTTTCATTCAGGTTCCTACATTAAATACAATAAATGCAAGAAAGCATGGACCCGAAACCCCAAGCCCTAAACCCCTACTTAAACTCTAAACCCCTACACCCCAAACCCCTAATTAACCCCTAAACCTCGAAACCCCTAAACCCTAAACCCTCAGGGCTCAAACATCGCAATGCAGGTTCACTGCAGACATCCTCGAGATCGGAGAGGGCAGCTGCAGGAAGGCCCAGCGCAAAGTTGCAAGCCTTACTTAGGGGGCTTGGGGCTTCGGGTAATGCTTAGGGTTCAGGAAGCTAGGGCCCCCAGTAAACCCTAAAAAATAAGGGTGCCCGTTTCTCCCATTATTCGGTTTATAGTGAGGAGACCCCAAACTAAAACGAAAAAGATGGTACTACTCAGGAACCTAAGGTTTTTTTCGGAGCCCTTTATCCACCATCAATGCAGTTTACTAGTCAGCCACAGCCAAGTCTTCGCATCAACCATTTCGTCACAAGGCACCCTCGCGGTTCACATCCTCGAACTATACAATAAAAAGTCCACTAATGGCGCTGATCGCGATGTCTCCGACCTTGTAACCAGGCACAGTCTCAAGACGGTGGTGGAACGGTGCTTTCGGAGGGCGATCTCCCATGGCCCCGAAGGGCTGCCACTCCCTGTTGGACCGTGCTAATTGACGCTGCTTTGCGACGCCACGGCGACGGGGTGGTTGGCTCTTCTTCTTGGGCTATGGCATCTGGGTGGGCGGCTCGCTGCGCCCTCTTGGGCTTCTGTTGAGAGCCTAAGGGCTGCTGCTTGCCTGCTGAGCTCTTCCCCGAACCTTTTCCCATGCCTTTCCGCCCTTTTCCAGGCCAACGTGGCCCAGGCCAAGACATCGTCTTGCGATAAATATCCCAAAGAGTCCAAATATCATTATGGTATATACTTAGACCCACCAAAATACCCAATAAGTCTATACCATGATGATACTTGGACCTTTTGGGTATGAACCAAGCAAGTCGGCCAGGAATGGCCCAACGAGAGTCACAACGTCCGTAGGTGCAGAAGTCATTAGCTGGAGGATACTGCAGCCGGCGCTCGGCCTGAGGGTACCTGCCAACTTTTACTACGATAGTCGTGACTACAACTAGTATAAACTAGTATAAAGCATTATACTGGTATATTATACTGATATATTCTAGGGTTTAGGGTCTTCAAACAGCCCTCGCTGCCATCTGCACTTTCAACTCACTACATCTCCTGGCAGCCTTGGTTGAGGTTCTACCTAGAGGCTCATACCCTACCCCGTTTTAAGGTACCTTTTCTATCTAACAGATCCTAACCATAAAACTAGGTATCCCCCCAAAAAAGCGTAGGGTATGAGCCTCTAGGGTAAGCCTCAAAAATGAGGCTTCTGTGTTCTCTTCGGTATGCTGAGCAGGGCTGGACTCAGGCTTCAAGCTTCTAAGGTCTCACCGGCCACCCGGAAAACGAATAAAGGTAAACCCTAGACCCTAAAGGACCCTTAGACCTGAACCCTAACTTTGCGAAAAAAAGCCCTAAACCCAAACAACAGTAGACCCCTTTACCCTAAACCATACAACCTAAACCCTAAACCCTAAACATTCAAACACTCATGACCGGTTACGGCTCATGGGTCTGACCATCGACCCCAAATGGTCCTCAGCGCCTGTGAAAGCAAAAACTTGATACTCTTTGGGGGTTTAGGGCTTAGAGCTGTTAATCTTTGGGGGTTCAGGGTTTAGGGCTTCGGGTCGTCAATCTTTGGGGGCTTTGGGTTTAGGGTTTAAGGCTGTTAATCTTTGGGGCTTTAGGGTTTAGGGCTATCCTTTTCACTGTTTGGGCTTAGCAAGAACCCTAAACCCAACCCGCAGTTTAACCCTCCTCACCTTAAAGACGACATGTACCCTAAACGGGTTTACTGTAAGTTAGAAGCACCCTGTAATAGTGACTATAAGGATTATATTAGGGCCCGATTATATTCCTATAAAACCACTATTACAGGGTGGGGGCCCCTTCTAAGGTTTAAGTAAGTATGGGGCCCCTGCCTTTTTAAGGGTCATTTAGTTTGCAAGCTGGGGCTCTCCTTAGGAGGGGGGTTTAGGGTTTAGGAATCTCCTAGGGGGAGCCCTTGGGTCTCTTTGGGGTCTCAGAAATCCTACATTTTGAGGCTCCCTAAAGTGTTAGGACCCTTAGGGTTATGAGGTGTACATACGTTGGCCTGATATTTCTACTGGAATCTGTTCCGACACCCAATTTCCAGGGGCCAGGGTCCATGCACCTACATAAGTATATACCTCGGCCTTACATAAAGGGGTACTATATAGGCACGTCAGGGCTAAACTATACGGTAATACCGTTTATAAGGGTGCATGGACCTCGCTTTGCCCCGAGTTCAGGCCCCGGTGAAAAGCCAAGCATCAAGCCCTAAACCCTGAACCCTAAGCAACAGCCCATACCAAAAGCCGCAATGCACACCCAAAGCTCCTGGAACCCCTTTCTTCCAGGGATACAGCGCTAACACCAAAATCAAAACTTATCTTCGTTGCTGAGCTCATAAGCCCCCAAAAGTGTACACTTTCAGTTTCATAGTGGGTAATATTATCCCAAAAAGTGTAAAGTGTATCCACTCAGCTACGAAGGTATTCATGGAGGCGAGCTTATACTGAACCTTGGAACGGCCAGCCAGTACCTGAGTCTTGCGCCGACGACTGGTCCTTCGCAGAAGTGCGGTGGGAGGCTCACTTCCACACTCGCAGGAGTAGACCCCTCGCAACTAGATGACCCTTGAAAGTAAGTAAGGGGCCCCTATAAGCCCTTATAGTATGAATCTCTGCTATGGAACATGAACCTCTAATTACGCCTTGAACCCTGTTGGGGTACATGTCGTCCTGAAGGCCCTTGCCCTGAACGTGTTGGAAAAAAACACATCCGGACGTCCGACCTCCACCTTTCTCTACAACCGGGCCCGGGAGAGCGAGAATAATTACTACAAGTATCTCAACTTAATGTGAGCAAAAGCTCAACATGTAAGAAGCCCCGTCTGGCCAAGGTGGATACTAGATGAGTACAGGGACAGTACGGGTCAAACAAACCCAAACAGCAACAAGCTCCAAGTCTACAGCCGCTAGCACCAGAAACGGTTCCCACTCCCAACATAAAAGCCCAACCCCAAAAGCCCTATATAAGCCCTGTAATTGCAAATCCCCAAACCCCAAGGGAATTACCTATAACCTATAACCCTCTATCCCAAAAGCATCGTCCTGTCGTCCACGTCTTCGAAGATCTTGGCCCCAGCTGCGATAGGCGTGGCGCACCAGCCTTGGCCAGCTTTAGGCTTAAAGGCTTCGAGCTTACAGGGTTTGTGGTCGGGCTGCTGGCATTCCATTATTAGCCCTAGGCGTCCATGTACCCATGTGTCATGTACTTTGGCTTTAAGGTCCCACTTTAGTTTCTTTAGTACATGGACCCTCTGGGTTTCAAAGCATGCTAGAGAATCCTCAGGAAGTCTGGACCGCCTCCCTGGCAAACCCTTGACCTTCTGGAACTAAAAATCCTTTTCACTTAATTCATGCCTTGTAGGGTTTAAGTTTAAGGCTCATGGATGTTCAGGGTTAAGGGCTTAGGAGTTTAGGGCTTAGGGGGCTTCGGGTTTAGGGTCCGGTTTGCAACCCAGCTGCGGGTGCTTCTGCGGGAGCCGAAGACGCGCTAAGAGAAGCGCCTGGCCGTGACAGAATTGCGAGCGAGGGGCGCTGAAAAGTTTACCAAGGCTATTCCTCAAGGTTGCTTACTGTACTCTCTCTCTCTCTCTCTCTCTGTCTCTCTCTCTCTCTCTCTATATATATATATATGTGTGTTTATATACATATACATATACATATAATTACATGTACATATACATATACAAAAGCAAAGACGCATGGTAGACAGCAGAAAAAATCATAACGGGTTTGACCCAGTTTACCTTCATGCTTCGACTCCCTCTCGGCATCTGCCCTTCGAAGTAAGACCAGGCCCTTTCGACGTTGACCGTTCCGGTTTGTTGCGCAGGTCAGCAGCTCTCATCGCCATCGCCATGGTCCTCCACTGCCAGACCTCTTGGACACTTTGATGTTGCCTATCAAGCTTTTGTAACGTAAGGCAACCGGTTGGTCCATGCAGTTTTGAAGCCTCCAACACTCTCCGATCAAAAGCAATTCGAGGAATCCCCCGCGCATAGCGGAAGGATTTTCTGCATATTTTTCCTGTCGAAAAGACTGAATGGACGGCAATGCAACATATATATATATATACATACATACATACATACACTCATACATACATACATACATATATATATATACATACATATACATATACATACATATACTGTATATATATATATATATATATATATATACTCACAAGTTTGTGTCTTTGAGAATTTTCGTATTTCTATATAACTCTATCTATCTATCTATCTATCGATCTAACTATATATATATATATATATATATCTTTTCTATGGGCATACATGAAAGAAACATGCTCATGAGCATGAGCCAATCGAACCTGCCAATCTAACCCCTCTAAGACACTAAACCCTAAGGCCTTAAGGCATCTGCGGCCCTAAACCCTAATACTCGAACACTCCAAACCACAAAGATCTCTGACAATAACCAAACTAATACAACGAACCCTATATATCCTGCGTGAAACCTTGAGAGCCTCAAAAGGTGGGATGAAGTAGGCAGGATTACGGGGCCTTATCTCACAGGCCTCGTACCCCACCTACCTTCACCCCACTTCTGGAGCCCAAAACCCAACGACATCCAACGCCTCGGCGTGAAGTTCGTTGCCTTCGTAGAGCCGAACAGCCTCCTCGAGATCAGGGATCAGCCCAAAGGGTCCAACTGTTGATGATATAAATCCTGCATTACCCAGAATAAGGAATATACCATTATTCCCATAGTTGAGGGTCCTTAAGGTAATGCAGGATTTATATCATCAACAGAAGTACTGAGGCACCCAGATGGCATTGGGTTTAGGGTATGGGGTATAGGGTTTAGGGTTTTAGGGTTGAGGGTATGGGGGCTTCGGTTTATATATGGTGGTTTCGGGTTTAGTGTTGTGGGTTCGGGGTAGTGTTGTGGGTTCGGGGTTTGGTGATTTGGGTCCCAAATACTATAGGCCGCGGGCTTGTGGTACCTACAGCCCTGCTATCGCCTTGCTATTTCTGTACTTGGACCCGCTGGCAGGCTCACTACCAACACAGTGCTCGTTGAATACACCCTATGTGACAGATGCTATAATAGTGAATACCCTAAACCTAAACCGTATGCAGTAGACGTAGCCCAAGCTCTTATGACATCGGCAGCTGCGCTCTGATAGAAATATGTCAAAAAGCACGGCCGAGGCTTTAGACGTTACTATAGAGGCCTTCATTATCATTTAGTCTGAGAAGGTTAAGGAACCCTCGGCAGTGATAATCACAGTTTGTCAGGCAGGCTCCAATATCATGCCAAGGGCTTCGAAGCTCTTTTCTCCGTGCGGTTTCTGTGTGGGTACGTGTGGTGGTGGAGAGGTTTACTCTAAGACTCCATGTATCCATATAGTAAGTACTCAGGCCTTAAAGAGGTCCCTACATGAGCACTTTAAGGCCTAAGTACCTACTATATGGCTACATGGAGCATTAGGTTTAGGGGGACCAGGCGACTGCACTACAAAAGAGGACATAGTTGATCCGAGCTGATGCAAGCGGATTGGGCCGCTTGTCATCATTCGTGTGCTCAACCCAGTCATGGCCCATGGCCTTGTTGATTCAGTGTGACATATTATGAAAAATTGAAGTACGGCACGTAGAAACAAAAATCAATCATGATAAGAGGAAGCGAAGTAATGACGGAAGTGATAGTCATACTCAGTTAATCTTTCTGCTTCAATTTGCCAGCAGTAGAAGGGACACTCACCTCGTAGTTGGTTTCTTTGCAACCAGACCTGGCCTACGACGAAACTCATTCCTACATGTCGTGGCTCGTGCAGCTTTTGTGGCAGGTTAGGGACATCCTCAAAGCTTGCATTGAGACCTTGAGCTTAGGGCGGGCGTCAGGGTTCAGGTTTGGGGGCTTTGAGGCGTGTCTCTCGTCTTCGAGGTCTTGACATGTACAATTTACCCCGCTGGAGGGCTTTAGGCTTGTACAGACTCAGATTGATTTGATTGATTGGGCGAAGACCCTATACTAAACCCCATAAAGTTGGAAACCGGACTAAGGCCAAATAGTGCTGGGATTCCCTCTACATTACTCTTAAGGATTGAGGCTATTAGGTTTCAAACTTTTGGGCTTCTACTGTAAACCCTAAACCCTGCAGTCTAGATCCCAAACCTTAAACCCCAAACTCGAGACATGGCAAAATCCTAGAGGTCTGTGTACATTCGTAGCATATACTTAGGCCTGAATAGATTCCTAATAGGTACTTTGGGGCCCAAGTATTTCATGAAAACCCTAAGCCACCCCCCACCTCCAGCCGACCCAGTGCCAACGCCGCGGCAGCTATGTGGTGGATGCTGTCAGCCGAGGCACCCGCGGCCACCTTGACACTTAGCTTAAGCTTATAGGGTTGACAGTTCCGGGTATAGGTTCCCCCTGACTCGAAGCCAAATGGGATATACTGTGGCCTTAAACGAATCCCTGCTTACGTACTTTAGGGCCCAAGTGAAAGGAATATGCTAAGGTCCATGTGGTGACATTGCAACCACATGGGCTCGCAGGGTAGTACATCCCTGGCGACGAGGGGGGCTTAGTGCAGGGGTGAGCACGAGGCACGCTTTTGCCTTACAAAGTATGGCGAGACTTTAAGACATGATCGATAGAGCATCACGATTAGGCTCTAGAATTTTGGGCTTTGGGACGAGGGGGAGTCGGCAAGGTTTATCTTCATCGATATACAACATGTGAGGCTTAACTCCGCAGTTGTTTCTGGTATTTTTTGGCTGTGTAGGAGGGCGCTTGGAATTGCGTGCCCGTGAAGCTTGACTAGGTGCTTGGGTATGTATACAGAAAAAATGTGTATATATATATATATACACACACACATGCACTCGTAGAGGTTGTCGCCTCAATATCCCCTCAGTAACAGGGGCATCTCTGCTTCAATTATCAATCAAGTGGTAATGCGAAAGCCGAAACTCAAAAGGCAAACGGGCACTAGGGCGGGACCTACATGTACCTACTGAATCTCCGAGCCCAAGCTTGCCAGGCAAAAATGACTTCCAGGTTAAACCTTGTACATTACTTCAAACATCAAGGCAAGTACCCTAACAGATCCTAGACTGCCGTGTATAAACGTCCACGCAAGCGAGGATAAACTCCCAGCTGAATGGCTTCTACGTGGTATCTTGTGGAGGCGAGCTTTGTGGTTGCTGGCCTTCAAACGGTTGCACAGTCATCACGCTTTGGGAAACCCTTTGCTACAAACTATAAATCCTACAACAACCACCAAAAGGCCAGAAGCCCAACACCCGATGAGCCCCTATTGAGCCCCGTGCCAGCCCTACACCGAAATAAAAGTGCTACAAGACCTGTAATTAGATTCCAGGGCCTGACAGGAAAGCCCCCTAAACCCTAAACTCAAAGTCCAAGCGGCGATCTTTGCCAAGGCAGCAGAGTTGGAGCACCCGCCTCTGTCAACACCGCCTCCTCAACCCCCTCCCTCCTCAGATCTTCCGATATACCCTGACTTCGGAATACAACGTACCCTGAGGTCCATGTACCTAAATAGTATATACATTGGCCTTAAAGCACTCCCTATATGGGTACATTGGGCCCAAAGTATATACTACTTGGGTACATGGGCCCTCAGGGTTAGAAGGATCTTTGGAGACCTCTGATCTTCCGATATACCCCAAACCCTAAGGCTCAAAACAGCCCAAAAGCCTTATGTAGTATGGTCTTTGGGCCCAAAAGCCTTGAAATATGAGTCCTTAGAGCCTACGGGTAAGGCATTCCGCAAATAATCTTAGGAAGGATCTTTGAGGATCTGGGTGGTTTAGGGTTTAGGGCAGCTTTCCAAGACCTTGGACCAATGCGGACACCTTATTAATACACGCTGACCCGCAAACCACCGTTCTTATAAATCCTGCTTCTCCAAGGGCATGGAAGTTACTTTCGCCCTAAACCCTAAACAATTATTGCTTATCGGCTCGGAGAGCCCAACACGAAAGCCCTGTGTCCCGTTGCGACGAAGCTGGTTTGGCGGAATTGGGCAACGCTGGGCAGAGGACCGTGCATACAGTTCAAAGAGGTCAGGGTTTAGGAGTATATACAAGCGTATAGTCATGTACTACATGACTGTACACTATCATATACTCCTAAACCCTGACCTCTTCGAAGAAAATCACACACGCTTTTGGATCGGTTTGAGGTGTTTCGCCATGAGTCCTTAGTCGGGAGGTCACGCCTCCCATCAACGACGAAATCCGCATCCTTGTAAGGCCCTTCTATCAAAGGGGAAAAGGAGGGACCCTTAAGGGGGACCCCTACCCTGTAATGGGCTATATAATGGGTATATAATGGCTATATCAAGGGTATATACCTAGGGGTCCTTATTCAGGGTCCCTCCTTTCACCCTTGGATTTTATACGGATCCACAAGGCAAGCTTGTAATTGCAGGCCTTTGTCTTGCGCAAGGGCCGCCCAGAGCCAGGTAGCAGGCACAGGCACATCCAGGGAAGGAACCTTTGCAAACAACAAGGGTGCTTGTAATAGAAGCCTCTCAGTAATTAGGCTGGGGCTTTGGTGGAATGTACTAGAATCAAAATATAGGGAGCTTTAAGTAATAGCACTACTAGTTGTTCAAGCCTCTACATGAGGGCTTGATGCAGTAGTGTCGAGGGTCCTGACTCCTGAGCACGGGGTTAGAAAGTTTTAGGGGGGAGGGGTTTAGGGGTTGTAGGGCTTATAGGGTTTAGGGTTCAGGGTTCAGGGTTTCGGGACCAGCGCAGTATGCGGTTGAAGGTGGGCAGTTGGTGGGGACATATTAGGGTTCAAATTTCTGGGGTTATTGAGGTCCTGGGTGTTTGGTTTTTCATGCACGAGTCCCGAGGTCGATGGCTTCCAAGGCTTGTGGCGGCTTAGGGTTTAGGGTTTAGGGTTTAGGGTTTAGGGTTTAGGGTTTAGGGTTTAGGGTTTAGGCTGGAAAATCAGCGCCTAGGCTTTTTTGTAGACCGGGAGCAACATCAGAATGCTTTGGAGGAGATTGGAGCTTGGTTTCAGGGCCCATGACCGCCCTAGGAGGCCTAAACCCAACAAGGCTGCACAGGGTTCTGAATAACTAGGTGGAATGGGGATGTGAGTATTCCTGCACCAAAAGGAAATTAGCGAACCCTGCGGAAATTAGGGAATACTGGAACTGACTTTTCAGCCTGCTGTATCAAGCCTGAACCGACGAAATGGCACTCTGAGAAACAGTGGCCACTGAACAGAAGGATATTTACAGGAAGCAACCCATACAAACAGGAGCTAGGGCTAACCACGACCCTTTATGAAGTCTGCACACCGCGGCGCTCTTTGAACCGTGTTACAGAGGCCTTCATTGTCAGAAAGGTGATTTGAGTCCATCATATGGGGGCCACGAATGAGTGAATGAAGAGAGGCCATTGTCATTCTTGTTAGTTAATACTAGAATTCCTCACGATGCTGCCATCTACTGCGACACCTCGTCATCGAAAAGCTCCGGCGCCCAGAGTTTCAGCAGCTGTGCGCCTTTTTGTCATTGGGGCTTCCCTAAACACTAAACCCTAAAACCCTAAAACCCTAAACCCTGAAACCCTAAACTCTAAAACCCTAAACCCTAAAACCCGAAACCCTAAACCCTAAACCCTCGGGGCTTCCGCCACGATTAAACCGTCATTCGGGACTGCTCTGGAGCCCTTGACACCTCGGGTTGACGGTTTAGCATTCGGGGTACCTTACAGGGGTTCCTTTAAAGGGTTACTTTAAGGGTACTATAAGGGTGTCTTTGAAGGGGTTAGGTTACTCTAAGGGTACTATAAGGGTGTCTTTGAAGGGGTTAGGTTACTTTGAGGGTACTATAAGGGTGTCTTTGAAGGGGTTAAGTTAAGTGTTAACGTTGAGGGGGAGGTTATGGGCTTTGTTCTAGACGAAGGTTCACAACTTTTCGGGCAATTAAGCCATTGCTGCCGTCTGTTGCTGCCATCTCGATGACCATTTGCTGAACCGCCCGCAAAATAGCAAAGCCCCAAAACAAAACTTGACTTGAACCCTTTTAACCCTATAAACCCTAAACCCTTGTCTTCGCTCCACGCTACAGTGCTGCAGTCCACTACTCGGGATGCTCTATGTATGCGGGCCGGTATCTGGGGATCCAAAACCTATTGTATTACGGGTTATACTCTTTTATTAAGGGGATAACGTATAACTTAAGATGTTGATAGATTTTGTAGGGCTTGGGGATAATTACAGGAAAGTCTATATGAGACGAGCCAGCCGAAACATTTCACGGCAGTCTTTGGAGCCGCCAAATCACAAAGCTTTCGTCCTTGAAGACTTTCCCAAACCCCGGACCCTATTTCCAAAACCCTACAACCTAAGCCCTAAGCCAGAAATCAAAACACTCGCTTCCGAGCCCCGATCTTCGCACGACTCGAACCCAGAACCCTCCTGAGTCCCTGAAAGGTGGTACCTTATTCGGACACGGTATCGGCTCCTAGCCATAAAGTAAGTTAGATATCCCGGAAGAAGGTGCTCCAGTTCTAAAATAGACAACACCGAAGACAAGTATTTGCAGACTCTGCCTTGGATACAACAAAAGCTAAGTCTAAGCTGCAACGTGCTGAGTGTTGTCATATAAACACAGACACACAGAAACACAAACACACACACACACACACATACTATGCATACTGTAGTGACTATCTACCTATAAGTCTGTCTAGCTATCTATCTACCTGCCTACCTTTATGTCTGTCTTTCTGTCTTTCTATCTGTATACTATCTGTCTGTCTATCTACTTCGGGCTTCTGTTGTAAGCGGAGTGGCGGTGGAGTGTCACGGGATCCTGCGACGCCGCCTGCCGTTCGGGGCTGAGGCATGCGTTGCATCTCAGGGAATCGGCTTCCTGGAACTTATGATTTAAAAACCCTAAACCCTGAACCCTAAACCCTCTAAACCATCATAAGCCCCAGGCTTTTGGAAGGTTTAGGGGTTTAGGGTTTGGGGTTATAGGGCTTTGGGTTTAGGAAGATAGGCTGTGAGGTGTTCATATAGTTCCTTTTTGGGATTCATATAGTTGCTTGTAAGCGGGGCCGGCTGTGGCTTGGGACTCCGATAAGCCCCCAGGCTTCATTGCCTCAGCGAAAAGATTTTGGCCTTCACTTACACTTTGAAAGGGCCCTCTGAGATCATCCATGGCTGGGCACTCCACAGTAAGGTGGAAAATGCCAGCCAATTTCTTCCCCCTTCACTCTGAGTGGATGACTTAATCATCCATACTGTCCAGCTGGAGCGGTCTGTTTAAACAGTGTATGCTCCCTGACCATAGCCTGGGTGTCCGGGCCCCAGCCCTCCTCCTCGGGCCCGAAGCTTACGTTCGGGCCCATCCTAAACGCCAGAGGGTCCAAGTACCCAAACTGGGGGCTCAGGTACCTAACACCATTCAGAGTTTAGTATCTCGGACGCAAGCCCTACTATTCGGCTACTTGGCCCCTCGGAGAACCTTAAACCCGTAACTATCTATGTAGGAGCCCATGGAAGGCCAAAGTATGCACTGCTACACAAACACGATAAGCCCGATTGTAACATAGGTACGACGATAAAATAAGACACTCCAAAGGACCCATTAATTAGGTACTCGGTTTTGGGATGGTAGTTATGTAGGTTAGGATTTTGGAGAGTATATGATTATTAGGTACTTGGACCCTTAGGGTTATGGACCTAAGGGCTATACAGACAGGTCGAACCCTTGACATGGGAGACTTGATCTGGAACCTTAGTGAAAAACCCTAAACCCTAAACCCCTAAACCCTAAACCTTCTGCGCGAAACCTTCAAACCTCAGGCCTGCGACTGAGTACCTTAAAACTAAGATGCTCAGTAACCTGGGAATAAAAAGGGCTCCCTTTTTGGTATTAGGTAACTGTTTAAGGAGTTAACCTAGGACTACAAAAAGGGAATAAGGGTGCCACTGGGCATCCTAGAAAAGGATCGTCTCCAACTCCTCAGAAAAAAACACTGTCCATCAATACCAGATGGACCCCTCTACATACCCTAGGTCCTGAAAGCGGTGCCTTGTTGCGCACCTCGGACATGAGCCACTCGTCAGCCAGGTCTTGCCCTTGGCACAAATCGGCGAACATTCGTGTCGGGCTCAGGGCTTACACTTTGGGCTTGCTGGACCCCTACATCCTATGAACCCTAATCACTAATGTCGCCATAGGCCTTTAGAGCTTTAGAGCGTGCGGCAACCGTCGCGATGTTCAGGATCCCTCCCGGATAGGTGCCGGCAGGAAAGGTTTGTCCACGGCAGCTAAATCCAAGCCCGCTTCCTTCCTAAACCCTGAACCCTAAACCCTAAGCCCTACCTAAACCCTAAACCCTAAACCCTGAACCCTAAACCCTAAAGCCCTAAGCCCTAAGCCCTAAACCTTAAACCCCAAACCTTGGCCGAACTTACGGGATGAAACGCCTCGAGCAGGTAGGACGATAGGCATGAACAAAGCAATACCTGGGTTCTTGTTGAGGGATCCCGTTAGAAGGGGGCCCCACCCTGTAATAGTGGTATAATAGGAATATAATTGGGCCCCAATATAATCCTTATAGTCACTATTACAGGGTGGGGGCAGCTTCTAAGATCTCATTTAATATACTTTAATCAAGAAACCTTGTTCTTTACTGCAGATCCCTGTTATGGTAACTTACATGAATCAAACCCCTTAACACCTTTTATGCTAACTTACATTCATTAAACCCTGAATAAGAATCCAGATGCTCAGATACTGACTCTGGAGCTCATTAATCCAGTGATCTCCGAACCCTTCGATTCCAAGGGAACTGTGCCCAGATGCAGTCATCATGTCTGCTGGGGTTCCTTTAAAGGGTTCTATCAGGGTTTTATAGGGTTCTATACGGGTTGTTGTAGGGTTTAGGGGTAAAGGTCCATGTGCCCAACTAGTAGATACTTTGGGCCCCAAAGTAATTACCTATATAGGGATTACTTGCAGGCCAAAGTATATACCCAAATTGGGCACATGGACCCTTAGGGCTATGATGTAGCGTCGATAGCTTGATGAAGCTGTGGGCCAGCGTGCGTCTGTGTGCTCGATTAATGCTAGGCTTTTCAGTAGCCCCTTAATAGTAGGGGTAGCCTCTTTCCTACTACACTTGGCTGTAAAACGGGGAACCCACGGAGAAAAAGTGCAAAAGGGTACTACTGGGAACCTGGAATGTGATCATGGTAGCGCGGATGCATCTCATGCCGAAGACCTTGGCCATACAACAACCCTAAACCCTAAATCCCGTCAATAACCCTAAACCCCGGAACCGCAAAACCCGCAACCCTGAACCCCTAAACCCTAAACATCTAGACCACGTGGCCAGGAAATGAGCTCTTCAGGGTCTACGTCCAGGTCGTAGCCAGGCCAAGGACCCCACTGCAAAACTCTGTAGAACTCAAGATCGTGGGTTTCGTTTTTATTGGGTAGTGAGTTTAAGGCTTGTAGTTCCTTTTTTTTGGATAACCAAAATCCCTATTCTAGGTTCCTAACCATAAAATTGGCTAACCAGAGAAAGGAACTACAATGGAGACTCTAGGTAGTTCCTTCTTTTCTGCCTTAAAACAGTAGGGTTTTGGATCCCCCGGACGAGTTTAGGGCTTAGCGTCCCCAGGGTTTAGGGTCTAGGGTTGCTGGCTTGGGTGCTTGGGGTTTTGGAAGGCGGCCTTCATTCTGGAGATCTTCAACCCTACCTTTTTCGGTATCCTTATTAGAATTGATTTCCTTAGTTTACAAGTCCTTAAAAAAGGTAGGTTCTTCAAAGATAAGGTAAGCCCTAAACCACAATTCGTTGGCATTTAACAAGTGCTGCAAACCGCATACATTTCAGCAACCCGTCGCGCTAAAGGTCACTGGGCTCCCTGGTTTACGATTTACCTCTACAAGTACGGCCTGAGGCCACAAATCCCAGAGTCCCGCAGCTCGGCATCTGCCACAAATGCTTCGAACTCATTGCCCTCATGCCGACAAGCGAGTCATACATTTGAAGTACAACAACTAATCATCTACTCATTTTACTCTTCAGTACCAATGGACACACCAAAAGCATCAGAGCCTGAACCAAACGACAGTGGCCAGCCTCCAATGGATTCCCAAGCTCGAGAAGTCAGGGAGGGTTCAGGATTTACGGTCCGTTTACCATGATGGTAAGATCTGCAGCTTAGTGGCTGTTGCAGAAAATCGTCTTGGCCAAGTTGGGCTGCGCGCCTTCGTGGGAGACTCTTACGCTTTGTTGCCGTTGTCTCCGTGTCTACATGCCTGTGTGAAGGTATGAATCATCATCACCACAGCCACCACCGACATCCACACCATCATGCCCATCATTGTCGCTGTAGCGACATCGCAGGTTGTGGATGGCATCATCAGCATCATCATCCTCATCGTCATCACGATCATCATCATCATCATCATCGTGATCCTGTTGCTGCTGCTGCTGCTGCTGCTGCTGCTGCTGCTGCTGCTGCTGCCGCGGCTGCTGCTGCTGCTGCTGCTGCTGCTGCTGCTGCTTGACCGTGCCGCCACGCCGCACACGCCACCCTTACACCTCCATCGCCGTCGTGACACTACAGCATTTCCTTCAAAACACTTCATGGCGTCTCGTCAATTCCTAAAGGAAATGGAACAACTCACATCAATGCGTAGGGTCAAGGACTTAATGTGCAGGCGGACGATAATGCACCCATAAAATTCTTCGTGTCACAGAGAGGCATCATCCGAGCCCTGACAGCTCCAAAACCAAAAACCCAAAGTCTGAAACACCCACAACCTGAAACAATAGAAATTCTACATCCTCAACTCCTCAACTCTCCGAAGCAAACCCTTTGCTCCTATACTTCAACCCTACCTGTATCCTGTTATGACCCCTTGGTTAGAGGGTATACCCCTTAAAACAGTTGGTTTCTGGATCCACATCTCTTTATGGATCCACCAGTGACCAGGTAATCCCTAAAACCCCAAAACACAAAAAACCCTAAAACCCTAACCCCCCCCACTTGTGCACCGCCACGGCCCGCCGTTCACAACAAACACATGGCTGGTTGTCAAAATTATGGCCCCTTTTGGGGAACCCTAAATATTAGGTGCCGTACTATGATAGGGACCCAAAAAGGGACCCTAATTTTGACAACTACCCATATTATAGTAGATACCCTTATAGTACCCCTTATGGTATCCCTTATAGTATCCCTTATAGTAACCCTTATAGAGCCCTTTAAAGGGACCCTAATTTTGACAACCACCCACATCTCTGCGGCCGGGGCCCTTGCGAGAGCTGGCATCCCCTGCAGCCTACGGGCTCAGGGTTTGAAGGATGTAGCGTTTTGGGATTTAGGGCTTAGGGCTTAGGGTTTGGGGTTTAGGGTTTGGGGTATAGGGTTTAGGGTATAGGGTTTAGGGTATAGGGTTTAGGATTTAGGGCCTAGGGTTTTTAGGATTTAGGGTTTTGGGATTTATAGGGTTTAAGGTTTAGGGTTTAGGGTACAGGGTTTAGGGTATAGGGTTTAGGGTTTAAGGGTTTAGGGTTTTTAAGGATTTAGGGTCTTGGGATTTATAGGGTTTAAGTTTCAGGGTTTAGGGCAGCGCCGGGACCGCTTTTCAAATGAATATCTACTGAGAATCTGCTCGGGGCCTAGATTGTTGAACCACCTTGGACTTACGGGCTTTAGAAGTTTGGCTAGAGCTTTGAGAGCCTGGGCCGGAACCCTGAACCCTAAACCCCTAAACCCCTAAACCCTAAACCCTTAATCCTAACCTTAAACCCTGAACTGGTTTCTTCGGGGAGCTTGGTGGTCCTTGTACCAATCTTGGTGCTTAGGGCCTGTATGAGCGTAAACCCGAAACTCAAGTGAAAATCGGACTCCTCATGTTCCAATCCCCGTGAAAGAGCGTGTGAGAAATGCCTAGCTTCAGCAACGTACGACATGTTCTAGCAAACCGTTGGACAGCAATGAAGAAACATCAAACCGTTTTCGTGCAACAACCACGCTGACATGTGCTTCACCCAACCACTTCGGCTGATGAGCTTCATGTTCTCCGAAGGTGCATGGGATGTAGGCTCTTTTCACTGAGCCACATCACCTAAACCCTGAACCCTTCAAATTCTACATGATCCGAAGCCCCAAGCACTACACCCTCAACCCCAAACCCCTGAAGCCCTGTAACTGCTCCAGCATGCAAACGCTTCTGAATCTTTGTCAGGTTTTGAACCGCCTTGAGGCCGATGTTCTTGGCCTTGCCACTTTTGTTCAGAAAGTCCCTGACCTTTTGGTCCCAGGCAGGGCGGGGGGGGGGCTGCTGAGCATCGTTTGCACGTTGCTGACGGCCAAAACAAGGTTGAACCCAGCCAGTGTGCATTCTTCCACATTGGCCTCCAGATATAAGAATCCAGCGCCCATCTACAAAGCTCAGTGCCGGCTGCGGTCACCTTCGAATAGAACTTTATCTTCAGCACCCGTGCAGTATCCACGAGTTCTATCGGCACTTTATTCCCGTTGCCGAGCTTGGCTTGCTGCCTCGCATACTATAGGCGTCTTAATAATTAGAACAGGATTTTGGGGCCCGCTATACTAGAATTATGATAAGGAGCCCGCCGAAATGGTCTTGCAACTAATTAAGCCCCTATAGTACTTGAAAGCGGCCCTAAACCCCGAACCCTAAAAACCCGAAACCCTAAGAGGCAGGAGAAAACGACTCCGAACCCTTCCTGAAAACGTGCATTCAAGGAGTTCGGTCTTCGGGTTTTTGATATAGAGTTCAGGGTTTAAGGTATAGAGTTTGGGGTTTACGGTATAGAGTAAACCTTTCTGCGGCCCCTTGCTCCACCGGAGGCCTAGAGGCTCCTTGTTTTGATCATTAAAATCGTAGTCGTAGTAGTAGTAGTAGTAGTAGTAGTAGTAGTAGTAGTAGTAGTAGAAGTATAGTAGTAGCAAATTCAGGGTATAAGGTTTAGGGGTTAAGGGTCTTAGGGTTTAGGGCGTTTCGGGTTTGGGGCGAAGAATCCCCCATCGCAGTACCGAGGACCTTTCAAGCCGAAAACCCGGTTCCGTGCTTTCCCAAAGACTCCAATAGCCCTTAATTAAGGAGTATACCTTAAATTATAGTAGGATCCCTACTGCAATTTAAGGTATACTCCTTAATTAAGGGCTATTGGAGTCTCAGGTTTCCCTGTCCCTTCACAGGCCTCGGGGAAGTCGTCGCCCGGCCAAAGGGCTGCCAGGTCCGCAGCTCCTCTCGGCTGCGGAGTCAAGAAATATACCGCTGAGGGTCCATGTGCTTGAAACGGTTCCTTTATGGGGTCCCTTTAAAGTCTTAGGGTTCTTTAAGTGTGCCACATAAGGGTTTAGGGTATAAGGGTCCATGTACTCATCTAGTATATACTTTGGCCATACTTGGGGCCCGAGTAAATAATGCTATTTGGGTAATTACATGGACCCTTAGGTTACAGGTGTGTCGGTCTATGTCTGTTAGCCTGAACTTGAGTGTGCTTTATTATTTGAATGATCCAGGTCAAGGGTCTAGATTTGAATGTGCTGGCTTTTGTGGTTCGACCGGTTAGGCGTTGATGTATGCTGTGCTCGAGGCTTTTCGTTTGTAGGCTGGAATGTGGACTTCCTGATGAATAGGCTTCGTCCCATCATAAAAACCACATTAATGGAGTTCATGTGGTCTGCGGTGAGGGTTGCAGGTTGGAGGTTCAAAATTCTCTGGCTTAAAAGATCAGGCTTGCAGCTTGTAAGGGTCCATGTGCTCACATATTATATACTGCGGCCCAAAGGTACCTACATTGGAAGTACATTAGCGATGGGCAATATTCGTTCATGCGGCACCGGTCTTTGTCTTGCTAGTATCGCTTTCGGGGAGGGTGCAGTATATCGTTTTACATATCAAACGGACATCAGCGGCATTAGCTTCAGGAACCAAGCAATTAGGAGGCACATCGAGTCGTGTCGGGGCTGGCGCTACAGCCCGCTAATGGCTTGTCAAAGGGTTTATTGTGGCCTCCTGAAGCGGTTCGGGCTTGCTATACAGCTGGCTAAACGGATACTGTAGGGGCCTTCATCATTCGAATAGGGTCTTGGGCCCACTATACTATAATATTATAAGGAACCCCCAACATAGTATAGGTAATTATTTAAGGCCCTAAATTACTGTGGTTCCTGAAAGGTTCGTGTGCTTGCGACACAGCTCTCCACAGGGTTGTTGTGGCTTCCTAAGGTGGGGTGTCGGGAATGCGATACTGTAGGGGCCGTAATAGTTTGAATAGGGCTTCCATTATACCCCACCAAAATAGTATTGGTAATAATTAAGGTCTGTGTTACAGATATCGATTGGTAAAGGGTTATTCTGGCCTATTGAACAGGTTTGGGGCCTCGGACAAGGGGGAGCCCTGATGTGGCCGAATGCTGCGATGAGAACAGGGTGAGATCACTCAATTACGGTTTAGGGTTTAGGGTTTATAGGGTTTTAGTTTTAGGGTGTTAGGGATTTAGGGTTTAGGGGTTTAAGGTTTTAGGGTTTAGTGACACTGAAAGAGCCAGCGCCTCGCGCTTCCTCTGGCACCGAGCGTTAGCCATCGCGAGGCGAGCCTCATCTTTGGCGACAAGCTCGTCGAAGCTCTGAGCCCTCTTGGCCGCCATAGAAGGGTTTAGGGTTTAGGACCCTGAAAGCCGCCATCTGGGCTTTGAACTTGCGCACCAAGTCGCTGTCTTTCCCGGCTGCAGGGGCGTTCTCCAAGCACGCATCTGAGCGCGCTGCGGACGGCCGCAGTGAAAGCGCTGATCGTTGAAGATTGCGCTTTGCGTTTCCACATGGGGCGTCTTTGCTTAATGTCAGTGTAAAGGCTAAAGTATATGCATTTATGTACATGGACCCTTATGGAAACACTCTCAATCATCCAAACCAGAACGCTGATGAATGATCCCAGGGCACAAGCAGATCAACGGATGCCTACTACCGTGAGAATCGGGACTCCCAGTCCCTAGGTCCACCACCGGAGATCATTGGAGCAACCTTCTCCGACTAATTCGCCTCGTATTCGGATTCTCCTATTCCCCACCTCTTAATCCCCTCCCCAGTGACCCCACCCCCAAAATCCTGGCCACCCCCCGCCCCCCGCCCCCCCCCCTAAAAAATGGAAACGTGTCGATGAGCCCCAAGGTCCGGGTGAATTTTCGCCTTCTCCAGTGGATTTTGGCTTTCTGGCAGTCCCACCCAATTTTCTTCGTTTCCCCTCCCCCCCCCCTCCCTCCGCCCCTCCTCCGCTCGCTGACAGGTGCGAGCTTTCTGGAGTTTTCGACGACACAAAACTGCAATGTAGCATCTTTATGTGCGTCTCAGGCTTGTTTTAGACGCCCTTTCGTTGGGATAGGCGGAGTAACGTGGTTGAAAAGGCTGTGATGCTTCCCTAATCCAAGCCGCCCACGAAATCCACAGCCTCAACGGCCCATACTTAAGGCATCCCGCCGCTTGCGAGAGTCTTGGTATCCAGTGTTTCGGAATGACGACACCAAAATTCGTACTGATACTACCACTACTAATACTACTCACAATCATCCTGCTTCGTGTTGCTATGAACATTACTTTCACTATAAGTGCGATTCCAACTGTTACTTTTTTCCTACAAGAGCTTGCTGCAGATAGTAGCCACTCGCCGCATGCGCGTACAGCCGGGCCGAGGCGGACGACGCGCAGCGTTTCAAATTATTCAGTTCCTATAAGGGAACCCCAACTGAAAATCGGGAGAAACCAACATGGTGATGTAGCAACCCTTAAAGCGACCCTCGACATGATCCTTGGGGGAGACCTTGGCTTCTAGTCAGCAGTGTTTGCCCCTCAAGCGCAATCCAGTAGAACTCTTGAGGAAACTCGTTGCTACCCAAATACGACCCTTAAGGAACCCTGAAGGGATCTCTTTTCGTAGAATCCAGAACGAAAAAATATTCCCATGCCTAAAACGAGTGCTTAAAGTGCAGTTTCCGGAATCCCCAGCACGAACCATCCTAAAACCATGTTCCAACTTTCAGGGGTCAGTCTTAAGCAACTCAAGGACTTAGCCAAGCCTTGCCTGGCAGTGTTTCTGTCGCGCACAGCACCAAGTCAATGGCACGTGCCTTGGAAGACCTGGTCCAAATTCTCCCTAAACCTTTATCTTAGTAGCTGAGTTCATAAGCCCCCCCAAAAGTGTACACTCTTAGTTCTATAGTGGATAATATTATTCCAAAAAGTGTATGTAAAGTGTATCCACTCAGCTACTCAGTTATAAACCCTGAACCTTGAAGCCTAAACACCCTCAAGAAGCAGAAGTTCAGGTTGAAGGCCCAAAGCAGTTCCTTTTTGGGGTTCATATATAGAATCCTATAAGGTAAACCCAAAAAGGAACTGCCATGGGGCCTTTGTGTAGGCTTCAGAGTTTAGAGTTTGCATAGCATCTACGTGCTTAGGGTATAGGGCGGTTCAGGGCTTTAGGGGTCCTGCGAGAATGCAATTGAGGGTTCCATAAGGGGTTTAGTGTTTTGGGTCTGAAGTTCCGGAGTGCGGGGTTTTAGGATTTCAAGGGCTGAAGGGCTGGGGCTTACCTAGACCCCCAACTACCCTCAGTTATACACCAAATGCCCACTATTAGAAACCACATTACAGGGAGACCGATGACGTCCCCAGCGGGTCCAATTATACTACCACTAAAGCTGATGATATAAATCTTGCATGACCCATCATAAGGAATATACCATAATTCCCATAGTTTAGGGTCATTAAAGTAATGCAGGATGTATATCATCAACCGTAGCACTATGGATTTAGGTCCCAAAAGGCCGTTCCAACCATGGTTTTGGGAACCCTGTATAGCAGAGTAGGTATACGTGGACATTGGCTGCAGGCTGAAATTTGATCTCAGGGTGGTCAGGGCTTCACAGTTTAGACTGTAGCCGTACTTATGCCAAAAACGAGACATGCCATCTGAACCCTACAGACCCTACCAAGAATTCCAATACCAAGCGTAGATTGCTAGACCTGGAAATAAATCAAGCGTCGATATCTTTCAAAGCCCATCCTTAATAAACCCGCCTGAACCTTGTCGAACTATGCAGCTGACTATCCTAGCATCCCTTACAGTCACCCTTGTAGTATCCCTTACAGTACCCCCCCCCCCATAGCATCCCTCACAGTACCCTCAAAATAACAATAACTTCCTCATACTAGCCTGTCCAGTAACCGTGATTCTAGATTCCGGGGTCTGGATATCTGGGCATAAATAAATACATTCATGTGCAGGTGTTTCGCGTATATCTTATAGTCTTATAGTATAGTTTTTTTGTGTATAGGGTTAGGTTGTAGGGATTAGGATGACGATAGGGGTTATGTACGGAGTCTTTAATGCATCCTATTGTAAATAAGCCGACCCCTGCATTGGAATTCAAGCTTGCAGTTCCGACGTCCCGGCACCAGACATACCCTAAATCAAAGGGGAAACGGAGGGACCCTCAATGGGGACCCCTACCCTATAATGGGCTATATCATGGGTATATAACAGCTATATTAGGGGTATATACCTAGGGGTCCTTATTGAGGGTCCCTCCTTTCACCTTGGACTAAACCATGAACTCTACATGTCCAAGCCATGACCTTCGCACCCCAGAAGATGAAGGGTAAAAGGAGGGACCCCTAACAATAAGGACCCCTAGGTATATACCCATAAAATAGCCATTATATACCCTTTATATGCGCCAGCATCCGCGCACCCCCCCCCCCCTCCCCCCCCCATGGTAATCCCCCTCCCCCCCCCTGTGGTTCCTGTGGTTCCCCCCCCCCCTGTGGTTCCTCTTGGTTTTCCCCCTCCCTTTTGTGGTTCTTCTGGTTCCTGTCTCCCCCCTCCCCCCCTGTGGTTCCTGTGGTTCCTCCGCGTGGTTGCTGCTGCTTTGTTGTTGCTGCTGTTCTTCTTCTTGTTCTTGTTCTTGTTCTTGTTGTGTGGTCGCCCGGGTCGGGAGGGGGGGGATACCATTGGGGGGGGGGGGGGGTCGAGAACGCGGAGCGCGGGCACATATGTAGCCCATCATGGGGTAGGGGTCCCCATTAAGGGCCCCTCCTTTTCCCCTTTGAAAGAAGATGAAGTTGAAGTTCAGGGTTTCGGGTTTGTGCGTCCCAGGTTGTAGCACTCAGGGTTAAAAGGGAATTTCAGGGTTTACGTAGGGTTTGAGGGTTTTAGGGTTTAGGGTTCAGGGGTTTAGGGTTCAGGGTTTAGGGTTTGTGGTTTAACAAATCATCAGCTCAGGGCTCAGGGACAAATCCTGTAGAACTCACTGGGCCCATGGCTGCTGGTAGAGAGCCGCAGAGGTGAGATTGAGCAGCGAAGTCTTGTCCTCTCTCCACGGTCTAACCCTCAAAGGCCCTGGAAAAAAAAGCTTAGCCCAAACCCTAAACCCTAAGCCCTCTAGACAAAAAACTAGCCCAAACCCCAAATCGAAGCCCTCTAGAAAAAACAACTAGCCCAAACCCTACACCCTATAGGCCCTAAGCCCTAAGCCCAAAGCCTAAACCCGAGGACAGAAGCTCTCAACCGTAAACCCTACACCCCGATGGGCCCTAAGCCCTGGACATACGCTTGGTTCTCAATGGCAAAAACAACACTTAAGCGCAGACTTTTCTCCAAGCATCGGCCCAAGATCCTGCCCCCCCCCCCCCGGACTATACCATAAGAACGAGATGCGCCCCAAAAGAATTTAAGGTTCAGGGGTTAGTATGTAGGCTTTGGGTCGAAGGTTTAGAGTTTCGGGTTGAGGGCTCAGGGAAGCTATAGGGTTTACAAGGGCTTTCTCCCTGCTTCGGGCCCTACAGACCAAAACCCCAGATAGCAACAACCCTAAATCTTACAGATCCGACATATAGGAACCATTAAAGTGACCCTAAACAGTCGAAACGCTGCGACCTCACGCTTCTGCAAAGCTGCACCCCAGACTCTCAAGCCACTTGAACTACCAACTCAGCTCGTTTGTGGTTAGTATAAGAGTTTTGCTAATTATGCTACAAGAAAACTATGACAAGTCCGAAAAGGACGACGTTGGGGGATCCGGATACCTGTTCCACTTGAGGGTAGCAGGGTGTCGAGGCAGATTTTCCTTCTTAGTTTAGAGGTGTCAAAAAGAAATGAGGCCTTGAGCGGCTATAACTCTAGAGCTGGCCGGCGCCCGGGAGGTTGATTATTGTCAGAGCTCTTGACACATCACTTTGCTGGGATAAGAAGTGTTATCGTGAAGTCTAACTTACTAATGCTAGGCTTCTCAGTGGCAACGTGTTGCAAGATCGCTTTTTCGGCTCGTTGACGCGCGCCTACCCCTTCGTCCATAGACTTGATCTGGAGCGAGGAGCTGAGCAAAGACTGACTGCCTCAAACCCCAAACCCTAAGGCCCTAAAAACCTCAACCCCAAGCCCTGAACGGCCAGACTGTACTCACGCATGCCTCGAAGACGCCCCGCGCAACAACTCGAAACGGTGGGTCAGTTGCAGACATGGCCCCTGCCCAGACCCTAATATGCCCTAAATGCCCACTATTAAGGACCATGAGGGCTCCATTAAAGGGCCATTGGGAACCCCAGTAAAGGACATTTATGAAAACCGTGGCGATGGAGGCCCTCGCGCCAATCGAGTCTATGACTTTCGAACGTCAAGAGCAAAACAGCGGGGCTCGCGCCGTTTCTTGCCGAAACGGATATGAAGTCTGAAAAGCTTAGGCTATCGTCGAGGTCCATGTGCCTTCTCTTAAATCTCCCGAAAAAAGTCAGCCCCACGCCCCAGTCACCCGAAAAGGACTCATCGGCACGAGCCCCAGAATTGCCGCGCAGGCGGAATCAGCTGCTCCCCCTCGGTGCGCATGGCGAAGTCATAGCGCCGCTTGATTTCGACCTCGTGGGCTGGTCCAGGCTTACCTTAACCTACCAACCCCTACATTTTTTGTAGGTTCTTATTCTAAACCCTAATATGGAATTGATAGGGACCCTACTTTTTGTGTAGGTTTTGGTAGGTTAAGGTAAGGCTTATGGGGCTGAGACTTCAGGATTTCAGGGTTGAGGGGGTGAAGGTTTAAGGTTGGGAGGTTGGGATGTTGCGGGCATAAGGGTTCAAGGTTTAAAGTTCTGGGGTACTTTTGTTTAGGGTCAAGCATTCGTTCCGGAATCACTACTGTTGAGCTTTGGTTTTCGGTTTAAAGTGGGCTTCCTTTAGAGGTACGTGATCTGTCAGGATTTGTGGTTGAGTCTTCTCGAGGAGATCGGTTCCACCCATGACGGTTTAGGGTTTAGGGTTCAGGGTTGTCGATTTAGAGCTAAGCCGAGGGTCCATGAAGGGCTCTGTAAAGGCCTTATAATGTATTATTCGGTTGTGACGGGGTAAGGAAACGGGTTTTGTATAGGTTTACATCGTTGACCCGAAAACCTGCGATAAACCCTAAACCGAAACCGCTATCAAGACTTCCATGTTCAAGATCTGTGGTCTTTGAAGCCGGAACCAAAAACTCAAACCAAACCCTATAGATTCAGGTAAGGTAATTATCCCACCTCCCCAGCCCTCAGCCCCCAAACCTGACACCCAAAGTTATGAGGGTTTAGGGTCTACGGTCTAGGATTTCGTTCAGGCTCCCCAAATGTTGACCAAAAGCCCGAACAACCCAAATAAGCCAACTAGCGCCCTACATCCTAAGCCCCAAACACAACACCCCGGTGTACAGCTGATACCATGCAATTAAGATCAAGTACGGGGGTGAAAAACTAGAAAATAGAAAATATCCGCTCCGCGTCCCTATATGCATATGCTGCTATGCTACAGTATACCACAAAACGCGATAAAGGTTTAAAAGGGTCCTGCAGGGTTTAGGGTTCACAAGGGGTTTGCAGAACTCTGTTGCATTTCACATCACCCCCCGCCCCCCCCCCGGCCGCCCCTCTCTCCTGCTGGACCCCTTGGCATCTACAGAATTCCAATACTGCCCGGAGAAAGGCTTCAGGAATCGGGGAATCAGGGATTTGAGCTCAAGGAGTAGTAGCAAAATGTAGATGCTCTCAGAATAGAGCCGCTTGAAGTCAGACGAAACTTAAATTGAATTTTCCATGTCGTTTCGGCCTTACCAAAATCACTGGTGAGCATAAGTGGTTCGTAAGGATACCCAATTGGGGATGGAGATGATCAGAACCCTAGGCTCTTTGCCTGCACCCCTACCAGGGCCACGCCTATTGTACCGGTGTTGCCAGTTCCGGGTCATGATGTACTTACACTAATGGAGATACGGTTGATGATGTACATCCTGCACTACCTTAATGACCCTAGACTATCGGAATTTATGGTGTGTTCCTTACTGTGGGAGATGCAGGTTGTATATCATCAACCGTAGGTATGGATTTGGGGGTTTGGGGTTGAGGACTGAAGGGCTACGGTGTGCAGGCTTTTCAGGGCTAGAGGACTTCGAGGGTAGTAGAGGGCGCTCAGGCCTTGCAGGGAAATTGGAAGTATCACTGAACCGGGAAATGCTAATCCCTCACAGGCTCTGCTGAACAAAGCCAAAGTGGCGAAGACTTCGTTCATCTGCGATTCATTTAAATTTGGAAACCTCAGCTGCCAAGCTCATGGCTCTTTCAGCTTGCTTCAGGGGGTTTGTAACCCTAAGGCTCTAGGGACTCATATCTTGAGGCTTTTTGGGCCCAATGACCTACTATGCAAGGCTTTTGGGCTGTTTTGAGCCCCAGAGTAAGTGTTTGAGGGAATAGGGCATCAATGATTTCCTTACCCATTCCTACATCGTACATTTCGAACGCCGTTGCTGAACGACAAACAACCATCGACAACTCTACTGCCCCGTACACACAACTGAGAAACCATTCCACACACACACACACACACACTTACTTCGCTTTCTTACACAGACACGTCTGTCTATGTAGTTGTATGTGATATATATATATATATATATATATATATATGTATGTATATACATATACGTACACACATAGGCTGTAGTATGCACATATATGTATAGACAAAGAAACACTATATATATACATATATATATATATATACATACAGATTGATATACTCGCATAGAAACGAGAAAATAAACACCTGCGTGCACAAAATAATGATGAACAGTGACAGTCAACGTTACATCACCCCTCAACCCTAAACCGAAACCCTAAACCCTAAACCCTGAACCATAAACCGTAAGTGCGAAGTTCAGAACTCGTCCGAGAAGCACAGACTTCTTATCTGGGTGGTAAGTCCTCATCTGTTGCTTCCATGCAGCCTGCAGCCCAAACAGTATGTCGGGTTTTTTCATAAGGCTACTTTGACTTTATCAGGCTATAATTCAGGGCCCTAGAGTTGTACAGCAAATAGGATCTTCGTCCATCTCTTCTGAAGGTCTCTGAGCTACTCGAGTTTAGGGTTTATTTGTTTAGGGAATTTGAAACTACCAAACCAGTCTTTGCTGTGGGTTCTAGTCGGGAAGCTGCAAAACAGTAGGTTTGGGTGCGTTAAAGTAGGGCTCAGGTTAGGGCTTACGGTTTAGGGTGTATGCCTTGGGGTTTATTACGGGTACGGCAATCCCCACTACGAACCCGAATTCAAAAAACACCTTGCTCTGGTTCGTCGTGGTAGAATGTAGGGCTTCTCTGTTACGAAAGACATTACAACGATGCGGGAATGTATCCACCATAGCAGTACCTACGGTTGATGATATAAACCCTGCATTACCTAGAATAAGAAATACACCATAATTTCCATAGTCTGGGGCCGTTAAGGTAGTGCAGGATTCATACCATCAGCCGTACGACCCTTTGGGGAATAAACATGAGGCTTCAGCGTATGCTACGGTCTTGGATTTGGTTATTTTCAGCAAGATAAAGTGTGCTTCTGGGGTTGATGCTTGGAAGCAAAACACCCTAAAACCTGAACCCTAAACCCTGAACCTTAAAAACTAAAGCCCCAAAACAAGATTCATGATGCTTCATGCAAAGGCTTTCACGGTATAGAGTCTAGAGCACTACTACGCACCTGTAGGTTCAAGGGCTGAGGACTTGGGGCCTGAATTTCTCAGGGACTCTTGCACAGAAGGATGTGCCTGGCTTCTGATTGAAAGAAGACGTCTTGAGTTGCGGCCGAGAAAGGTCACTTAATGATACAGCATGAGCATAGGTAGTGGTCTGTGCGACTGGCACGTGACTTGGGGTTATGCCTTGCTTGGAAGATCTTGCAAGTCTCCTTTACTAGAAACACGTAGAAATCTAGAAACCGTACCAGCAACGCCCTCTGAGTTTTCGTCTCTCAAGCGAAACTTATGCCTCCAAGCAAGCCTTAATCCTAACACCTACTTCTGCA